ATATTCCAATGATACACACTGCTCAAATCTTTAAAAAATCTCTCGTTTGGAATTGCAGAATTATACAATTTTTTTCAGTACCTCATAATTTTAACTGTTTCTTTGACTAAAACAATTCTATTTCTCAGATTCAGCTCTGATGATTTTGTTTTTGAAACTCATAGATGTTCACGAGAAAGATTGTCCAACACTGAGTATATTCCGAATAATTGGTTGTAGTAACTGAATAAATTTAAGGTGCAGGAGAACACAGTGGCAGAGACCACCAGTTCCATTAAGCACATGTATCTATGAGGCAGAGCTGAAGCTGGCCTTGAATGCCTGCAGCAGGGTCTAAAAATGGACATGGCAGAAAGGGTGGTAGAAAGGCCAGCTGTTCTTCAGTCTCCACCTCAGGCTGTGAGACTTTCTATTCCTAACCCTGTTCTCCAGACCACTGTAGAAATAAAATAGAGTGTCTAATTCATATCCACGTAGGAGCACACGCAAGTAGCCTTTACTTGGTTGTAATAAACTACTACTACTGTGCAGAAAATTGTGCACAGAAATGAAGTTTAATTACTCATTTAGATCATATCAATGACTATGAAAATTATAGCTTAATTTTTACTAAAAATCTCAGAAAAGAGAGTCTTTTTGTTTACTTTTGGAACCGGATTCTAAGGACTTTTAAAGATATTTTAATAACGTTAAAATCTGAGAATGAAAGACCGATTTACTGTTATCAATATTTAGAAGTTTTGGCAAGACCAGCTTAATTTCCTTTGGAAATGAGCCAAACTTTGCCACGAGACAATCTTTTTGAAACTTGTCTCTCATCAACTTCCTTCATGAGGGAAGAAACAAATTCAGCTCCTACGCAGGAATATTGTAGCCTAGTCTCAAATGACCTAGTCATTTTGGGCTCGAAGGACACACTGTAGTATTTAATTTCTCTCAAACAGCTGAGTTGCAACCCAGTGTCCCCAAAGTGGCAAGATAGTTTTCTGTTGTCACATGACACGATATTGGTGGCACCTCTTTCCCAACTCAGTGTACATATACATGTATATATCTGGTATTGGCAAATGGAGCTGCCTTAATTGTGCGGTTGAAAATGACGTAACACTGGGGGGAATCCTGCATGCAATATGAAGCCTTTTGCAAGACTCCAAAATACCAGTCTGTGCTCAACTTAAAAGCTCTTTTGCTTCCTTGGACCTCCGTTGTGAATTGTTCTTTCCAGTGGCAGTTGTTTCGTTTCCTCCCCCATCTACCCTCCAACTGCTAATGCTTTTCAGTTGGTCTCTCTGGTCCGAGGTTTTAACCTCTTTAGGTTTTAAAAGTGCTCTGGCTTCACAGTACATAGAGTGTTATTTTTTATCCCGAGAGGGAGTCCATTAAAAAAATAATATAGCTGTCCAAGATGTGAGACAGTTTGGGGCAAACTGGGGGCAGCTGAAGGGTAATCAGCAAAGAGCGTCCGTAACACGGATAACCCAAGAACTCCAATTGTTCTGCAGTTATTGATAAAGAATGCTAACCCGGTGAGTTTGTTTCCTGCCTACTTCTTTTTATAACATTGGCCTTCCCAGGTGCGGCAGCTCATGCCTGTAATCCCAGCACTTTGGGAGGCTGAGGCAGGTGGATTAGCTGGGCGTGATGGCAGGCATCTGTAATCCCGGCTACTCGGGAGGCTGAAGCAAGAGAATCGCTTGAACCTGGGAGGCAGAGGTTGCAGTGAGACGAGATCGTGCCATTGCACTCCAGCCTGGGTAACAAGAGTGGGGGACCAAGAAAACAAATAAAAACCTCATTGGTTTTGTAGCTCTTTCTTTTTGCTTTTCTCCTCAGAACATAAACAAGTCATCCAAAATAGTGAGAAGCAGGTCACCTGGCATGAGCTCTTTTTGCTTTTTTTTTTTTTTTTTTTGAGACAGTCTCACTCTTGCCCAGGCTAGAGTGCAATGGCGCGATCTCGGCTCACTGCAACCTCTGCCTCCTAGATTCGAGCAATTCTTGTGCCTCAGCCTCCCCAGTAGCTGGGATTACAGGCACATGACCCCACGCCTGGCTAATTTTTGCATTTTTTAGTAGAGACGGGGTTTCTTCTAAAAAATACAAATGTTGGCCAGGCTGGTCTCAAACTGCTGACCTAATCATCCATTTGCCTTGACTTCCCAAAGTGCTGGCATTACAAGCACGAGCCCCCGCGCCAGTCCAGCATGAGCTCTTTAGAGCTGGAAAGAATCCCCCTCCCCTCCCTTCTCCATCCAGCACCTAGCCTCGGGCTTGCAAACTGGAATTCAGACAGCATTGTGGAAAGGGTGAGTCCAACTGAGACTTGAGGGTAGAGTGGACATCTGGGTTGGCAGGCTTACACCGACAAAATGCTACTGCTCAGTTCTCTTCGGGACAGACACCTAGAAATAGGAATGCTCTAGTCTTGAGAATCTTAAAATACCACAGATGCAAAGCAGAAAGAAGGGCAGCACTCAAGCCCTTGGACCGCTGTTATTGATGTCACCCATTGTTTTCACTCCTACCCGGACCACCAAGAAGCTGGGACGTGGACTGGATGCTTTTCCCTTCCCTGGACCTTTGTGATGTTCCTGCCCCCGTTATTTGAACATGTATTATCTGGAACACATCTGCCCCCATCTTCACCACATTTCTAATCATTCATGATGTTTCAACAAAAATTTCAAAGTTGCTTTTTTGAGATGGCGTCTCCCTCTGCTGCCCAGGCTGGAGTGCAGTGTCGCAACCTCGGTCACTGGAACCCGCCCTCCCGGGTTCAAGAGATTCTCCTGCCTCAGCCTCCCGAGTAGCTGGGATTACAGGCACGTGCCACCATACCCGGCTAATTTTTGTATTTTTAGTAGAGACGGGGTTTCATCATGTTGGCCAGGATGGTCTCAAACTCCTGACCGCAAGTGATCCACCCACCTCAGCCTCCCAAAGTGCTGGGAGTACAAGCATGAGTCGCCGCATCTGGCCAAAATTTCAGTTTTTCAAGAGGCTTTCTAGATCACCTCAATCTAAATGAAGTCTTTCCCCTTACATTCTTTCAGAGAACCCTACCTACATTCTACCTCCCTAACAGCATGGTTTATAACTGCACACATTGTGTGTTAGTTACGGTGGTTTCTCCACGGGCTTGTAACCTCCAGAAGTGCAGGGACCACTGTGCTTTGTGCAGCTCAGTATCCTTGGCACTTGGTACAGCGCCTGGCACCGGGCAAGGGCTCAATACAGGTCTGCTGTGGGGTCAGGGGTGGGCAGATGGTCTTTTCTTTAAAATGAGTGGTTTGATCTTGGAATTGATATCCATACCATTTAAGGGTAGTAAAGGTTGAACATAAAATTTTAGTACAAAAACCACAATAAGAAATGAGTTATCTTTTTCTAGTGGTATAAATGCATAGTGGAGCTAAAGACAGAACCTATGTGGGTTATTAAAAAAGCCATCAATTTGAGATCTGGTTATAATATTTAAATAGCTTAAAGAAGAGGTGTTTAAATCTATTTTTATGAAATTTATTTCCAAATTGAAGTGGCAGTGTATATAAAGGTAACAGAGCTTGTGATAATTTACAGAAATATTTGCTGCAACATGCACATTATGAAGTATTTCAAACATATACATATTAGGTTTCATGCTGAATAAATAATCCCCCCAAATTAATTTTTATGTTTACATAAAAATAGAATATTGCACTCTTAAGACCAGTTATTTTGCATATTTTCTCTTTAGATAAATGATGAAATTCGGTTTTTAAAAAAAGACTGAGTAGCAACCCTATTCTAATAGGGGACTAATTTAAAGTTCTCAGTCGAAAAAGGAAAGCTAGACAATAGCTGCAATTTTTTGTTAACGAAGCAAATCACTTCAACGTGAATAGGAGCAATGTCATCTCTGCACCTGCTGGGAGCTCAGGATGAACGACCCTGAGCGCACTGTGATCTAAACGCTGCCCAAGTGTCCCGACATGTGTATGCAGTTTCAGGTTAAAAGCATACAGGGCCACTTGCTTTCTCTCAACCTATCTTGACAGCAGAGACTTTGGAATTACGTTTTATATGGTTTTTAAGTAGAATGTTTTAGAAAGTCTGGAAGTTACAAAAGTAGTACTGTAAACACCATATGAATTAAATTTCCATAACAAATGCACAAGTTATTCTTAGGCAGGGATACATATTTTTATCCCATGGTAGCATATTACGGAGCTTCTCTGACGGTGTTTTCAAAGCCAATAAAGCAGCACCCCAAGTAAAAATATACAGACAGCCGTCATATGGGCGAGACAGACGGTTCCAAGATGTTTAGGAATTCTGTCTCTATGGTATGTAAGTTTGCTGTGTAGTACACTCGATTTTATTATTGTTCCTAGAATTCTCAGAGGGTATAAGTTAGTAGAAACAGAATAAAAACGGTTTCCTAAAAGAATTATTCCACCTCCTGTTTAAAACAAAGTAAGCTGTCTCCTTTTCTTTTATAATTCTGTTTTGGGGAAGAAGATTCTTCCTGCAGATTAGATTAGTGCCTTATTTAGGCTGTATTCTTAATACCCATGCAAACTTCTTGCTTACTGGAGGCTTTCTATTGCAAACTGGTACATATTCAATGCTCTGTAAATAGCAGACTTTAAAAGACTTACCATTGTGTTTAAACCTTAGTGACTCCACTAAGGATATTCAATATCCAGTGTTACAAATTTTAAGTAAAATTTTTATGAAGAAACAGAATGTGTCTGAAATCCAAGACACCTGTATTCTTGTTTGTGGCTGTCAAAAAAAAAAAAAAAAAAAAAAAAAAAAAAAAAAAAAAAAAAATTCTGGTTCTCTTTTGAGCTAAGAAGGCAACTGGCATAAACTGCCTAACTTTGAGATTCATTAGAAGTTTATTTTTAGCATTCAGATATTCTGTAAAATATTTGGTACAGAAGCACCTACTGAATAATTTGCTTCTCAAAGAAAGCAATTATCAAGTCCTAAAAATTATCTCTTTCTCTTTCTTCTTTTGGAATATGTGTGTGTGGTGGGAGAAGTATTATATGGCAGAAAACTTTTAACATATAATTTTAGTGTGCTTCATAGAAACAATTAGCTAACCAATTTAAGTTCTACTGGTCCTTTTGGAATAACAGGAAAAGGGGAGATCTTAATATTTTCTTTGGAATACCTTGGTGGGAAAAAATTTAAGAATATCATGTTAATGTACCATGCAAGGCTTAAAACTTGTTGGCTAGTGTGTACTGACACCATCTTCCACATTATCACTAAAATGGAACATAACTTTCCTCTTGGGATTTTGTGTCTTTAGAATTTTGTGCAGATGAATCGACTTTATCACTATTTGGATGGTTTGTTCAGTCATCCATTTCTTCAGGTTCAACCTCCTAAAACTGGTGAAATCAACAGGTCTAGTTTGAAGTTAAAGTGCTTTGGAGAATGTGAAGTTCATTCCCATTCACCCGGCCGCATAGCTGCTAAGGAAGGAATAAAACATTGGCTGTTTCAAGCGCTGCTGGTCCTTCCGACACCAGGCTATCACCGTCCCGTCACTGTTTGCTGTGTACAAATGGTGGCCATCACAAGAAAATGTAAGGCTGTAAAAAAAAAAAATAAACACCCTGTTTGTACATTATATTTCTTAAAACTGTACTCGCATATTGGTCATCATACTGAGGTCAGTATAAAGATGTTATCTTCAGTGGCACAGAGAGACAAACAAAATGACTGCTTACAACTCACTGGTTTTGATTGTAATTCTAATATAGTCCCTCTGCTGACAAGTTTGAGATGCTCGTATTAATGAGGGGATACAGAATAAAATCAGGATCAAAAAGTTCAGTACATTCTATTCTTTGCATATGTTCTTCTGCCTCCTTGTTTACGTTTTAATACCTAAACAACAAATATTTGGGTGTACAAAACTTAAAAAATGTAACAGAACTATACTTTCTCCTTATAAAGATAAGTATTTTATGGATATATATTATTTCCCTGAAAGAGAAAAGTGTAACATTAATAATCAATTTAGTTTCCTTAAACTTTAAATTTAGTACACTGAAAATACATTTAATTTAATAAAGTAGACTTTGAATCACTTTACTTCTAATTAGTTAAAGAATTTGTTAACTAAGCAAAGAGTAACTGATTTTCAATCTTGCCAAGCACCCCTGCAGCTATCAATCACCATTGCGGTCTTGTCAAATATGAAAGGAAACAATACAGTCTCTGATTCCAGAGGCATGCTACAGGCGTGTCTTTCCATTAGACTTTGAGTCACTGACTCAGATTTTCAGCTCCATGAAGACAAGGAGTGTGGTCTCTCTTGCTGCTGGGTCATGAACAACCTGCTGTGTGTTATAAATGATTGACTTTTCATGATTACTTGAATCACACATTTCTTCAAGTCTTTGTGCTTAAATACCTCTCTGTGAAAAATACAATCACAAATTACATTCTGAAGCATAAAAGGGAGAAGACTTTACCTTATGATAGGCTTATTTGATTTGGGAAATGTAATTTCTCTCACAGGCTTCAAGTCCCACGTGCTCCATAACCTAGAGGGGAAAAAAATCATCTAATTATGCAAACTAAAATTACTCTCCCTAAAAAGCCCTACATATTTATTTATTTGTTAAAAATCATTTGGAAGGAAATGTAACAAAAAACAGTAGTTCCCTCTAGGAAGTTTGCAGGGGGTAGACGTGGGAATAAGGGAACATTTAATTTTGTATATATATATATGTATTTTTTTTTTTTTAAAGACGGAGTTTCGCTCTTGTTACCCAGGCTGGAGTGCAATGGTGCGATCTTGGCTGACCGCAACCTCTGCCTCCTGGGTTCAGGCAATTCTCCTGCCTCAGCCTCCCGAGTAGCTGGGATTACAAGCACGTGCCACCATGCCCAGCTCATTTTTTGTATTTTTAGTAGAGACGGGGTTTCACCATGTTGACCAGGATGGTCTCCATCTCTCGACCTCATGATCCACCCGCCTCAGCCTCCCAAAGTGCTGGGATTACAGGTGTGAGCCACCGCGCCTGGCCCTAATTTTGTATACTTTCATACTGTTAATCTTTTACAGTGAACATAAAACTTCAAAACTGTACTAAAGCTATCTTTATTATTTAGAAATAAAACAGGAATAATCAAATAACCTATATCCCAAGGTGTGTTTAAATCTCTAAATACTGAATATTAATGTGCCTAGATATTAAAAAATTAATTTCTGAAACTCCTTTGTCCTTATGAATGAAATAAAAAAAAAAAGAGAATCCAAATTCCTCTTACCTTACAATTCCATTTTCCAATCCCCCAGCAATCACATTGATAGATACTCCCTCAGGCTGGTTGGAGAAAGCCACAGAACAAATAATCTCCCTGCAATGGACATGTCCAACGAGATCCCCGTTCACCGTCCAGAGTCTGAGGTCACTGCCTCCGCCAGCTAAAAACCCAAATCATCCTGCAGGTTACCCAAAATGTGGCTGTCTCAGAGCCTACCACATTTGGCCCCAGAAGGGCAACCCTGAAGGCCAAGCTCATTTGTTTACTGATGAAGTTCGTAGACAACCCATGACTGAAGACTGTATAAATGAAATTACAACACAAAGTTTTTTTTTTCTTTTTTTTTTTTTTTTGAGACAAGAGTCTAACTCTGTCACCCAGGCTGGAGTGCAGTGGTGTGATCTCGGCTCACTGTAACCTCTGCCTCCTAGGTTCAGGAGATTCTTCTGCCTCAGCCTACTGAGTAGCTGGGACTACAGGTACACACTCCAACACCTGGCTAATTTTTAAATTTTTAGTAGAGATGGAGTTTTGCCATGTTGGCCAGGCTGGTCTTGAACTCCTTATCTTGTGATCAGCCTGCCTCAGTCTCCCAAAGTGCTGGGATTGCAGGCATGAGCCACTGCGCCGGGCCAAGTTGCATAGATCTTTATGTATTAATTGAGAGACAATGACCAGTGAAAAAATAAAAAGCAGCAATCTATGAGGCAGAGTAACAAGGTAAATTAATCATCTTTGTGTATTTGTAATATTTCAGCATAAGAACTATCAAATATGAATTATGACTGAAAATACTTGGAAAGCTAAACAGTCTCTAAAAAGTGAAGGAAATATTCTGTGAAACCATCTACAAGAGGTGACTTGGCCAGGCATGGTGGCTCATGCCTGTAATCCTAGTACTTTGGGAGACCAAGGTGGGTGGATCACCTGAAGTCAGGAGTTCAAGACCAGCCTAGCCAACATGGTGAAACCCTGTCTCTACTAAAAATACAAAAAAAATTAGCCAGATGTGGTGGTGGGCACCTGTAGTCCCCGCTACTTGGGAGGCTGAGGCAGGAGAATCACTTGAACCCAGAAGATGGAGGTTGCAGTGAACTCAGATAATGCCACTGTACTCCAGCCTGGGTGACAGAGCCAAGACTGCCTCAAAAAAAAAAAAAAAAAAAAAAAAAAGTGACTTATATGACTTTTGAAGAGGAAAAAAAAAAGTTATAGTAAAAATTACCTGAGTTTAAACATAACTCTTTTTTTTTTTTTTTTGAGATGGAGTTTCGCTCTTGTTACCCAGGCTGGAGTGCAATGGTGGGATCTTGGCTCACTGCAACCTCCGCCTCCTGGGTTCAGGCAATTCTCCTGCCTCAGCCTCCTAAGTAGCTCAGATTACAGGCACGTGCCACCATGCCCAGCTGATTTCTTGTATTTTTAGTAGAGACGGGGTTTCACCATATTGACCAGGATGGTCTCGATCTCTTGACCTCGTGATCCACCCGCCTCAGCCTCCCAGAGGGCTGGGATTACAGGCTTGAGCCACCGCGCCCGGCCCTAAACATAACTTTTAAAAGAAGAAAACATACTCTTCAGAACATCTAAGATTAACTCTTATAAAGCAATACCTTATTAAACTAATTTTTTCTTTTCAAAGATTACAAAATAACCAAAAGTTTTCTTTTAGTTTTCTGGGGCTGGGGGAAACATAACTGCCTGTGATGCTTTATAAACAGGGTAGTTTGGGGCCTGATGATGATGTGTCCAGCCTTCTCTGGGGAAATATTCTCATGCTGATTAAGAGGTTAAGGAGGCATGGTAAAGTTCTATGGCATAGTCTCACTGCATTTAATTTTATCTTTTCATTAACATATAAGCAGAGGCTTTACTTCTCTCTTTTATTAAGACAATGAAAATATTTCATATTTTATAGCAAAGAAACATATTAACAATGCTGCTTTATTTAAAAATATGCTGAAGACCATCAAACACCACAGACCAAAGTGCCCAGTGTGTTACAGCTTTATTCACAATAGCCAAGAAGAGGAAACAACCTAAATGCCTATCAACAGATGAATGTATAAACAAAATGTAGTATGTACACGTACACGTACACACACACACACACACAGACACACACACACAGAGAGAGAGAGAGAGAGAGAGATTTTGTTTAGCTGTAAAAAGGAATGAAGCATGCGATAACGTGGATGAACCCTGAAAACATCATGCTAAGTGAAATAAACCAGACACAAAAAGACAGGTACTGCATGATTCCACTTACATAAAATATCTACAATAGGCAAATTCACAGAGACAGAAAGTAGAATAGGGGTTACCAGGGGCTGTGAGGTGAGGCAGGAGGAATGGGGAGCTACTGCTTAATGGTTACAGAGTTTGCTTGAGGTGACAGCAGAATTTATGAAATAGTAGTGATGGTTGTACAACATTGCTAATGTAATTAATGTCACTGAATTGAATACTTAAAAATGGTTGGAATGGCAAATTTTATGTTAAATAGACATTGAGACACACACACACATACACACAGACACACACACACACACAGACACACACACACAGACACACACACACACAGACACACACACACACAGACACACACAAATGCTCAATGTTCTACTAAGACTTGCCATTGTAGGACATTGATTATGATATATCTAAATTTAGCATCAAGATGCAGGAGACTCAGTATGCTAAAGAAATAGAATTAAAGATGATAATATTTTCCGTGAGTAGGCTACATTTCAACCTTTCTTTTGAATTAAATGTTGACTAAAATATTTTTTAAAAAGATAATTAGATGAGTACTAGTAAGGCTAGAAGGCTCATTAAAGTCACTGGAGACATAACCGTAAAAGATATTGACGTAGGGATCTGTCACTGTAACCCATAGCTACCGTATGGCTTAATCCTTTAAAATAATAAATCTAAATGTGGGCCTGGACTCTGAAGTATGGTGTGGAACTTAGTAGCCAAATAATTTTCCTAGTAGCTCACTCAGTATCTTGGGCTACCACAAAACCAAATAACTACTCATCTGCCTACTACTGTACATATCAAAATTTGAGACTGTTACCCAATACCAGATTGCTTGCATGTATAATTTAACACATCAACTAAAAGTCAGAAACTTAGGCATTCCTGAAAAGCATCTCTATACACAGTCATGGAAATCAAAATAAATTAAAGAACCACCCCCCTGTGAATCTTAGAATATTTTACTAACTCTGTCTTGCCATTGGCAACAGAGGACCAGGCCATGGATGTCTTACCTAGTTCAAAGGCATCTTTTTTGATCCAATGATAGAATGGTGAACACACGCACACACACACAAACCCCAGAAATCATTGATTACATTTTCACAGTTTAATACATTTCACATCTTGTCACTATAAAACCGTATCCCATCATAAGAACTGAGAAATTATGACCAGGAGGAATGAGGTTGACAATGTAACTTTTGAAAAGATGTTACACATAAAACACAGACATATAATATAGTTGTCCCCAGGCATCTGAGAGGGATTGGTTCCAGGACCCCTGAGGATATCAAAATCCATGGATGCTCAAGTCCCTAATTTAAAATGGTGTAATATTTGCATATAACCTACGTACATCCTCCTGTATTCTTTAAATCATCTTGATTACTTATAATACATAATGCAATATAAGTGCTACATAAATAGTTGTTATACTGTATTGTTTAGGGAATAATAATAAGAAAAAAGTCTGTACATATTCAGTATGCAACCATCCATTTTCCTCCCTTGATATTTTCAATCTGAGGTTGGTTGAATCCATGGATGTGAAACCCACAGATACAAAGGGTTGACTACATATATATACATACATAAACATATATATTTATTTTCAATTTTAAGATTACTTGGATGGTATCCAACAAACAGTCAAAATTTTTGATAGGTTAAATCTGATAACTTTCTTTCTTTCTTGGCCTATAACAAAACAGGAGGATGAACTCTAGTCTAGGTCACTAGATATAAGTTTAACCTCTCTTTAAAAAAGTAATTTGAAAAATTATGTTCTCTATATACCAAGTACTTTTTATGACTTCTTTTATATATGTATCAAGAGACCTTTAAAAAGTTGACAAGGCCTTTTTGCTCAAACTGGAAAAAAGTTTTACCTATTACTCTATTATATTGTATGCTGCCCAGGGACACCTGAATACCCTACTAGTAAGTTGGTAATTGCAGCAAAAATAATTTTGTTTCTCATTCCCATATGACTAGCTGATATAATATCACAGATATAAGTCACTACTGGCAGCAGGAAAGTAATTAACTTTACAAAATTCAACTCCCTCAGGATCAGTCCTAAATTTCAAACATTGGTGAAACAAGGAAGTAGAGAACTCTACATAAATAATCATTATATTATTTCCCCAGCATCTCTCTTGATATGACACACTAAAGGCTAATGTACAAATCAAGGAAGAACCATTAGCAAAATCATCAATCATTTGCATACATTTGTACTATCAAAGTCAACTTTTTAAGATCTTTTCCCTTAGTTTTAACCATTAGAAAATAAAATTGTTTTCATGACGTTATTTTATGACTGGGGGCTAAGACTAGTGAAAATTCTTTCATATCTGAAATCTAATCATGACTGAAGATATTACTTCTCTTGAGTACAAGAATAAATGAATGTTTTGTAGAAACAACAATAACAAAACCCTAAGAGGTTTCTGTGGTATAATGAAAAATAAATATTTGGTCTTTGTCCCTGGTTCCTGGGACAGAGCCCCTTGGGCCCTTGGAATTTACTGTCTTTATGCTAATGAGCTGACTCACGGTGGGGAGGGCTACAGAGCTTCAGTCTACCGGCTGGGCACCAGAAGTACCAACTGCATGATTGAGGATTGAAACTTCCAGATATCCCCACACACCCACACCCACCCCCTGGTGAGGCAGGAGAATAGGGACTGGAGGCAGGGAACCTAAGGCTGTTTCACACTGACTTTCTAGCACTAAACTGAAAGGAAAACCCTAACTTTCCAGCCTAAAGAACAAAAGGACCAGAGGCTACTCCCTCTGCAAAACCCCCATGTTTTCCTCACTGGCAAATGGGAAATTGGCTGTCTGCAACCAATCAGATTGATTGTGGGTTGAGTCTTTGTTTGCAACTTCCTAACTTCACCTTAGTCTCTGATTGGTTGCAAAAAGCAATCAAATGTTTGCACTAGAGTGTGACCTTTGTAACTCCATTTCAGCCTCTGCTTGGTGGCATTAGGTAACCGACCAGACTGATTGTGGGCTACCACTTCATTCACAGGAGGTGAGCAGGAAGTGACCAATGGGAAACCTCCAGGGGGTACTTGGACCCCAGAAGATTCTGTGTCTGGGCCCTTAAGCTGCTGCTCAGGTCTGCTCCCACACTGTGGAGTGTACTTTCATTTTCAATAAATTCCTGCTTTCGTTCTTTTGTTGCTTCATTCTTCTTTGCTTTGCTGGGCGTTCTGTCCAATTCTTTGTCCAAAACACCAAGAACCTGGACAACTTGCAGTCAAGACCCTCTACCAGTGACACTGGGAGGACAAAGGGGCTGCAGATTGACCTATGTAACAAAACCTCCATAAAAATCCCTAAACAACGAGGTTAGGAGCACTTCCGGGTTGGTGAACATAACTATGTGCTAGGAAGTGGTGCACTCCAGCTCCACAACCCTGACTCCAGGAGGACAGACACTCCAGCACTCAGGACACTTCCAGACCTGGCCCTGTGCACCCTTCACCTCGTGTTCATTTCTTTTTTTCTTTTTAATGTTTTATTTATTTTATTTTTTTAAAGACGGGGTTTCACCATGTTGGTCAGGCTGGTGGTCTTGAACACCTGACCTTAGGTGATCCGCCCGCCTTGGCCTCCAAAGTGCTTGGATTATAGACGTGAGCCACCATGCCCAGCCTGTTCATTTCTATCCTTTATAATAAGAACATAATTTATAATGGGTGTATAAGTTAAGTATAAATAGTGTTTTACCGAGTTCTGTGAGTCATTCTAGCAAATTACTGAACCTGAGGGTGGGGTCATGGCAGCCCCCAAATTTGCAAACTTCTAGTGTCACAATTGAACTGCACTGCTGGACACCCAGTTGGTGTCAGAGAATTGTTGGTGCCTGGAAAAACACCATACATTTTGTGTTAGAAAAAAAGAAACAATGTAAAAAATGCAAGCAAAGGAGAGAGGACTACCCACCACAGGTATGTCCAACACTGAATGGACAGAAAGAAGCAAACAGTTTTTCAAAGGATCCTGTCCATCTTAAGGCTCTTAAAAATAGAAATGCAAACAGAAAATTCATGAATTTTCCAATTTTCTTTTCTGCTGGATGTATTAGTTCTTAACATGTATATATATTTAAAAAAACAACAAAAAAATAAGACTCTTGATTAGTTGATATATTTTTGTCATGTAATTTTTAAGGCAAATTATACTTCCATTTACTATTCTTTATATTGCTCTCTCTCCGAAACTAGAAGACATGTATTCAAGCTGGGCATCTGCTGAGCCTCTTCATTTAGTCAGGAATGTTAACTAAAATTTATGGGAGGCCAATGTTTTGGACTGAGCTCCTGCACTAGGCCCTAACATACCAGATTAAACCAGAATGGTGTAGTCATTTGTGCGAGGTGACACAAAATCAAACTAAACTTGGAAATGGGCCAGTTTTCCAAAAAGCAGGAGATTCACAGCAATCAATCATAGGGGATCACTCAAGTTGAGCTGGCATGATAAGGAAGTCCCTTCTGCTTTAATCCTCTAAGGAAAGTAACTGTGAAACGATCAATCTGAGTTTTGTTCCTTGTTTCTGCTTTCTTCAGCTTTTTCTGCCTAGAAAGCCTACTTCCTCTGCTCAGCTTACTGGGATACCTTTCTATTTCATACATGGAATGTTGCCTGATTCATGAATCATTAATAAAAGCCAATTCAAATTTTCAACTCGATTTGTTAAAATTTTTCTTTCACAGGAGGAAGGTGACAAAGTTAATAGTTACAAAGCAGAAACAAAAAAGGGGAGAAAAGTCAAAACCAAGAAAACTCAAAAAATTATGTAACAATAATTTGCTTAGCTTGACATGTACTCAAATGCAATTTTACATATATGCAGCCCTCTCCCCTCCCAGTATCACTGGTAGAGGGTCTTGACTGCAAGTTGTCCAGGTTCTTGGTGTTTTGAACAAAGAATTGGACAAAATGCCCAGCAAAGCAAAGGAAAATAGTTAAATTATGACAATACTAACCTCTAATAAGCTGAGGTCTAAACTGATGAACTCAGTCACAGACCTTACTGTATTTCAATAGACATACATGCTATCACCAAAGTATTTAGATCTGGCTGGGACCTGAGAGAACAGCTGGACCTAGGAGTAACCACTGGCCGAATGCACTGTTAGAGCACCAGCCAGCCCTGTGTTTACGGTTGGAGCAAGCTCACCTGAATCACACACAGTAGCAATGTCACCTGAGGTTTCACTGGCAGAAACAGCCGTGACAGGGCTTTTATGTCCTGCCAGACTTTGTACATAGCATAACCTGAAAGACAAAAGACATGAATTTGTATATGATCATTAAATATAATTGTATTCTCTTATTTTGTAATGCTTTTCTTCAGTCTATGTACCTATACATAAGGCATACATGTTTTCCTATCTAATTGTTTGACTTCAATAAAATATAAAGGTAATCTTACTATCTTTAAGTATGGTTAAAATTATTATAATGTAAAGATATTATTTTGGTGTATCTATTTCATGTAGTAAAAACGGACATACTAAAAATAGCTGTGTTTGAGTTGGAGACCTCCTTCTGTACCTGTTTAAATCCCATATGATGCACGTTCCGTCTCTGCTCACACTTATCAGTATACTGTACGGTTTGCAAACAAATAAACTGGTTATCTCTTCTGTGTGACCATAGAGATGTATCTGAGTCTCCATTTCTATCTCTGATGGCTGAAATTTAAAAATTAAGTATAAGATAAAAATCACAACAAAAGTATTCTAGTATAGTATCTCAAAAATAAAACCACCAAAGGGACTCAGATGGTCTACTCAAACATATCATTCTTCAATCCTATTCAGAGTAAAACAAAGACAAATTAAACAATTTTTAATTCCTCACAATTTCAACTTATATGCTTTTCATTTTTCTATCTATTCTTATCTATATTCAAATATACATGTGTTTTTATAGTTGTAATACTGCCACATAAAAAATGTCCTATTTTATATGTTACATATTCTTCCAAAAGCATTTTCCAATTTTAATATTGTCTTCAAAATAATTTTTAATAGTGTTATATTCTATAGTTAGTACACCATAATTTACAAATATTCTTCATTGATAAACATTTAAAATTATTGCTATTTTTTCTAAATTGTAGATAATACCATAAATTCTTCATGCATAAAAGGTTTTTAGTAGATTAGAGGATAGACCTTTGGGAAATAAAGTTTTTTAAGAAGAAATGCTTCTGTTAAAAAAAAAAAAAGCTTTGTTCCTTTTCTGAATTATTTCTTTGGAATAAATTTCCAAAATTTTACTAGTGGGTCTGTGAATAATAATTTTGTAGTTCTTGACAGTATACTTTAAGAAGGTATCATACAAATTGGTGATGTCACCAGTGGTGATGGGCCCTAATACCACCAATACTCATCAGCAGTTATGGACTGACTTTTTATTTTTTATTATTTATTTATTTATTTATTTGAGATGGAGTTTCGCTCTCGTTACCCAGGCTGGAGTGCAATGGCACAATCTCGGCTCACCGCAATCTCCACCTCCCGGTTTCAGGCAATTCTCCTGCCTCAGCCTCCTGAGTAGCTGGGATTACAGGCACGCGCCACCATGCCCAGCTATTTTTTTGTATTTTTAGTAGAGACGGGGTTTCACCACGTTGACCAGGATGGTCTCGATCTCTTGACCTCGTGACCCACCCGCCTCGGCCTCCCAGAGTGCTGGGATTACAGGCTTCAGCCACCGCGCCCGGCCTGGACTGACTTTTTAAATCAAAGCCTGCAAACTGGTGCTCTGAGGTCCACATTGGCTCACGGATACTAGATATCCACATAGGTTTGACTCTTGCTTTATTTGTTAGGTTAACTATTATCATAAAGCATTTCAATATTTCCCCTTCAAAAATACAGACAAGTAGAAAGAATAAGTGTAATAAAGAGCTATATACTGACTACCCAGTTAAATAAATCTTAACATTTTATATTATCAATTTATTTTATCTTAATTTTTTTTGAGACAGAGTTTCACTCTTTTTGCCCAGGCTGAAGTGCAGTGGCACGATCTTGGTTCACTGAAACCTTTGCCTCTTGGGTTCAAGCCATTCTCCTGCCTTAGCCTCCTGAGCAGCTGGAATTACAGGCGTGCGCCACCACGCTCAGCTAATTTTTTGTATTTTTAGTAGAGATGGGGATTCTCTACGTTGGCCAGGCTGGTCTCAAACTCCTGACCTAAAGTGATCCACCCGCCTTGGCCTCCCAAAGTGCTGGGATTACAGGCATGAGTCACTGGGCTCAGCCATCAAATTATTTTTTAAATAAAGCATTAAACATTGTAAATATAATTTGTATACTGTCCTGTAGCCTATTTCTTCTCTCTGTCAGAAGTTATAACCATTCTAAATTTTGTATTTATGTTCCTTTATAACACATAATACATATATGTGTTATATTGTATTTTATGTTTATGAATTTTAAACTTTTTTTTTGAGATGAAGTTCACTTTTTTGTTCAGGCTAGGGTGCAATGGCACGATCTTGGCTCACCGCAACGTTTGCCTTCCAGTTTGAAGTGATTCTCCTGTCTCAGCTTCTGAGTGGGTGTGATTACAGATGCCTCCCACCATGCCTGGCTGATTTTTGTATTTTTAGTACAATGGGGTTTCACCATATTGGCCAGGCTGGTCTTGAACTCTGGACCTCAAGATCTGCCCATCTGGCCTCCCAAAGTGCTGGGATTATAGCATGAACCATCACACCCAGCCAAACATATGGTATTATTTTTTAGGTATCTTCTGCATCTTGCCTTTTTCTCAAAAACACCATTGTTTTTGAAATACATCTGTGCTGATACGTTAGGTATAGCATATCTATCTTAGCTGCTATATACTCCAGTTACATATTTTTATATACATAAAAATACATATTTTGCATGTAAAGAATTGAAAGACCAGGCAATACCAGGCTCACACTGTTCCTTGGAACAACTGGCTTGAGCTGTGTAGCAACTGCCTGTTAAGCTAAAGCATGTGACCTTCAACTGAAAACAATCACAGAGAACAGGTCAGCTTCAAACAAGAGCAAGAGTCATAGGCCTGCATCCCTAGGCCCTCCCTTTAGAACCATTCTGGCTCTCCAACTGTGACTCTCCCCATAGCCAGGAGTCTGCAGAGCCATTGGGATATGCCCATAGCCCATGTCAGATCATGCTCCGAGGTATGTAGGACCAAGGAATTCCCTGCTCAGAAGGATCTGAGTCCCTTGCTTTTCTGCTTGGGTTCTGTGGCACTGAGTTTGTGATTCGGCCCCACTGTAAATCTGAACATTTTCTAAGTTTCAAGTGGCGATTAAGATTGTTTTAAAATGATATTTATTTTATTATAACTAAGTTTGAACTTTTTCATAGTCATTTTCTTAACTGTATTTTTTTGTGCCTGGTTTTACGTATTTGTCACTACATTAAAATCTTATTTGTAGGAATTCCTCTATTTGTGGAACAGAATGCCAGTAACTTCCTTGTTTCTGCCAGGTGACACAGACCACCACACCAGTCTGGGGCCACCTTAATGCAAAGTGAAATCTTTGAGGATCCTAGAGAACCTAGGAAATCCCAGCCAGGATATAACTCCATGCAAGGGTTCTCCTGTGCAACTCATTTTCATTCTGAAGAGTGCAGCCCATGAGGGACCAGCCTTTTGGAGGCGGGCTCTCTTGGCATTCCCCAGATTGCTTAGTTCCTGGGTGCTGTTTTCCATTTCTTCCACGGAGGCTGTCCAAGGACAGTGTCAGTGTTTCAGGATTGACAATGTCCTCAGGGCTAAAGCTCCTTCCTGCTTATTTACCTCTCTGGCTTGGTAGTTTCTTACTAGCTTGTCAGATCTTCAATGCTTCAATTTATATATATATATATATATATATATGTGTGTGTGTGTGTGTGTGTATACACACACACAACTAAGACTGAATAAAAATATATTTTATCAGTATATATTTACATTGTATTAAAATATATGCTAATACGTTACATTAAAACATGAATATATTTTATGAAGACACATTTTTGTATATATATCTTATCTAGTCTTAGTTGTTTCAGGGAGGGTTATTCTGAACAAAGAAACAGGAAATCTCTTTTTGGCCACTGGCCATGATCATAGTTTGTTTATTTTTGTTTTTTGAGACAGGGTCTTACTCTGTCACCCAGGCTGCAGTGTAGTGGTGTGATTATAGCTCACTGTAGCCTCAAACTCCTGGGCTTAAGTGATCCTCCCATCTCGGCCTCCTCAATAATAGGACTACAGGTGTGCACTACCATGTCCAACTACTTAAAAAAATTTTTTTGTGGAGATGGGGTCTTGCTATGCTGCCCATGCTGGTCTCAAACTCTTGGCTTCAAGTGTTTGGACAGTCCTCCTACCTGGGAAGGCCTCCCAAAATGCTGGGATTACAGGCATGAACCACTGTGACTGGCCCGTATTTTTAATAAGGACAAACAAGTGATTTTCTTTTCTTTTTCTTTTTTTTTTTTTTTCTTTTTTGAGACAAAGTCTCGCTCTTGTGGCCCAGGCTGGAGTGCAATGGCATGATCTTGGTTCACTGCAACCTCTGCCTCCCAGGTTTAAGCGATTCTCCTGCCTCGCCTTCCCAAATAGCTGGGATTACAGGTACCTGCCACCATGCCTGGCTAATTTTTGTGTTTTTAGTAGGGACCGGGTTTTCCCTGTGTTGGCCAGGCTGGTCTCAAACTCCTGACCTCAGGTGATCTGCCCACCTCAGCCTCCCAAAGTGCTGGGATTACAGGTGTGAGCCACCACGCCTGGCCTACAAGTGATTTTCATATTACAGAGTGGAATGTGAATCAATCCATTCATTGATTTATCCAACAAACACTGCCGAGTATCCCCTACTGTGTACCTGTCACTGAACCAGGAGCTGAGGATACAGAGTTCCCTTCCGGGAGCTCCATGGCAGTAAGGAGTGAGAGCTACCAAAGAGGATTTTCACAGAGAACTCTGGAGACCCACTGATGGGTCGCTTCCTCAGACTGGGGACAGGGAGTGAAAGCAGGATTTCCTGGGAGATGCCATATGAGCAGAAGTTTTGAAGAACTGGCAGAAATGACTCAAAGAAAATTCTGTCTGGCTGTCAAAGGTCACTTTGGGCTAAGAAAACAGCATGTGTGAGGGAAAGGAGATATGAGAGAATGTGGCACTGCCAATGTTACTGGGAGCAGGGTAGGTAGGGAGCAGGAAGAAATGGGGTGGTGAGGTAGAGGGGGTGATGAGGCAGAGGGGTCAGAGCATGGAGCCTGGTGTGTGATGCCTAGCAACCTACATTTTAACCCCCAATCAATAAGCGGTCACTGAAGTGTTTGCGGCAGGAAAATGGGATGCAGTCGGCATTTAGGAAGGCAATCATGGAGCCTGCAAGGAGATTCAACTTCCAGGGACATGAGACTGGGGGCCAGGACACCAGTGAGAAGGTCAACGTAGGGACCCAGGCAGGATGCAGAGGGCTGAGCTGAGGCAATGGGCAGAAGGACACCTGGAGGAGACAGGCTTGACTCATTTCTATTTATTCTGCCAGGAATTGCTGTGATTCTTCAATCCAAATAATATTGTTCTTGAATGAAGTAATACTACCTTGTATAAGCTGCATATATATTCTATTACCCTCAAGTTAGAGAACAGATATATAGGTGTTCACTTATATGAAGATAATGTGGCCATGTGGCCATGTTACTCACTTAGTGACAGAATAATTCGAGAGCAACTATTTTAAAATTAGTTATCGTGTTTAGAAGATATTCTCCCCTGACATTTAAATTGCTTTGAGGTAACAATCCCATATACCAAGTCAACTTATCATTACTGAGAATGCATTTTGGAAGACTTTATGTTGGGTGCTTCAAAAGAAGCAGTGCTCAAAGTCAGATATGCTTACTAGCTATGGAAGGTATTTCATAAGATCCCCTTGAAAGTATTTTCAAACAAGGATTTGGCCACATCCTATATGGGACTTAGCTGGGGAGCCCATCTTTTGTCTGTGTTAAAGACAACCAAAAGGAGGACATGAACATTTTAAAAACCATGGCATTCAGTGGGTCAGGAAAGCTGCAGAACAGAAACTAGTGAACATGAGGTGTCTCCTGCTAACCTCACAGGCTCAGGGTCAGAACTGCAACTTGAGAGATGCCAGAATAGTGACACGGTCCTTGGGAAATAGCAACAATGTCTACAAATACCCAAGTAATCTCCCCTCAAAACAAACCGATAAAACTACACGGCTAAGTTAGACTTTTTGACGCTGCTTAATAGTAACTATTAATCTCATGATTTCATTACCTAATATTTATGTAAAAAAAAACCGACATAAATGAGCTGAAAAATCTGCTTTAAGGCAAATATATAACTGAGAAAAGATAAGCAACATAAGCCTTCACAAGTATGTCATGACCTGAAAACTAAAAAGTATATGTCTTGCAGTATTTAAATTATAATAGTTACGCTCTTGATCTGCTTTCTCAAAGCTATTCTGTGCAAAAATACTCTTATAGTGACAGCTTAACCTTTTTTTTAAACCTGTACTGCACACTGTGTTAGTGCATAAATAAAAATGGAGAAGTAGGGAAAACTAAGAACAAGGCTGCTCAACATATTGGCAAAAGCAAACGGAAACAAAAAGCAAAAGATAAAGCCAGTTTTTTTTAAAAAGGTGTCTATGTCATGGTACAAAATGATCCAAGTGCACAAGCAGACAACTGCCCCAGCAGCGGGTTTAGAACAGATTTCTAGGAGGAAGAAGGGGAGCTCAGAAGATTAAAGGCAATGGCAGCGTGAATATTACAGATGTTATAAAATTAACATTCATTTTAAGCCTTTGGGAATCAAAAGGTGACAAAAGGAGACATTCAAAAAGTTATGACACTTATATTCTCTGCTTATATCCTTTTAAATTTCAGACAGGTCTTGCTCTGCCACCAGGCTGCAGTGCAGTGGTGTGATCACGGGTTACTGCTGTGATCCTCCCACCTCAGCCTCCCTTGTAGCTGAGACCACAGGCACGCACCACCACGCCTGACTAATTTTATTTTTGTTTTTTGGTAGAGACAATCTCAAATTCCTGGGCTCAAGCGATACTCTTGCCTTGGCTCCCAAAGTGCTGGGACCCACAGGTGTGAGCCACTGCACCCTGCTTATATTCTTTAGCATTCTTTTTATCGTGTCATATAAGAAGCCCATCACTGGCCTTGATCTATTTTTCCTGCCCTGCTTTTGTCATTCTTCCTGAACACATTACACTCTAAACTACACAGAAAAGTATTTGCCACCTCCAAAATCCCTATGCTTTTGATTCCAGGATGTTGTGTAAACTATTTCCTCTGCCTGAAATGTTCTTTCCTCTTTCCTTCACTTATAGTAGATTGATTCTTTAGGATCCAGCTAAGTGTAACTTATCAGGCTCTCTGATGTCTGGATGCCCTTCTTCTGTGGTCCTCTAGCCTCAGTGTGAGCCTTTCTTAGAACACGTGCTCCATTATTCTGCCTCCTTAACCTGCCCTTCTCTTCTTTCTGTCTGGATCACTGTGGTGGCCTTCTCGCTGGTGTCCTGGCTCCCAGTCTCATGCCCTTGGAAGTGTTTCTCCCTGCAGGCTCTATAGTGGTCTCCCCCTAAAATTTTGACTGGATCATATAACTCCTACTGAAACCATCTTAATGGCTCCTTAGACTAAGAGATAGAAACAAAATGTGGTCACATTTATACCCCAGGGACCATGCAAAGAAACTTAACAAGAGTTCAAAAGGAAACCTTGGAAAGGAAAGTAAGAACTGGCTGGGTGCAGGACTTTGAGAGGCGAAGGCAGGTGGATCATGTGAGGTCAGGAGTTTGAGACCAGCCTGACCGACATGGCAAAACCCTGTCACTACTGAAAATACAAAAATTAGCCAGGTGTGGTGGTGGGTGTCTGTAATCCCCACTACCCAGGAGGCTGAGGCAGGAAAATTGCTTGAACCCAGAAGGTGGAAGTTGCAGTGAGCTGAGATTGAGCCATTGCCCTCCAGCCTGGATGACCCAGTGAGACTCCATCTCAAAAGAAAAGAAAAGAAAAGAAAAGAAAAGAAAAGAAAAGAAAAGAAAAGAAAAGAAAAGAAAAGAACAGAACAGAACAGAACAGAACAGAACCTGGGAGTCATCCTATGCTAGAAATACAAGTTTCATCCAGTAAAACAGATTTAATACTTAGAAAATTGTAATGAAAAAAAATATACAGTGAAAATTCTAGATCAGAATGATTATTACTGGATGACAAACTAAACTTGCCCCTTATCCTCCACTGCACCACAGGCAGTTGATCCAAGAAACAAAACTAGGCCAGGCATGGTGGCTCATGCCTGTAAACTCAGCACTTTGGGAGGCTAAGATGGGAGATCACTTGAAACCAGGAGTTTGAGATCAGCCTGGTCAACATGGCAAAACCCCATCTCTACTAAAAATACAAAAATTGGCTGGGTGTTGTGGTGTACGCCTGTAGTCTCAGCTACTTAGGAGGCTGAGGCACAAGAATCGATCGAGCCCAGGAGGTGGAGGTTGCAGTGAGCTGAAATCACGCCACTGCACTCCAGCTTAGGCAACAGAAGGAGACTCTGTCTCAAAAAACAAACAAAAACTAAGTAACACAAACCCAAAACCCCAGTAACAGTAAGTTAAAAGAAGCATTGCATAATGTCTTATTTTCTTCCGTTTTATGATTCAACTCCAGCATCCTGGGAATTCAGTGGAATGGCTAAAAAATAAAATTTCTTCCACTAAGTGGTACAAATCCAGATTACTTAGATTTTGCTGTCATTTAATTTACCCAGACGGTATGGGAATGTTGGACATTAGGGTTTCTAAGCTTTCAAACTTGATAGAATCTTAGTATACTCCTAAGCGTTCAGGTTTATATTGCAAATATAGGTAAGTACCAAAATGCCATTTAAAAGCCTAAATACAAAACAGATCATAACTCAAAATACTGTCTCTGAAACAAAAAAATGGGACTATTAAAATTGTTTTTGGGCTGGGTGCGATGGCTCACGACTGTAATCCCAGCACTTTGGGAGGCCAAGGCGGGTAGATCATGAGGTCAAGAGATTGAGACCATCCTGGCCAACGATGGTGAAACCCCATCTCTACTAAAAAAAACAAACCACAAAAATTAGCTGGGTGTGGTGTTGTGTGCCTGCAGTCCCAGACACTCAGGAGGCTGAGGCAGGAGAACTGCTTGAATCCAGGAGGTGGAGGCTGCAGTGAACCGAGATTGCGCCACTACACTCCAGCCTGGCCAGACTGGTGAGACTCAAGTTTCAAAAAAAAAAAAAAACAATTTGTTTTCAAGATTTTTCATGATCCTAATAAAACCCTAAAGAATTTTAAGACCTAATGTTGGGAGCAGATTAAAGGCATAAACATTTTAAGTTAATCTTATGCACAATGAATTATATTTCATGAAGGTTTTCTTCCCCTCATTGACAAAGTCCCATACTACCCACACCGAAGGCCCAGAACCTACCGTGCTGCTTGTAAATCTGTTTGTGTAGGCTGTGATAACACCGCATTTGCTTCCAGTAAACAGCTGGCAGCTGTCAGGCACCCAAGCACAACTAGTCACCTTTGAAAAAGGACAACTCAAACATTATCGTTTTAAAAGCATGAAAAATGTTTCTACTTTTCATGACAACTATTTTTTTAAATCTCAAAAATTTTAGGTCAACATTTACTTGAAAAGAGTAGAAAGGTGTCAGATATAATAATACTCTAACTTTGAGCCAAATGTCTAAAAGTTGTTTCCAAATTAAAATATATTATAATGCACAGTTTATGTGTATATGTGCCTATGTGTGTATGTATGTGTGTATATATATATGTATATATATTTATATAAATTTAACAAAATGATTCAGGATTAAATTTAAGGTTGAGTGTGAATGTATGTGTACTTCACATATTTATTTGCTTTTGCTTTTATTTTTCTGCTGTTATGTCTTTGGTGGGGAAACAGCATACGTATAAATAGAGATATTGCTTCTAATAGTTCTAAAGATTGTGAAGCAGGAGAAGAAAGATAAGTGTGAATGTTAAAGATGGGATTATGCCTTTGGTACAAAATCCCTCAGTCCTAACCATGGAAGAGGCACCATTCAGGTTTGAGTTAATTTTTTGTGTGGCCTGACAGGTCCTCTTTTCTACACTAGCTGACCCCCATCCCTAGCACCACGTCTGCAGCAACTGTCCCCAAGTGCCCTTCTGTCTCCCCTCCCCCATGATCACTTCACTAAGCAGACAGAGGCCACCAGCCACACACCTCTTCCTCTTCTCTCTCTTGCAACTCAACATGTTTCCCTGTCTTCTGATTCAGAGAAGGAAATGTCTCTGCTTTCAAGGTCAGCCTTGCCTCATCCCCAGGCTTCCTCAGAAACCTTGTCTTCTTTTTCTTACAGTTTCAAACTGTCTCTTGCTGGCTTCCTCCCCTGCACTACAAGTGTGTTCATGTCTCTGCTACCTTAGAAAAAGACTTTTTCTGAACTTTATTAACTCCTGTTATGCCATAAGGATCTGCTGAATCCAATTTTATGTTTTCGGTTTCTTTCTTGAGTAGTTCTATTTGTAATGATTGATACTTCATAAATTCTATTCTTTCTTGGAGGTCTTCCAAAGAACAAGGAGAAAATGCACTTTTAAAAAATATACAGAATAAAACTCATTCTGTCTTGGAATTACCATATGGATCCAGTAAATCTTTTATCAACCTAAGTTACATTATAAGATTTTAATAACTAACTTATTTTTCTATATCCTGAAACATTTTGCTATTTCATCATTCTAAAAATTATTTCATCATTACTCATCAATTTTTCCTAACTCCGCAACAAACAAACAAACAAACAAACAAACAAGGAAATGAGAGAATGATGGAATCTCCCATGAGGATAACGTAATATGTGAACTAAATTGTCATCTTTTGGTTTTCTTATTGCATTGTCCAAAGTATAGCGTCATCTTTCAAGAAAGTAAAAAAGAAGGCTAGAGATACCACTTCTGTAGTCTACTTTTGGCTTTCATTGAACACAGTGGAGAATTCAGAATTTTTCATTTTCTACCAATAATAACCAAGAGAAGAAAGGTGACAGAGGAAGATGTTTCACAATTATGAGACTAATCACAACATGAAGTCACACAGCCATCAGGACTCTAAGACTCTAGTGATGATGATGAAATTTATCATATAAGTGAAATGTCAGAGTGTGAGTCTTTATATAATAATATCCTAGCTGAATTTTCTTAAAGAATTAATGGGTGAACAAAAACATGTCTTTAGAAATATATCTCTAGATGAAAACGCAATATAGTATTATTCAGTTAGTCATTTGACTCAAAGTATCACACAACATTATCACATTATGATACAAATGATTTTGCTATGTTTAAATTCTTTTTTTTTTTTTTTTTGAGATCGAGTCTTACTCTGTCACCCAGCTGGAGTGCAATGGCGTGGTCTTGGCTCACTGCAACCTCTGCCTTCCAGGTTCAAGTGATTCTCCCGCCTCAGCCTCCCAAGTAGTGTGCCACCATGCCTAGCTAATTTTTGTACTTTTAGTAGAGATGGGATTTCACTATGTTGGCCAGGCTGGTCTCGAACTCCTGACCTTGTGATACATCTGCCTTGGCCTTCTAAAGTGCTGGCATTATAGGCATGAGCCACTGTGCCCAGCCTAAATTTTTTTATATATATGGTGAAATATTATTCAGCTTTTAAAAAGATGGAAATCCTGTTATTTGTGGTAACACAAATGAACCTGGGGGACCCTGTATTAAGTAAAATCTGCTGGGCCCAGAAAGACACATAACGTATGATCCTACTTATGTGTGGAATCTCAAATAAGCCAAACTATAAAAGCAGAGAGTAGAACAGCATTAGCCAGGGGCTGAGAGTGCTGGTAATGTGTGTGGAATGGGGTGACAGTGGTCAAAGGGTACAAGTTTCAGTTGTGCAGGATGATTAGGTTCTGGAGATCTAATGTAAAACATGGTGACTACTGTTAACAATATTGTGTTGGCCAGGCATGGTGGCTCATGCCTGTAATCCCAGCACTTTGAGAGGCCAAGGCAGGTGGATCACAAGGCCAAGAGATCAAAACCATCCTGGCCAACATGGTGAAACCCCATCTCTACTAAAAACACAAAAATTAGCCAGGCTTGGTGGTGCATGCCTATAGTCCCAGCTACTCAGGACAATGAGGCAGGAGAACTGCTTGAACCCAGAAGGTGGAGGTTGCAGTGAGCCAAGATTGCGCCACTTCATTCCAACCTAGTGACAGAGTGAGACTGTCTCAAAAAAAAAAAATAAAATAAAATAAAAAAAAATTGTGTTGTATTCTTGAAATTTGCTAAGATAGTAGACCTTAAATGTTCTCATCACACACATAAAAAATGCTAACTAAGTGAGGTGATGGATGTGTTAATTAGCCTGATTACAGTAATCATTTCGCAATAACATCAGCTTCTGGCTGGACAAATTGAGGGATATTAAAAACTAGCTGCTTGGCTGGGCAGAGTGGCTCATGCCTGTAATCTCAGCACTTTAGGAGGCTGAGGCAGGAGAATTACCTGAGGTCAGGAGTTCAAGACCAACCTGGCCAACGTGGTGAAACCCCATCTCTACCAAAAATACAAAAATTAGCCAAGTGTGGTGGCACATGCCTGTAGTCCCAGCTACCTGGGATGCTGAGGCAGGAGAATCGCTTGAACCAGGGAGGTGGAGGTTGCAGTGAGCACAGATTGCACCACTGCACTCCAGCCTGGGTGATAGAATGAGGCTTCGTCTCAAAACGAACCAACCAAACTACCTAGCTGCTATCAGTCTGACTCATTTTTATGCATTGTATTTAATTATTATAAAGAATCCATAAAAAAGTTTACCTGGGGTCAGGCACAATGGCTCAGGCCTGTAATCCCAGCACTTTCGGAGGCCGAGATGGGTGAATCACTTGAGCCCAGGCGTTTGAGGCTAGCCTCGGCAACATGGTGAAACCCTATCTCTAAAGATAATATAAAAATTGTCAAGGTGTGGCGGCAGGTACTGTAGTCCCAGCTACTCAGGAAGCTGAGGCAGGAGGATAACTTGAGCCTGGGTGGAGGAGGTTGCAGTGAGCCAAGATTGCGCTATTGCACTTCAGCCTAGGCAACAGAGCGAGACTCTGTCTAAAATTAAAAAAAAAAAAAAAAGTTACCTTGTACTGTTGTGAACTTTGAATGAAGTTTACTGGAGGTTCACTTTGTTTACTCTTCAACCTTAAAATATTATCAGCATATCCCCAGCTCAGGATGGCTGACCACTGAATGTCCGTACTGTTCATGCTTCTCACACCTCAAGGAAAAGGAGAAAGAAAAGAATCAGATTGTCACTGCTCAGCTGTTACATGACAGCCTCAAACTGGCAGATTAAAGGCTGAAGTTCACATAGCAGAACATATCATTTGGTGTAAAACCATCTTTATATCCCTAAGATGGAACAATTTTTAGTTTTATTCCTTTAATGCTAATAGGATTCTCAGGGTGGGATTATATTTTTTCACTTACGTTGTTTTGGCTGGGATTTTTTTGACTCAAAACTAAAATTTCTGTTAAGAAATTATTATAAAAAACAATGACAGTCAAGCTTACTCTATTCATGTTCTGAGACACCTTTTCTTTTAAAAATAAATATCAACTAGATACTATTTAAATAACTTTCTAGATACCCAGGATGGACAACTGTTAATAGCAGGAAGACAACACTGCTAGACCAGAAGCAACACCTAGGCTGAGAAGGGAATTGTTTAATCCTGTCAACTGCAGGACTGTGTACGGCAGACCTTCTTCATTCAGGGAGGCTCTGTTCTCTCTCTCTCTCTCTTTTTTTTTTTTTTTTTTTTTTGAGACGGAGTTTCACCCTTGTTACCCAGGCTGGAGTGCAATGGCACGATCTCGGCTCACCGCAACCTCCGCCTCCCGGGCTCAGGCAATTCTCCTGCCTCAGCCTCCTGAGTAGCTGGGATTACAGGTATGCGCCACCACGCCCAGCTAGTTTTTTTGTATTTTTAGTAGAGACGGGGTTTCACCATGTTGACCAGGATGGTCTTGATCTCTCGACCTCGTGATCCACCCGCCTCGGCCTCCCAAAGTGCTGGGATTACAGGCTTGAGCCACCGTGCCCGGCCTCTCTCTCTCTTTTGAGACAGAGTCTTGCTCTATCACCTAGGCTGGAGTGCAGTGATGCACTCTTGGCTCACTGCAACCTCTGCCCCCTGGGTTCAAGTGATTCTCATGCCTCAGCCTCCCGAGCAGCTGGGACTACAGGCAATTGCCACCATGCCCAGCTGACTTTTTTTTTTTTTGTATTTTTAGTAGAGACAGGGTTTCACCATGTTGGCCAAGGCTGGTCTCGAACTCCTCAAGTGATTCACCTGCCTTGGCCTCCCAAAGTGCTAGGATTATAGGAGTGCCCGGCTCTCTCTCTCTCTCTTTTTTTTTAACAACATAGTATTATGTCTTTTTGGCATAAAAATTTGGAAATTTTGACATCATTTCCCAGTACTATTATCTATGCTTTGTTGGTATGCTGAATATATCTAAATGCAGCATAGATGCTAGAAATGGTACTGCCCTTGAAACTTGCAATATTTTAAGTTCCTAAAGGAGAGATAATGTGCTTTATTTATTCCAGTATCCAGCAGAATACCCAGCATGTAGATGGGTATAACAAATATTTCTTGAATCAATCAATAGTATACTGGAAATAGGCAATTCATAGCTTTCTTTTTGTTTTGTTGAGTAAAATAAGAAAAGTGACCTAACTTTCATCTGTAAGCTACATTGCTGTTCAGTCAATGCCTCTCTAGAATGTCTATGTGGACTGTTCCTTGCTGGCTCTAGTGTTGGGTGTATCTAGTAAACACTGACCTTTCCCAGACCCTAGAGTATTTACTGGCCAATAAATATTTATTAAGCACTTAAGAGTGAACCAGGCACTGTGCTAATCAGCCCCATACATTATTGCATTGAATCCTTATGGTAAATTATCCTGTGAGGTAAATTTTTTGGTTATTCCTACTTTATAGATCAAAAGCCAGGATTCATGAAGCACGAAGTAACTTCCCCAAGGCCACATTACTAGTAAGCAGCAGGGCAAGGAGGCAAACTCAGGAGCTGAGCCTGCTGAGGCCACGGCAGAAACCATTCTATTAAACTACTGCTCTGGACATACTCAGGTTCTGACAAATTCCAAATACGCTATGCGAGGAAGTTAAGTGTAATTTGAATGAACATAGCTATTAAGGACACACTAAGGGTTCATGACTGTAGTGGCACAAATAAGACAGGCTTAGAATATGTTTGACATATTTAAGTCTCATAATGCTAAGTGATCATACCTGTCCTTTCTCTGTTGCTCAACAGAGAGAAACTTTAGTGTACTCTAACCACATGTTGATACGCTGGTGGTATTACTAGCAAATTACTTGTAAATTACCTCATAACTAATTGTAACATACTAATAAGAATAAACCATTGATATCACAACGATTATGATTAAGCAGATCTACCTTATCTTATTAACTCACTAAATATAGATGAAATGGTATGCATTATTTCTAACTATAAAAGCAATCATTCATTTCGTGACAGAAGTAAGAGTGAGTCTAAAAGAACTATGGCCCAGCTAGCATACTTATTTTCTTTAAGTGACTGATATTTTCTCTGGGTGCTGGCACCCTTGTATTGCAGTTTGGATGGAAGGCTATATACGGCTCCCAAGGAGCACAGTGCACAGAAGGTAATGGTAATTGCCAGCAGTGCTGGCTACTAACAGGCATCTAGTCCACACATTGGCTTTTAGGCAAGTCTGCATATAACCTGATAGGAAGAGATGAGTGCCCCAAGTCCATGCCTAGGAAGTAGAAAGAGTTCTTTTGCTTCTAATAAAATGGCTAATTTGGAATGGCTGCGAGACTACTCAAACAGAAAATGTCCCTAGTTTTCCAGTGTCTAGTTGACATTTAGAAGCATGAAGAGGCCTCTACTGCACAGCACTGTCCCACATGTTGCTTTTAGTGAGTCAGTATGTGAGGAGTCAGAAAAGTTTTCAGGAATACATGTCTTTAAAACCTATTTTCAAGGCTATCTTGACACTTTTGTTTTGTTTGTTGCTTAAACCCATGACTATATCCTCTAAGGTGGTAGATTTGTTGGTCAAATATGTCTGTCTATTCTGGAGCTCAAGAGTCTCCCAAATGTATCCTTCTGCCAAACTGATAATGTCTTCAGTTTGTGAACATAACCATTTATTCTTGTCCCCTTCAACTTCCTCCTCTCATTTCAAATGATGCTGCATTTAACGGTCTGCTTTTTCATATAGTATGTTTTCAATCCCACGTTGCACTAAAGAACCACAATTCTGAGCTGAGTTTTTCCACCAAGGACTCAAAGTAGCAACACAGATGAACTAGAACGATTCAAATCTCATGAAAGACATATCCAGAATGATTTTCATTATGTTTTATTTTACCTTGTTCCTTGCTATAAGTCATCAGAAGACAGAAATTTCGTGACAAACCACAGATTGCTCTGGTGGGCAGAGCCTGGAGAGAACCGAATCTTTCTCCATGGGGCTGGCTGAAGCAGACCACAGGTACTGGAGCACTTGGGGAACCCACGTACTCCCCCCATTTCAAGCCTTTTATCCATGATAAAGGACTCTAAAACCAAGACAAACAAAAAGCATGGACTTTTAAAAATTAGTAAGTATAAAATTACTCCTAATTTAAGCTCTAAACAAAGAGAATGTCATATGGATTATAATCTCTGTGAGGGCAATAATTACTTTACACATGTTTTTACTTCCCTATGCTTAGCATATAGAAATATTTTTTCCTTATTTGAGTTTTACTCTGTGGTTCTGGCCTAACTTGCATGAAAATATGTGGTTAACAATTAGAAATTCCTTGAAATTTGAGCAGAGAAAAAAAATTTAGTCTATTTCTTATTTCTAGTTGAAATACCTAAACTAAAGTTGATATTTATTGGAGGATTGTAATTTGGTAGTATGACAAGCCATACGTACATATGGCAAGAGAAATCAAGACCACATGTAGCAAAGGAAACCTTACTCAGCTGTGAGCTCCTTGAAGAGAGGGGACACCTCTGATTCATCTACGTGACGAATGAAAGGAAAGTGTTTATCTATGTGCCTGGAACACAGCAGGTTCTCATCTCAAATAGAGAATGTGATGAGTGAAAGGAAAGTGTTTATCTATGGAACATACTGAAAGGATTAGAGGACCTCTAGCAAGTACTAGGGAAGAAGAGATGAGAAAGAATTGTCAGTGAAAAATAAAAGGCAGAGCTTGAGGAACATTAGGATTTGGGGAAAGAAACGTGAGTGAAGTCTCTTAGACAGTGATACCCATGTGGCTGCCCATGAATAGTAATGGAAAGGTTTCCTCCACTTCAAGCAAACACAATTATTAAAAAGTTTCAAAATCAAGAAGAAAAGACATAATACCCTTTTAAAGAGTTTCTCCCAATAGTTCTTTTTGTTCTCTTTATGACTGTTTTATCCTCTACTGAACTCTTCTTTTTTAGTGGATTCCCCTCTTTTAGATATTTAAGAGTTTAACCCATTATATTACTTTCAACTCTTCAGAGAAAATGCCACATAAAATAAAAATATTATACTAAGCAATTTTCAGTCATTTCTGTAAAAAACCTAATGATTTTTAGTGAAACTTGCTTATGTCATTTCCCAAATAAATTTAAAAAAATAGGCGTCATTGACCTATATGCTATCTTTAAAATAAAATCATACCACTTTAAGAGCTATTAATAATTCTGTCAGCATATTTAGGGGATATGTTAATATACAGTTTTAAATGATATCATAGTTGTCTAAAAAATGAATATTTCTGGAAAAGCTTAAGAGCTTCAGGAATGCTCAAGTGGCAACAGAGGTTAGGGACAGGTAATTTGAAAACAAGCTTTTTCTAAAATCTTGTCTATCAAAGTTTTTTTTGTGGTTCCCCTATGGGATACAAACCTATCAATATTAAAGTTGAGAAAAATGTGTGTGCTAATTTTATAGTTATAATTTATCATCCATAATTCCTTGCCAGGAAGTTCCTTTTATATGAGTTGCAGAGTTTAAACTTCTAGTTTTTCAACGACACACAAAGATACAATGGCAACTCTTTTATATCATAGTATATTTATTATCATTCTCATCATCATTATTATTATAAGTTCTGGGATACAGTGCAGAATGTGTAGGTTTGCTACATAGGTATACATGTGCCACGGTGTTTTGCTGCACCTATCAACCCATCACATGGGTTTTAAGCCCTGCATGCATTAGGTGTTTGTCCTAATGCTTTCCCTCCCCTCCCTCTCAGCCCCGCATGGCCCCAGTGTGTGTGTTTTCCCCTCCCTGTGTCCATGTGTTCTCATTGTCCAATTCCCACTTATGAGTGAGAACATATGGTATCTGATTTTCTGTTCCCGTGTTAGTTTGCTGAAGATAATGGCTTCCAGCTTCATCCATGTCCCTGTAAAGGACATGATCTCATTATTTTTTATGGCTGTATAGTACTCCATGGCGTATATTGTCTTCAGTCTATCACTGATGGGCATTTGGGTTGGTTCCATGTCTTTGCTATAGTAAATAGTGCTGCAATAAACATATTTGTGCATGTGTCTTTACAGTAGAATGATTTATATTCCTTTGGGTATATACCCAGTACTGGGATTGCTGGGTTAAATGGTACTTCTGGTTCTGAGGATTTACCATACTGTCTTCCTCAAGGGTTGAACTAATTTACATTCCTGCCCATGGTGTAAAAGCATTCCCATTTCTCCACAGTCTCACTAGCATCTATTGTATCTTGACTTTTTAATAATTGTCATTCTGATTGGTGTGAGATGGTATCTCATTGTGGTTTTTGATTTGCATTTCTCTAATGATCAGTGATCTTGAGCTTTTTTTCAACAGTAACCAAAACAGTATGATACTGGTACCAGTACAAACATACAGACCAGTGGAAACGAACAGAGACTTCAGAAATAACACCACACATCTACAACCATCTGATCTTCAACAAACCTGACAAAAGCAAGCAATGGGGGAAAGGATTCCCTATTTAATAAATGGTGCTGGGAAACTGGCTAGCCATATGCAGAAAACTGAAACTGGACCCCTTCCTTACACCTTATACAAAAATCACCTCAAGATGAATGAAAGACAAATGTAAAACCCAAACCATAAAAACCTTAGAAGAAAATCTAGGCAATTCCATTCAGGACATGGGCATGGGCAAAAATTTCATGACAAAAAGGCCAAAAGCAATTGTAACAAGCGCCAAAATTGACAACTGGGAATTAAACTGAACAGCTTCTGCACATCAGAAGAAACTACCATCAGAGTGAACAGGTAACCTACAGAATGGGAGGAAATTTTTTCAATCTACCCACCTGACAAAGGTCTAATACTGAGAATCTACACGGAACTTGTACAAATTTACAAGAAAAAAAAAAAAAAAACAAATGACCTCATGAAAAAGTGAGCAAAGCACATGAACTGACACTTCCCATAGAATATTTAAAGAGGAGTGCTTTATTGAAATGCTTTTTATACAGCTCTGATTGTTTTGAACTTCAGTGGTGAACTGAAGTTTACACAAGCATATCTGGGTCATCCAGATGACCACTTATAACTGAGTACTGTTGCTTGGTTTCAAGGCTTGTGTTTGCACTTTGTGTAGATGCCAAGTGAAGGCCCATGGAATCAAGGAGCAGTATGGTGTGGAAGGTTACACCATGGTTCAAATAAAGATAAGCAGTGACATAAATGTCATTACACATCACACAAAAGTGTAGCAAACCAAACCAACTTGCATCAGAGAAGACATTAATTTAAAAAACAGTGAGTGTCTATTATATGACCAGCACCTTCCTAGAAACTGGCGACACAGTGATGAACAAGACAGACAAAGTCCTTGCGTTTATGGAGTTCTATTCTATTTGGGATGGGAGGACAGACAAATAAATAAACAAAGACATATACAATATGTCAAGTGATGGAAGTGCTATGCACCAAAACAAAGAAGGAGAAGGGATCTGAGGATGATGGAATAGCTGTTTTAGACATAATCAGACAGAGATATAATCAGAGCTTATAGAAAGCATTTAAATGGGATTCAGGGAAGATTCTGAGGAAGAGATGTTTGAGCAGAGACTTGAATGAGATGAGGGAACAAACTGGGGAGATAGCTGGGGAGTGGTTATCCCGGGTAGAGGAAACGATCATCACAAAGGTCCTGAGGTGGGAATGAAGCAGGTTGGTACCATGTTCCCACTGCGAGCAGACATAGTGCTCAGATCCTTTATATACACCAACTTTAACAGCCAATGAGCAGTTAAGTATAGTAGTAAGTTAAATGACATCTATTAATTTTTAGGGATATATTGTGAAATTACGTTGACATGTTAAAGTGAAAGATTGGGCTAGGTTCGGTGGCTCACACCTGTAATCCCAGCACTTTGGGAGGCCGAAGCCGGTGGATCATGAGGTCAGGAGTTCAAGACCAGTGAAACTTCATCTCTACTAAGATACAACATTTAGCTGGGTGTGGTGGCAGGCACCTGTAATCCCAGCTACTCAGGAAGCTAAGGCAGGAGAACTGTTTGAACCCAGGAGGCAGAGTTTGCAGTAAGCTGAGATCGTGCCACTGCACTCCAGCCTGGGAGACAGGGTGAGACTCTGTCTCAAAAAAAAAAAAAAAAGAAAAAGAAAAAAGTGAACAGTGACAGACTGTTGTTAAAAATAGTGACCCTGGTAATAACAGTGACTAAAGTGATTTGTGAGGCTTCAAAAACCAACACTCATAATTTAGTTTCAGCAAAACAACATTGCCTACCATATTAATCCTTTAAAATTGAATTTTACTGGTGGAATAAGTTTTGTTCGTATTTAAAATGAAAATTTGATATATGTGAACTATGAGCACAAATAATTTATATCCAGTGTTCTGTCTGATATAAAGTAAGATAATTACAAGGAAAAATAGTCAAAACAAGGTGTGTAAAAACCTTTTCCTCTTAAAATAGGTCATAGATGACTGCACTTTGAGATATACTGTGTTATTTCATCAAGGTTCTTTACAACTTCTTTCCCTTACCTTTTCATTTTCTGCCATTTCCTTCTGCAAACCCTTAAAGTGCTTTACAATTCACATTCTACTATCTTAGGCTGTTTTTATAATGAAGAATTTAGTTGAAGATTAAAATCCACTTTAGCTTTTTTGCTTGTTTGCTTGATTTTTCTATTTCAAAGTAAAAATTACACCTACTTCCTACTTTTGGAGGCAATACTTTTTATCATTACAATCTAGGGAGGCCAAAGAAATATGAAAAGCTCCCCCTTAAGTATAAACCAAAACATCCACATCACTGGTCAATCCTTTTGACTGAAGATGATAACCAAGACCATGCTCTGCATGTATACACTGGCACAGCAATGCTCAAACTGTTCTCTAGTCCTGATGGTTCTTCTCTTCTTATCTGCAAAATCCTATTATGTCACTGCCTTGGGAGGCTTTCCCTGGAAATAACCTTTCTTTCTGCTCCCTGAGGGAGCTTATTGTCTGAAACAAGCAATTCTTTTTTCCTCTGAGCTCCCCAAAGCACTCTCACATATCGCTAAACACAGCAATTACCTTGCATAGGATTCTGCTTTCGCTGCTGTACCTGCCTTGTAGTGACTGGGACACAGCTTCAGGCCAGGACCATGCTATTCACTCCTGTGTCCTTGGTAACTGGGAGAGTGCCTGGCATCACAAGACTCTAATCAGGTTTTGCTGCATTCAATTGAAATCTAAATGACATACCGGATAGGTGATTTCTTTGACCTGTTCTCGGGTCTCCCTGAAAGCAAACTGCACTAGCAACCCCACAGCAGCTGGAAGCTCTCCTTCAATGTTGAGCTTGGCTCCAGGTCTGCTCACATGGGCTGTATGGAACAGCTGACGGGGAGTCTGCCCATAGGTTTTTATCATGGTTTCCAGGGCTCGTCTCTGAACTGGATCTTCAACTGCAGAGACATCCATTCCAAAATATGTCTGCAGAATAAAAGAGTAAAGGAAAAAGACATATGTAGTATAAAGAAAGGCTTGGCAATAATATTAATACCAAAGGGAAAAACAACACTTTATTTTCTAGGTTGTGGAAGAAATGCTTTTGTTCATGTTAACAGTCACTCACGGTCTCACTGAGATCAGAAGTATCAATGTTTCTGAATAGGTGAACAAAAACAATGTATCTTGACTGATTGGTTCTAATTAGGCATGTTTATAAATTAGTTTTTAATTTAAGACCTGAGAATATCGTATAAGACTTGATACTAAATTATTGAAGAAGTTGCTTGTCCAAAGTAATGTATAGGAAAAGGCAAAAATAAAGTTAAAATACAATGCTGGTAGATAGTTCAGGAGAGCATTATTTAGGTTCTAGTAAATATTGTAAGTGAAACCAAAAGAGCAGCAATGAAAATTCAAAGCTCTTAAATGTAAAGGGTATTAATGTACTAATAAAATTATTGCACTAAGAAGGATATTTCTTCTTAGTGTCATTAGCCCATGGAGTCAGATGGAGAGCAATTTGCATTTACTTCTTTATTTCTAAAGCTGGCAGTCAGTAATTGAGTACAGATCAGCCATATTTTGTACATATCCACTTCTATGGGTTAACTTTTAGTATAATATATACTCAGTCACAGTGGCTTTCATTACATATCTAGACATAACATTTTTATATATGCCAAAATAAAATTCCAAAGATATTTCAGAAGTTAAGTCATCTTCAACTCAATTCCTCTCACAACTTCCAGCACCAGGGATCACATACTTTTTTTAAAAAAACTTTTTAAGTTCAGGGGTACATGTGCAGGTTTGTTATACAGGTAAACTCGTGTCACAGGGGTTTGTTGTACAGATTATTTTATCACCCAGGTACTAAGCCTAGTACTAGTAGTTATTTTTTCTGGTCCATACATGTTCCAGCAAAGGACATGATCTTGTTCTTTTTTATAGCTGCAAAGTATTCCATGGTGTATATGTGACTCCTATTTACTTTTGCATTCCCAGAGTCTAGCAAAATAAATGTTTACTGAAGATTTTTTTAAAGTTAGTCTATCCAACAACATCAAAGAGTATACTTGAAAACGCAGGCCAGGTGCAGTGGCTCACGCCTGTAATCCCAGCACTTTGGGAGGCTGAGGTGGGTGGATCATGAGGTCAGGAGTTCGAGATCAGCCTGGCCAAGAGAGTGAAACCCCATCTCCACTAAAAATACAAAAATTAGCCAGGCATGGTGGCAGATGCCTGTAATCCCAGCTGCTTGGGAGGCTGAGGCAGGAGAATCGCTTGAACCCGGGAGGCGGAGATTGCAGTGAGCCAGAGATTGCAGTGAGCCGAGATTGTGCCACTGCACTCTAGCCTGGGAGACAGAGCAAAAAAAAAAAAAAAAAAAATAGAAAATGTAACAATTCTACTAGAAATTTATCTTAAGGAAGTTAAGAAATGTACATAAAAATAACCATAGAAATGCTAATTTTAATAGCAAACACATCCTAACTAAATATCCAACAATAGAAGACTGTTAAATAAATTATTCTATAGCCATGTTTGTGAATATAGACTGAGTATCTCTCATACAAATACTTGGGACCAGAATTGTTTTGGATTTCAGGGTTTTTTTTTTGGATTTTGGAATATTAGCATTATTTACTTAGCAGTTAAATTGCTTTTTTTTTTTGAGACGGAGTCTCGCTCTATCACCAGGCTGGAGTGCAGTGGCGTGATCTCAGCTCACTGCAACCTCCGCCTCCCAGGTTCAAGTGATTCTCCTGACTTGGCCTCCTGAGTAGCTTGGACTACAGGTGCACACCACCACACCTAGCTAATTTTTGTATTTTTAGTAGCGTCAGGGTTTCATCATGTTGGCCAGGATGGTGTTGATCTCTTGACCTCACGATCTACCCACCTCAGCCTCCCAAGGTTCTGGGATTATAGGAGTGAGTCACTTGCCCGGCCCCTGCAGTTCAGTTTTTTTTTTTTTTTTTTTTTGAGACAGAGTCTCCACCCAGGCTGGAGTGTAATGGTGTGATCTCAGCTCACTGCAAATTCTGCCTCCTGGGTTCAAATTATTCTCCTGCCTCAGCCTCCTGAGTAGTTGGGATTATAGGTGCCTGCCACCATGCCCCGCTAACTTTTGTATTTTGGATAGAGATGGGGTTTTACTATGTTGGCCAGGCTGGTCTTGAACTCCTGACCTCATGATCTGTTCACCTCACCCTCCCAAAGTGCTGGAATTTCAGGTGTGAGCCACTGCACCCTGCCTCGTTCAGTATTCTTAATCCAAGAAATCTGAAATCTCATATGCTCCAGTGAGCATTTCCTTTGATTATCATTGTTGCACTCAAAAAGTTTCTGATTTTGAAGCAGCAAAATCTAAAAATTTTATTTTTGAATTAAGAATGCTCTACCTGTAGTAGGTATCCACCAAAAATAATGTAGAATGATACCTAATCACTTGAATAAATTTAAGACTATCTTGTTTAGGGAGAAGAAAAGGTTACCAAATAGTATTAATATTATTATTATAGAAATGATCAATGGAATGATATACATGTATAGAAAGAAGTCTAAAGGTGCTTTCACTATTTATTTCTGGATGGTGATATCAAAGCGGACTTTAAAATTTCTCCCTGTTGCTACTCTGTATTTTATACATTTTTCTAACAAAGTACAACTACTTTTTTGGTAATAAGGAAGCATGGTGCCGTTTTAAAGTAGAATATGTATGCAGGATAGCGTGCAGAAAAGATTTAACATAGCAGGATTGACTGCTATCTCTGGAAAAACCTGCTTGCAAAGTTGACCCTTGGCTGTCATTGTCTGGGAACTTGGATTTCAGGAGGGGTCCTACCATTCCCTAACTGATAAGAGTAGCTTACTGTGCCTAAACTATACAAACAATGCCGTTTATGCAGAACACCTGCTTTCCTTTTGAGAGTCTGGAATTTCAGCATGTGGGAGGCAGAGGGTGCCTATGTTACCAACCCCAATAAATATCGTGCACACTGAGTCTCTAATGAGCTTCCCTGGCAGACATTTCACATGTGTCATTATGACTTGTTGCTGGAGGAAGCTGAGTATGTTCTTTGTGCTTTACCAGGGGTAGATTCTTGGATGTTTGTGCCTGGTTTCTCCCAGACTTTGCCCCATGCTGATTCTGCTTTGTATAATTTACTGTCACAAACCTGAGCTGGAAGGATGACTATATGTTGAATCCTCAAGTCCTCCTAGTGAATCATCAAATCTGGAGATGGTTTTGGGAAACCTCTGGAACAGATAGTATCTTTTTTTTTTGAGACGGAGTTTCACTCTTGTTTCCCAGGCTGGAGTACAGTGGCATGATCTCGGCTCACTGCAACCTCCGCCTCCCGGGTTCAAGTGATTCTCCTGCTTCAGCCTCCTGAGTAGCTGGGATTACAGGTGATTGCCCAGGTAAGTTTTTATTTTTAGTAGAGATGGGGTCAGGCTGGTCTTAAACTCTTGACCTCAGGTGATGTGCCCACCTTGGCCTCCCAAAGTGCTGGGATTACAGGTGTGAGCCACCGCACCTGGCAATAGTATCTTATTTTTAAAGAGAGGAAATATAAAATCTGGAAAATCTTAGGTAACAGCTTAATGGTACTGCTAATTCTCTTTGATGACTTGACTATTTTAAAGGAACACCCGAACAACTAACCTTAAAATATTCAGGTTCTATCTTACATAAATACAGATTATTTTAAAACAGTCACTTACAGCAGGATGAAAAACATTGATTGCTTGAACAGAAGCTTTCCCCTTTTGCTTATACCCAAACACCAAGTCAATCCACTGACAGATGTTCTGGGACACACAGTCAGACTCTAGAGCCTGCCGATGGATGAGGATAAAAAGACGAGGATCATTACGTGCCCAAGGAGGGAGGTTGACGTGATTAACTCGTTCACCATTCTGACGCACACCAAAATCAAAACCTAAAAGAGAAGATTAATATTAATATTTAATTCCCCCAAAAGACGTTTCATTTAGCCACAGAGCAGGTCTTAAGAGTTCACAAAAATGGCTGATTGTGTGCTACAACCAACCAAGGGAATAGCAAGGAGGATTTACATTTTAAATAAGGAAACACCACTGCTTATCTACTTATTTACCTACTAATAGTGCCATGTTAGCTAATGCTATCATAATTAGAGATCTTTCAACTTTATCTTTCCACCACTTTACAACATATTGAAGAAAAAAGGAGAAAACCACTGCCTACTAATTCCAATATTCTCACTATTCACATCTTCAAGGACATCAAGTACTTAGATATCTATTCAGTTGTAAACCTGATTATAACCAAACTAAGGCTTTGTATAAGCATTTCTGAACTATTGGTTATTAATGTTTTAATAAATTTAAGATTATATTTAGTAAATATTAGTATTCTATAGTTTAAAAACCTAACTAATACAAAGTATACACATTCCTAAAATTAATTGCCATAGTCTGTTAATTTTTTAAGTCTATAGGTCTGTTCTGACTTCCTTTTCACTAAGCATTCCTGTAGACAACAAAATTATCCAACACATGAAATACAGGGTTCTTGTGATGTAAAGGGGCTAATATCTAATTGTCTTATTAGTCTGCTAGTATACACTAAACAAAAATCTCAGAAGTGTTTGTTTAAAAAAAATTATTCTAAAGGAAATGTTACCTTTAAACAGAAATGGCTTTTATGTGCTACATTTTATAGTGTGCTGAACACTATCACATAATAAAAATTTTAAAAGACCTTTTAAAAGCTGATTAAGTTCCATATAAAATTAAGTTGCTATCTGTCTGTCTACTTTTTGATCTTGTAAAAACAGTTGAGAAAGCTCAGCAGTCATTGTATAGAGCAGCTGCATGGCTGATTTAGGATGGACTGGCTGAGCGCCTGCGGAACTCCATGTGTGTGGCTTCTGGAGAAGCAGCAGCAGGAACTTATTTAACAGTGAATGAGGTATCTGGGGATGGGCTGGGAATGGGCTATGTAACAGGGCATTTGTACAAACTCAATCATTCGAAACTTTCAGATGTTCTGAGGGCACATCACAGAGGTAGACACTCAACCCAAAGCAGACAACTGAGGTACAAGACTCTCAGAGGAACACTGATAGGAAATGACATAATGTACACTGTAGAAAATTGTACTTTTCAAAAATGGCTATAACAGCATTTCCTGTCTTGCATGCCCTTCCAGAATCTTGCTACTTTCCATCACAAGGCAGTCTATCTTTCTTTCTTTAGAATCTGGGAAGGCACTGTGACTACCTCAACAAATAGGAAGAATATAGCAGAAGTGATGCTGCATGGCTGCTAAGGACAGGCCGGAAGAGGACATGCAGCCTCTGTTCGTCTCCCTCTTGGAACACTCATCTTTGGAACCCCGAGTTGCTAAGTAGGACATCCAGGACTGCCATGCTGTGGGGAAGCCTAAAACTAGCCTACTTGGAGAGACCACATGAAGAAGCACTGGCTCTGCATGAAGAGAGGGTGATGTCCTCCAGTTACCTAAGGCTCCATCCCCTGCCTGTTCCAGCTCCAGAAAACCTGAAGGCAACAGCATGAGACACCCTGAGCTAAAACCACCTAGCTGAGCTGTTTCTGAATTTCTGACCTATTTTTTTTTAATTTCTGATCAATAAAAAATAATTTTATTATCTGTGATCAGTAATAAATTTATTATTGTTTCAAGCCACTAAGTGTTGAGATTATTTGTTATAGAGCCATAGATAGCTAGAACATAAATATAAGAGACCATGGACAGACAAAACAGGCAGTAGATTCAAACAGGAGTCCTAAATAAAAAGCTTCAAGGCAGGTACCCCAAAGTTAAGGTGCTGATATTTGATTGAGGCATTTCTCACTAGAGCAACACTATGAAATATGCTCCAGGGTAGCATGAATCTACTGACGATTCAATAATCAATCAAACAACCTCAGAGAGACGGTTAGTATACAATAAAATTCTAAAGGAATTTGCCCAAGACTAACTTCCTAAAGCTATAATGCTCAACATCATGTGCTCTTAAGGACCACATACAATTACAGAATTAAGTAATGTAAGAAAATGACCCAAAGATACCCTTTAAAGGGTTAACTGATCTTCTATTTAAGAAGAGCTAAGGTTGGCAGCCAAGATTATTGGTTGGTATCACAGAAAACCTGATTTTATACTCCAGTATTCCTTTTGGTTATTAGATAATTCTGGGCAGAGTATTTTATTTTTATTTTGGTTATTCCTCATAAAATAATTGAGATTTCAGTTAATTTACATTTTGCTTTCAATGAAATCATATCTTTTATTTTTAAAGTAATAAGCACATTATAACTTTTATATTCAGAAAAAATAAAGCAATTTCTATAAAATTAAAATACATATTTACAAATAATTTTAATAGTTAAAAGTTACAGTCTTCCAAACATATTTAGTCCTACAAAATACTTAAAATCTTCAAGCTTATTTGAAAATAAAATTATATACTTAATAAAAAAACATTTTATCTTATTTGGGGACTCAAATTTTAGGACTTAAAAAAGCTATTTTCAGCTGGGTGCAGTGGCTCACGCCTGTAATTCCAGCATTTTGGGAGGCCAATGTGGGTGGATCACCTGAAGTTAGGAGTTCAAGACCAGTCTGGCCAACAGGGTGAAACCCTGTTTCTACTAAAAATCAAAAAATTCGCTGGGTGCTGTGGCACGTGCCTGTAATCCCAGCTACTCAGGAGGCTGAGGCAGGAGAATCTCTTGAGGCAAGGAGGCGGTGGTTGCAGTGAGCCGAGACTGTGACATTGCATTCCAGCCTTTGGAAAATTATAAAATCATCACGAGTCCTCAGAAATATAAATTAGAAATAATTTATTACTATACCTTCACGGTTAACCAGGAACTCTGGAAGATAGAAAAACTCTGGAATAAGTTCTTTCACATCAGTCATAGATTCAAAAGATGAGAGTCGCCAAGTTGTATTCGTAGAATGAAAAGTTCTGTCTGGAATGTCAAAACTTTGATCTATTAAAAAATACAAATAACACAATTAAGACACAAAGGCCTAATTCTATTTGAGGCCTATCGTAATACATTTACTTTTGCTACTCAAAAAGATTAAAATAATGCTCATTTTGTTTGCCCATAGTTTAAAAGAAGTTACTCATGTTCTTGAAAATAAGTATTTCTATAAATATAACTTGAGATAATATAACATTATTTTTCATCTGTATTATGCTTTTGTAATACATATAATTAGATTAGTTTATATCATTTACAAAGTAGAATAAAAGTTCCACAAAAACAGGGTCCTGGGATATCACTCACACCTAGCACATAACAGGTACTTACTTAATAATGGCTTATGTACTGAATAAATCAATGAATGAATGAATCATGAAGAAGAAAAATGAAAGTTCAAGTAGGTAAACAGTTTTTTCCCCATCGGGAAGCAAAATGATTCCTTCACTTTGAATTGTTAAGACTTATTTTTCTCCTTTCTTTACTTGCTTTTTTGGGGGGAGGGGGCGGGGGGGGCGGTGTATGTTACGGTGCATTGTTTTTTAGGTGTCCTAACTCTGAGCTAAGAATTGAGTAAAATTTCCTATGAATGAAAATGAAACTAAGCATAGTCACTCTTTTGTTCATTTTTTTCCTAGGACAGACTATTAATAATCAGGAATTGAGTTTAGACTCTCTTTTCTGCCAACAATTATCAGACTTTCTAGCTATAGGGAAAGGCGTAGAATATTAAATGATATCTAAAAGTTCGCCCCTGAAAACAGTAGCAGTTTACATGTTTCTTAGGAACCACATTGCATCATCTAAAACTCAGTAGAAATTTGAACACATCTTTTCATCTGGAGACTGCCACAAACACATCTTAACATCAGGTTTCTTCTCCCAGCCTTGGTTGCTCTGCTGAGCAACATCTTCTATCACTTTTATCACTTTCTCATCTACTCTGTTGAGTCAATTAGCATTGGCTGGCCACTAAATAAAATCCAGGAAGAAATAAGGTTTAGAAACATTTTCACAGAAAGTAAGAAAGGTCATTTAAAGAAGTACCTACTAACTCACTTAATAGAAAAAGTTATCAATCAAAATGGAATTCAGAAAAATTAAGGTAATTCTGTAATTCCATGGTGAAGTCAAAGTATCTAAAGCTAAGACTAAGGAAATATGGAACAAGAGAAGCACATCGGGTAGGTTCTGTTCAGATTTTAAGATTCTCTGTAGTTTCCTACATTTTATTAAACACTACTACTACAAATTCCTATTATCTAGAACAGGCGTCCCCAAACTATGGCCCGCGGGCTGCATGCCGCCCCCTGAGGCCATTTATCCGGCCCCCCCGCTGCACTTCAGGAAGGGGCACCTCTTTCATTGGTGGTCAGTGAGAGGAGCACAGTATGTGGCAGTCCTCCAACGGTCTGAGGGACAGTGAACTGGCCCCCTGTGTAAAAAGTTTGGAGATGCCTGATCTAGAATATGCATATATTAAACCTGTGGTTCTCAACCAGTAGCACTTTTGCCTTCCAGGGTTATTTGGCAACGTGTGGCAACATTTTTGATTCTCACAACTGGAGGGCTGGGGGTGGGTGGTGATGGTATCACTGGTACTAGTAGGAAGAGACCAGGGATACTGCTGAATGTCCTACAATGCACAGGGCAGCCTCCATGACAAATGAAAACCAAGTTCATAGCTTGAAATGACTACAATGCCAAGGTTGAGAATTCCTGCACTAAAGCCAAGAAATAAGTTCAAAGCCAACAGATATCACTTGAAACTAATGAGATGAAAGTGAATGGAGACTGAGGTCGTCCTAGGGTTTACACAAAATCTAGTCATAAATACACAATAAAAAAACACAATATTTGTGTGTGTGGGGAACCTTGCAAGTGCTGTGGCAAGGGTCTGAAGCTTCAGCCTATTTCCATATAAATATTGATTTAGAAAAGATTTAGAAATGTAGGCACATAGTTATTCCTTTATATTATCATATATAATCTTACAGTTACTTATAATCATAAAGATATATACTCAATATAACCTTTAATTTTACTAATGACTATCGGATTATGAAGCATGGAACTGAGGTGACACTGTGAACAAAGTGATCCTAAGGCAAGATGCTCTAAGCCCTCTGTCACGCCCGCATAAGGGCTGCTAAAGGGCGCCTCGGCTGTGCGGCAGCGCCGGTGCTGAGAAAGCGTCTGCTGTTTAGCCAGCTAGGGAAGATGTCCAAATTGGCCCAGATGTCTCCTTTCTGGGGAAGTTAGGAGAAAACTCTGCTTCTCCACGCTCTTGTGGCAAGGCCTGCTGCTGTCAGGGAAACACACAGACATCTGGGTGCTTAACTCTCTCTATGTGATGCTGTGCTTTCGTGGTCATTTTCCATGTCCACTCTCACACTCTGCTTCTGCACCTGGTTTCTCTTTTTCTCTGAAGATAAGAATTAATAATAGTAAATGTCCTTGACATTTCTGACAAATATGTGAAGAGTGCTGACGCATTAGGTTTTCTTCTTGTCTTGGCTACCTGAAAGTCCTGGGCCCCTATCTCCTAGACATGTGATTCACCTGACCCTATCACTGACCACCATTATTACCTCACCCTACCTTCCCTGCTCCCTGCTTTGTACCCAATAAAAAGTCAGAGTGTCTAGGCACTTGATGCCACTGCAGGTCTCTGTGCTTTGGTTGGCAGTGGACCCCTGAGCCTAAACTCTCTTTTCTCTCTCTCTGTTTCTTTTATTTCTACAGTTTCTCATCTCCGCATCAGCAGGAGGGGCTGACAGAACACTGTAGGGCTGGACCCTACAAATATTATATATGAATACATTCATAATAGTAACAGGAGTAAAAATATTGATAAATTTTAGTTGATTGGCAGTTTTATATTAATGGATCCTTGGGCTACATTAAATGAAATGTCGTCTTGGATGAAGGGAGGTAACCATTCCGTCAAACACTGTGGGGGCCCAAACCACCTCCGAAATATATGTATGTATTTATTTTGACTGCCTTTTTTTTTGTCAAAAGCATTCACAGATCAGAACATGTCCAGAAAGATCTTCAGAATAGTGACAGGCTTGGAAACCACAGCAAACAAGAATGGCTTAAGCACTGTTTTTCAAAACTCTTTTAGTACAAAAACTGCCTTATTTTTTGGTATTCCTTGCAGCAGCTGGGATAGGACCATGTATCTAGGAGGCCCTCAATCTGCTGTTAAATTAACCAAGGATAATTAGCCAGGGAAAAACAAAACTGAGAGAGAAAGGGGACAGGCCAACAATGTTCAAATATTTGAACAGCTGTCCTACAGAACATTTGTTCTGTTTACTTACAGAGAGACAAACATAGGAAAGCCCCTTTTACAGACCAGTAAGACTGAATACAAATTCACTCCTCTCATCTATGAGTAAAAAGCATGAAGAAGTTCAAGAATGGTTGAGTAAAAGAATGGATAATGATTCCTCAAAGGATTCTGATGCCATGAGAAACAGCTATAGAACTAATATCACAGTCCCCATTAGAAACTACAGGTGAGTGTGTCCCAATTTGCACAAAAACATAAATTCACTCCTATCTAAGTCATGTTCAGGCCTGAGGTAGAAGACTATTAACTAGAAAGCTACCACCATGAAGTTGCCAGTGTGCCTCTTCTTTTATTTTATAATTTTGTTATAGTTAGTTATAACAAACCTCAATAATGTACTCACCTTTAGAATAAACTACAATAATGTACCCTATGTACAAATAATGTACATAGGCTCCAAAGGTAACTTACATGATCTGAAATAAGCATTAGGTAGAATGTCTTTAAAAAGTGAATTGCATAAACTTTAAAAGGGTAAATTTTATGGTTTGTGAATTATATCTTAGTTTTTAAAAAGTGAATTGCATTTTTATAAACTCAGACATGTTTAATTTGAAGTTAAAATTTGAGACATTAGCAAGATGATTTGGCTTACTACAGCTTTTTTGAAGAGAACTTGGGAGAAAAAATAAATAGAAGTCTTTTTCCTGTAGTTTGATTAGTCTCAATAGTTCTTAAAAAGTCAATTTTTTTTTTTCTGATGACCCAATGTGACTTTTTAGGCTGTTATAAAAAACATTTTTACCTTGATAGGCTAAAAACATTTTAGTGAAAGGAGGCATCCTAACCAGGAAGTGAAGTACAGTGCCACTGTTGGAATAGTGAGAGCCATAGTGATAGGGCTGCACGGGAGGCATGGGGTCATCTTCTCTGGCTCCTTTGCGGTACTCTTCCTCCAGGTACTGAAAGAAACAGTGAATCAAGAGAATTCATGATTGTGGACTCCAGGCAACACCAGAAAAGTGCTGGATGCTTTTTTCCTCTCCTTCTCTATTGCCCCTCTGAGGCCATTCTCCATGATTGGCCCTCCCTCTCTTGCCCAGAGACTTCAGCTTCCTTGAGTGTCTCGGAGTCTTCTCCTTGGTGCCTCACTGAGACCCAAACGCTCAGAAGCATTTCCCATCTCCACCTTCACTCTTTCATTCCCTCATAGAAAACCTACCTAACTTTGAGCACTCTGCCTCCTAACTAATGGCTCATAATGTCTAAGCTGATCAAGCACCCAACAAATAAGAGGTGCTTCTGTCACTAGAGATATCTTCATTTCAAAAGAGTTTCAAGGTGTAATGCTATGTTGTTTAGAGAATTGCTTCTCTAAAAGTAGCAGAAATGCAACAGAAATGTAAAAACGATGTCACATTATTGGTAATAATATAAAATTTTAAGTCTGTTTTACAGTGCAGTTATACACAGTTCAAAAAAATACGGTAATTTTTCACTACTACTATCTTCCCATCAGAAAGTAGGAAGCTCAACCAAACATTTAATATCTGTCACTATTCTTGTCTCCCATAGCTTCTGTCTGGTTCTGATAACAAAGTCAGGTATAGTGGATTTTCAAGAGTCACTTCTTGATTCCCACAGCAATGCCCCACTTTCAGCTGCTGAAGAATCAAGTAGTAACAGTCATAAGATGCTTAAAGGGATGTTGCAGGAACTGTGGCATAAAATTATGTGATGAATATGAGAAAAGTGTTTCAGATGCTCCTGTCTTGATACTCTTGTGAAGAATGTAATGTTTAGCTATTGGGTTTTTTAAAAATTTCCTATAGAATTTCATTAATAGTAATTTCACAGAAAAAGGTAATTCATTTCCTTTTAAAAATGTTAAAATCTGATAAAATAAACCAATGCATAATTTCCTGAATATTACTAATGGTTATGGTATATTATAAATATATTAAAACTTTATATAAATAACGCTAGGGGATATGAATAGCAGGTCCCTGGATATCTTTGTGATTTTTATAAGGAATATGACTACTACATACTTGAATAAACAATGAGTTATTATTGGCTTACAATTTATGCCAAAATAAATGTATTCTTTTTCTGTGCAATGTGTTCTCAGAAAATCAGGACAGAAGATGGTATTTCATTTCACATAATGATTTCTAGTTGTCTGTCAATCATAGCACAAGAAAGTAAAAAATCAGTAGTAAGTCTCTAAAACAAAACACAATTTTTCATTTAATAAAGTATGAGTAAGAAAGCTACCTTATATGTGTCCACATAACGATCTTCTTTTTCTTTATACTGCACAGCTATAGGTTTAGAGAGATTTCTACAAGAAAAGAGTAATTTTAAAAATTAAATATTTTGATACTGTCAAGATTAAGCTCCCTAGATGTTTGCATCTTATAAGTAGGTAAGTGGTCAATCAACAAAATAGTCCGCCCTTATTTCTCTGCTTAAACATGTTGTTTTGCAACTAACAGTCACTAATCAAAATTATTATTTCAGAAATTAAGGTAGAATTTTCCCCACAGAGCCAAACCAGTATTAGAAATTCTTGACTTACGAGTAGCCTAAACAATAAGAGCTACTACTGTCCTTCTTTCCCTTACTTCTGCAGCTTCCTCCAGAATTGTAGCTGATGCTGCTCATGGGAGCAGATTCCTGTAACAAGCCCTGAAAGTTAATGTCCCATTTTCCAGACCTTGCATCCAGTTAGGCAGTGTAGGGTGAAGGACAGTTTCAACAGAACTTAGGAACGGAGGAAGATGCTGTGTAATTATCAGCCTAGTTAATAAAAATTGAAGAAATAATACATGTTTAAAATGACCAAGCTGAGATCTGGAGAGTGAGAACTGAAATATTTGGCTACCTAGTGTACAGAAGTGTCAGTGCTGATGTTCAAATTCTATGATCACCACACGACACCATTCCTTGAAGCAGGAGGATGAATCCTCATCCCTCCAGGAATGCATCCTCACTTTTCTAAGCTACAGAATCACGTGGTGAGGAAACAAGTCTGATGAAGGAAAGGTTCTTTCGGCTGAGGAACCATCTGGTCTGGCACAGGCATGTGACCACCTGGATTTCAACCTGCAGCACCATAACTAGACCAACAGCAAGATTTGCCCAAATTTCAGTCAGTCATACCAGGTCTGCTTAACCACGTGTTAATACATCTTTTTTTTTTTAAAAAATATAAATTACTATTTCCTAGGAATGTTGAAATTAGTGGTACTAAATGCACTAATTTTGTCTTTGAGACTTCTCTAATCATAAAAACTTTGTTAAGAAGTACAATTTTGGGCCGGGCGCGGTGGCTCAAGCCTGTAATCCCAGCACTTTGGGAGGCCAAGGTGGGTGGATCACAAGGTCAAGAGATCGAGACCATCCTGGTCAACATGGTGAAACCCCGTCTCTACTAAAAATACAAAACATTAGCTGGGCATGGTGGCGCGTGCCTGTAATCCCAGCTACTCAGGAGGTTGAGGCAGGAGAATTGCCTGAACCCAGGAGGCGGGGGTTGCAGTGAGCCGAGATCGTGCCATTGCACACTCCAGCCTGGGTAACAAGAGTGAAACTCCGTCTCAAAAAAAAAAAAAAAGTACAATTTCACAGAATAGATATAAATTGAATTAACATCTAAAAATAGAGTGAAATCATTTAAGATGGCTGCCTGCATTTTTTTTTTCTTTTTTGAGATGTAGTCATACTCTGTTGGCCAGGCTGGAGTGCAATGGCGTGATGTCCGCTCACTTCAACCTCTACCTCCTGGATTCAAGCCATTCTCCTGCCTCAGCCTCCCAAGTAGCTAGGACTACAGGTGTGTGCCATAATGCCTGGCTAATTTTTATATTTTTAGAAAAGACAGGGTTTCACTATATTGGCCAGGTTGGTCTCAAACTCCTGACCTCAGATAATCCACCAGCCTTGGCCTCCCAAAGTGCTGAGATTACAGGTGTCAGCTACTGCTCCAGGCCTGCAAATTTTTATAGATAGCATAAGTAGGTTTTGTTTTTATTTTTGGACACAAGTTATATTAATGATTGTGGTTGAAAAATACAAATTTATAGCTGAGCAGACAATAAACTAAAAAATCAGCCATAATACTATTACCCCAGGTAAAACATGTTGGATCTGTACCCAACCAGGTATTTTTCTGTTTATCTGTGCAAGCATATTTACTTTTTTGTTTTCTTTTGAGACAGAGTGTCACTCTGTCACCCAAACGTGATCTCTGCTCACTGCAACCTCAGCCTCCCAAGTTCAAGCGATTTTTGTGCCTCAGCTTCCTGAGCTGGTCTTGAATTCTGATCTCAGGTGATCCACTCGCCTTGGCCTCCCAAAGGGCTGGGATTACAGACGTGAGCCATTGCACCCAGCCAAAATGTAATTTCTTGAGAACTATCTGAACTAGGCCTACTTTTTGGCACTTATAACTGAAATACTCTAATGTACTAAGCAAAATATTTGGAGTCAATTTTTCTTTAAACTAAGTATAAGAATATTTTTTCAAATTAAACAAAGCATTCCTTCATCAACTAGAACTATTTGGTTACTCTAAAACACAGTTCATTCAGGAAAGGCAGAATAAATGCTGAATTCTGTTCCTTTAATTGCCAACTTTCAAAGTAAGGAATTTGTACTTTATTACCTCTAGTGGGACCAGTGAATTTTGTTTCACTTTGTTTCTTTGGCCTTTTAAAAACAGTATCACTACATGAGGCCAACAAACATATGAAAAAATGCTCATCATCACTGGTCATTAGAGAAATGCAAATCAAAACTACATTGAGATACCATCTCATGCCAGTTAGAATGGTGATCATTAAAAAATCTGGAGACAACAGATGCTGGAGAGGATGTGGAGAAATAGAAACACTTTTACACTGTTGGTGGGAGTGTAAATTAGTTCAACCATTGTGGAAGACAGTGTGGCGATTCCTCAAGGATCTAGAAATAGGAATTCCATTTGACCCAGCAATCCCATTACTGGGTATATATCCAAAGGATTATAAATCGTTCTACTATACGGACACATGCACACAAATGTTCATTGCAGCACAGTTTACAATAGCAAAGACCTGGAACCAACCCAAATGCCCATCGATGATAGACTGGACAGGAAAAACGTGGCACATATACACCATGGAATATTACGCAGCCATCAAAAATGATGAGTTCGTGTACTATGTAGGGACATGGATGAACCCGGAAGCCATCATTCTCAGCAAACTGACACAGGAGCAGAAAATCAAACACCACATGTTCTCACTCATAGGCGGGTGTTGAACAATGGGAACACATGGACACAGGGAAGGGAGCACTACACACTGGGGTCCATTGGAGGGAAATAGGGGAGGGACAGTGGGGGGTGGGGATTTGGGGGGGGATGGCAGCAAATCACACTGCCACGTGTGTACCTATGCAACAATATTGCATGTTCTTCACATGTACCCCCAAACCTAAAATGCAATAAAAAAAAAAAAACAGTATCAATGTGAACTTAAGTTTCTTTTTATTTCCATGTGTTTCAACTAATTGCAGTCATTATTCTTTTTATTCTCGGACTATCCTATCTCTGTCAGTGAGAGGCACTTCAATTTGGCTTCTGAGTCCTTTTTTATTTTTATTTTTTGGGACAGAGCTTTGCTCTCGTCACCCAGGTTGGAGTACAGTGATGCAATCTCAGCTCACTGTAACCTCCTCCTCTCAGGTTCAAGCAATTTTCCTGCCTCAGCCTCCGAAGTAGCTGGAATTATAGGCGTGTGCTACCATGCCTGGCAAATTTTGTATTTTAAATAGTTGAGGTTTCACTATGTTGGTCAGGCTGGTCTCCAACTCCAGGTCTCAAGCTTTCAGCCCACCTTGGCATCCCAAAGTGCTGGGATTGCAGGAGTGAGCCACCACACCTGGCCAACTTCTGAGTCCTTTTGACAACACCCTATTAGTTTCCTTGCTTTCTGACACCCAACAAAACATCCTAGCCTTACCTTGTCTGTTTTCTTCTAATAAATTTAGAAGAGATGAGAGAATGCGGAAATCAACATTTTGCAACCCCTGATGAAATAATTGATTCAAGCAATAATTATCAATAGATGAAACCATTAGGTCCAAGTTCAATGGGAGCCCGAGCCCACAGATCAAACTTAGCATCATTAGAGTGAAATATCAGAGGCTTCCTGATATAACACAATATAAAGCTCACTCCTCTCCATCATGTGGAATGATAAAAAAAGAAATATAAATATAAATATAAATATAAATATAAATATATATATATATATATACAGCTCACATCATTACCACCTATAAAGGATTCTTGCCAAAAAAAAAAGGGTTGAACCTGAACCTAAGCCAGACTTTTCCAGTCTCTAGGAAATACAGAGGCTACAGGAACAAACTAAACAATGCCACAGGAAGCAATCAGAAAACACAGAATGTGATGCTCCAACAGGATAAATGACATGGCTTTTCCAATAAGTCAATGTCAGGAGCAAATAAAGAGAAAAAACACATATAAAAAATAATGGCTATTCTCAGTATATGTTCAGAGATATAGCAACAAAATATGGCAATGGACCTGATATTAGATGATATCACAGAATTACTGTTAATTTTCTTACATGTGATAATAGCATTGTGGTTAAGATGTTCTATTTTTTAAAGAGATGCACACCGTAGAAGAAAGAAGTGACAAAACAAGATGTCTGTGATTTGCCTTAAATAACAACAACAAAAAAGACGTAAGTTTGGCAAAAATCTTCATAATTCATAATTGTTGAATTGGGGTGATAGGTATTTGGATTCTTATATAATTATTCTATTTTGAGCATGTTTGAAATTTTTCATAATAAAAACTTTAAAAAATACAACACATGGATGGATGAACCCAAAGGTGATGACTCTTTATACTTACCTGTAAATCAATGGATCATTGAGGTCAAGTGTCTCACTAACATAGTCAGCAAGTATAAATGGGAACACAGGATACTGCATGAGATCATTGAAGGATCGGCCAGCATGTTTGTTTAAGTGAGTCAAATATTCAAAATTAGTAATTTGTCCAGTATACCATAAATTTGTCAGAGCGGTGATGTTACCATATTCCAGAAGATTAGGGAGGTTATTCGTGAGTATATTGTGGTATACATCATCACGAACCTAAAAGGGAAGGAGAAAAAAACCCATATTTTATTTTTAGTATTATTGGCACTTTTCTCCAGAGAACCCATGACATTATAGACATGTTACAAATCTCATGTCCTCCAAGAAAATATTTTTTTCTCAATAACATTAATGAGTAGAGAACTGAGATTCAAGTCCAGGTCATCCTCCAAAGGCTGGGCTCTTCACCACTATGCCTCGCTGCTGGAGAAATATGTTAATAAAAAACTTCTAAGAAAAAGTTTGTATAGAAAAGTCACTTAGGGCAGGGCGTGGTGGCTCATGCCTGTAGCCCCAGCACTTTGGGAGGCTGAGGTGGGTGGATCACGAGGTCAGGAGTTCAAGACCAGACTGGCCAACATGGTGAAACCCTGTCTCTACTAAAAAAATACAAAAATTAGCTGGGCATGGTGGCTTATGTCTGTAATCCTAGCCACTTGGGAGGCCGAGGTAGCAAAATAGCTTGAACCGGGAAGATGGGGGAGGAGGTTGCGGTGAGCCAAGATCACGCCACTGCATTCCAGCCTGGAATACAGAGCAAGACTCCATCTCAAAAAAAAACAAAAACAACAACAACAACAACAACAACAACAACAAAAAAAAAACAGAAAAAAGAAAAAAGAATTTTCTTCTAAATAATTGCAATATAGCATAGTAGAAACAGCACTGTCTCCTGAGTTTGACAGATCTGGTCTATTTTCCTTCTAATCTTCTATGCTACAGTTACGACATCTACAATATGGGAGTGATAATATTTATCTCATGAGAATTAAAGTATCTTATGTAAACAGGATATTTTATTTTCACTACTGATTGAAAACATGTAAACTCTTTTAGAGATTCACAATAGTTTTGTCACAGAAAAAGGATACTGGTTCTTCTAAAGCAATTGAATGATGATTGCTAATGAATGAAAATAAGAGACAAGATAAGCTTTGCTAAAAACAGATATGAAATACCCATTTTAAGCAGGTATATGCTTCAGGCATAGGAAGAAGAGCCACAGATGTGGATAATGAGTGAACTTAAAGTAAATAACAAGAATGAGTTATGTAACTATACTGGTAGTTACAGAACAGGCGAAACCACAGAGAATATAACATCCTAAACCTGTAGCCTAAATCTGAAGGTTGCCAACTGTTGAAGCTAAGTTCCATGGAAAAGAATTTATGACAAAGTATAAGACAAACCTTGGAAAGAAAATAAGACATTGATTTATTCAACAAATATGAATTGAATTCCTGCATACCAGTAGTGTTCAAGACTCCAAAAAACTGGAACTTAACAAAGCAGAGACTTGGCATCTACTGGGGAGAGGCAGAAAATGCTGGATGCTAATACATCCTATGGAGAAAATCAGACCAAAGCAAAGGAGATATGGGATGCTTGGTGGAGAGGAGGGGTGGCTATTTTATAGTGTCAGGGAGGACTTGCTGATAAGATATTTGATCAGGAAACTTAAAAAACGTGACACAGCAAATCATTTGGAGTTCTAAGGAGAAAAACATTCCAGGCAACAGTGAATGCAAAGTCCCTAAGGCACTGGTGTACCTAAAATATTCAAGGCATGGATGGAGTAGACAGAGTGAGGGAGAGAATGGCAGACTATGACATCAGAGAGGTAACAAGGTACAAGATTATCTGGGGCTTTATCAGGTTATTGAAAGGACTTTGCCTTTAATGGAGTGACATGAAAGTGACTGAAGGATTCTGAGCAGAGAAAAGATAGGCTACAACATACTTTAGTTGCTGTGTTGAGAATAATCTAAAGGGGGTTAAGGGGTTTTCTATAAAAGAGAGCAGAGAAATGGTGGTGAAGGTATTGAAGGTCAAAAAAGGGTTTGTCAAAGATGAACTGCACCACAGCACTGAGCAAGTTTGTTTCTTTGTTTATTTGAGATGGAGTCTCACTCTGTTGCCCAGGTTGGAGTGCAATGGTGTGATCTTGGCTTACTGTAAACTCTGCCTCCCAGGTTCAAGTGATTCTCATGTCTCAGCCTCCTGAGTAGCTGGGATTATGGGTGCATACCACCACATTCAAGTAATTTTTGTATTTTTAATAGAGATGGGGTTTCACCATTTTGGCCAGGCTGGTCTCAAGCTCCCGACCTTGTGATCTGCCCACCTTGGCCTCCCAAAGTGCTGGGATTACAGGCGTGAGCCACTGCACCCTGCCCTAAGCAAGATTAAACTACTTCATTTCAGTCATTTTGGGGAATCAGAATTTAACACAATTTTAGGAGTCAAAAATAATCCTCATATAACCAAGGCTTTAATTAGGACTAAGAAAGAATGGCAATTTTTATTTGATTTCAGAAACAGGATAGATGCAGGAAGGCCAGTTAGGAGGCTATTGTAAATGATTCTGGCAAGAAATGATGGTGGTTTAAACCAGGATGGTAGAAGTGGAACCAGTCAGACTCTGGATGTATTCTGAGGACAGAGTCAACAGGACCTATTAATAGAGTGCATTCAGGGGATGAGAGAACAAGAAGAGTGTCGGATAATCTCAAGAGTTTCCGCCTGGACTTTGAAAGATGAAGTTGTCATTTATTGAGACAGAGAAAACTGGAAAGTAATTTTGGGGGGAAGATGAGAAATTCCATTTTGCACACATTAAGTCTGAGGTGCCAATCAGTGACTTCTAAATGGAGAGACTAGTGTGGAGTTAAATGTATGAGTGTGGCATTCAGGGGAGAGGCTTGGGAAATGACGTAAGTTCTTAAAATACAGGTGGTATTTTTAAGTCATAAGACTGCATGAGAAGAGAAGAGGTCTGAGGAATGAACCCTGACACATACCAAGGAGGTGTCTGCAACCAAGACTGAGAAGCAATGACTGGTAAGGTATAAGAAGAACTAAGAGAAAATGGTAACCCAGAAGGCCAAGGAGGAAGGTTTTATTTAAGAAGAGAATAATCAGCTGGGTCAAATGCTGCCAGTAGGTCAAGTAAACTGGGGACCAAGGAAGATTATGACATTAGAGGTTACCAGTGACCCTGACAAGAGTGGTGAGAAGAAAGTCTATCTGAAGCATCTCAAAAGAAAATTGGAGGCAGTAAACATATGCAACTTTCCCCAACAGGTTTTTCTATAAAAGAGAGCAGAGAAATGGTAGCTGAAGGGATTAGAGGTCAAGAGGGTTTGTCAAAGATGGACTCCGCTACAGCACTGAGCAAGTTTGAACTACTCCTTTCAGTCATTTTGGGGAATCAGATTTAACTCATGTTGAAGGTAAAAGATAATCCTCATACAACATAGATTTCACTTCAATCAGGACTAAGATATATGGCAATTTTTATTTGATTTCAGTAAACCTTCATGTACCCAGTATGAGTATAGTAACTAGTATGAGTATAGTTACACTGGCCCATGATCACTCAATATGTATCAGATAATAAGGGTGAATTTACCTTGGTGTTATCAAATGCCAACAGGAGTGTTCTGCCATTTGTTAGAAAGATTTCTACAGCATTATCTCTCAATTGCCACCAACGCTTGTGAACTTCTTTAATTTCTTCATATGTCCAGGAAAATGATGCTGGCTCCAACTCTCCCTGAAGGCTCTAAGACAAAGAAATGGGCAAAAATATTTGTTTTACCTGAAATATAATTATTTTAATTTTAGATTTTAAAAAGCATCAAAACAAAACAGAAAATCTTTTTGTGGCAGATGGCAGAAAAGATTACTTGAAAACTCTCTCAATGCAAAACACCTCAAAATGCTTTATAAAATTCAGAAATTAAAAAAAATTAATAGGCTTTATTTTTTAGACTAGGTTTAGGTTTACAGAAAATTGAGCAGATAATACAGAATTCTCATGTATTTTCCCCTCCCTTGGCCCTGCACTCACAGTTTCTCTATTATTAAATCTTGCATTTCGTGCAGGACATTAATTACAATTGATGAACCAATACTGCTACAATTTTTCTTACCTAAAGTCTATAGTTTATGTTAGGGTTCACTCTTTGTGTTGTACATTCTATGGGTTTTGATAAATGAATAAGGACCTGTATCCACCATCACAATATCATAGAAAATAGTTTTATTGCCCTAAAAATCCTTTGTACTCCACCTACTCATACCTCCTTTCCTCTACCCATCCTCTGGCAACCACTAATTTGTTTACTGTCTCTATAGTTCTGCCTTTTCCAAAATGTCATATAGTTTGAATCATAAAGTATGTAGCCTTTTCAGGTTGGCTTTTTTTTTTTTTTACTAAGCAAATATCCTTTTAAACACATAGCTGAGCTTACAAGAAAACAAGGGAGATGAAATCCCCGAGTCAAAAATATAGAGAAATTGAACAATCAGCACTCAACAGCGAGCAATCCTCTGGTTGCTCTGTTGTATGTGTCTGCAAATGCATGCAGGTATGCACATACCCCAGTTTCAGAAACAAACTGACGTAGGTTGACAGCCACTTGAGGACAGAAGACGAGGCCCTGGGCCCCTAGAATCGGGGTGTGGAATTGAGATTGCTTCGCAAAGCTAAAACCTAGGAAGGGATTTGTTCCTAATGAAAGATTAGACAAATAAATGTGCCGGTCAATAAAGGGGAATAGGCTGGGTGCTCGTGCCTGTAATCCCAACAGTTTGGGAGGCTGAGGTGGGCAGACGACTCGCGGTCAGGAGTTCGAGACCAGCTTGGCCAACATGGTGAGACCCCGTCTCTACTAAAAATACAAAAATTAGTCAGGAGTGGTGGTGGGCACCTGTAGTTCCAGCTACTTGGGAGGCTGAGGCCGGAGAATCACCTGAACACAGGAAGCGGAGGTTTTGGTGAGCTGAGATTGTACCACTGCACTCCAGCCTAGGTGACAGAGTGAGACTCTGTCTTAAAAAATAAAAATAATAAAAATAATAATAGATGGGCATAACTAGGAAACAAGCTTGTCTCTTTTGGCCTGGAGCCTAGATAATTAGAAAAAAAGCTTCTCTGTGAGAATTCATAACTGGGCCTGCCATCACATGGATTTAGGTTAACATAAAACCTGTCTGGATGGTCTGGAAAGGCCTGAGCTAGGAAACAAGTTCTCATGTTTCCAAGTCATCCAGCAAAAGCAAAGCAGAGTGTCTGGAGGAACATTCTGGACCTAATGGGGCATTCCTGCAAACAAAGGCCCACTGAATGTAACCTGCAGATCAACACATACTAAATAGCTACATTCCCCTGCTAGGTGGTCAACAGAAGAAAAGAAGATGAGAAAATAGCCACTGGAAAGTTGACTCTCCTTGAGAGTATTAATACTAGTGTACTCAGAAAAATCCCCACATTCTGAAATGAAGAGGTAGGGGCCACCAGGCCTACATATCCTATCATCACTAGGTCTCTCCCAAAGTACAGAATCAAGAAACACTTTAAAAAATGTGCATCTAAATCTTTTGTAAACTGTAACTGAATACATAAATTATGTCACTTAATACTTTTAATAGAGAAATAATGAAAAAAAGTTTCTACTGAAGTTTAAAACTAGCTAGAATTTATCTCCTCAAATAAACCTGCATCCTAGTTTTCTTTTTTTTCATGTTTTTTTTTTTTCCTTTTTAAAAAATTGCATTTACTTACTCCTTTGTGTTGACTAACAGAAAGCTTAGGGCAAATTTAGGACTCAATTGCCAAGAACTATTTTATCCCAGGCTCTTTATCTTTCCAAAACCTTATTATTATTATTATTTTTAGATATGAATTGTCCTACTCTATGTGTGTTTTACTATTGTTCTTGGTCCAAAGTAATTTTTATAATTAGAGGCAGGGAATATATTATAAATAAAATACAATGTCTTAATGAAAATATTCTCACGCTTAAAACTGAATTCCTCCTTTGTTTAGTTTCAACATTCATTCAACATCTATTAATTAAGCATCTATGCACAAGATACTCTGCTAAGTGCTTGGCATGAAATAAATCTGTATGAGTCAGAGAGGGCATGAAGTATTTATATACACATTTGCATACACAATGCAAGATAGAAAGTCATATGAGAAGAATCAATACTACAAAAGTACATAGGAAGGAAGGATCTTTCAAACTATGAAGAAGCAAGGGCATTTTTAGATTTTTTAAAAAATTCTCTTCTTTATTTAAACATACAACACATTTATAGCATGCAAGTTAATTTAAATTAAATGGTGTCTTCCCAAACCAAATATTTGTGAATGTATGTTCAAGCACTGAAAATAAACCAACATATTTCACAGGTAGACTCGGACTCTTCTGCTACCTCATGTCAAATGGAGTTAAAATACAAATTGAGTAGAATTTTTTTTTTAAGACGGAGTTTCACTCTTGTTACCCAGGCTGGAGTGCAATGGTGTGATCTCGGCTCACCGCAACCTCCTGCCTCCTGGGTTCAGGCAATTCTCCTGCCTCAGCCTCCTGAGTAGCTGGGATTACAGGCACGCTGCCACCATGCCCAGCTAATGTTTTTTGTATTTTTAGTAGAGACGGGGTTTCACCATGTTGACCAGGATGGTCTCGATCTCTCGACCTCGTGATCCACCCGCCTCGGCCTCCCAAAGTGCTGGGATTACAAGCTTGAGCCACCGCACCCGGCCGAGTAGAATTTTTAAGGGGAAAAATTGTCATCTTTTGGACACACAAAAAAGTTGTCTCATACATCAACTATGACATCCCTTGGCTTGATAAAAAGATGCATTTTGAAAAATAACATAACTATATTTTACTATCTGGGACAAACCTTGTGGATAATTGCTATGTAAATCAGAAAAGAATGTTGTTCATATTTCTGACTACATTAAATATGTTCATGACTTTTTTTACATTAATTTTGGAACCAAACTTCATGTTTTCACTCATTAATTTCTTTAAAATCAAATATATATTAATAATTAAACCACACACAATCTCATTTAGTATATCTTTAGAAATTCCTGGCTTTAGAACTTTTCTGAAACAAAAAGTTAATTTCTTCTGTTACAGGGATCTCAAAAAATATTTTAATGGCATAAAAGATAATTCAAATAAAAAAGCTTTATTATACAAAAAATGTAAGTTAAGAGTCTTTGTTATTTTCTGATTAATATCAGTCTATCTAGAATAATAACAATCATTATTAAGCTATGTGAATATCAGAATTACTTAAGTTTTTCAATATTTAATATTTTTCCTTTCTTTCTGAAGGCAAAGGTACTTGATAGTGGACTGGGAGTGGCAAGGAATAGTTATTTGTTGCAACAAAGGATAGTAATAATAAGGAATTAGCATAAACTGATATAATAGGAGCATGATTTTAGAATTTCACTTATATAAACTGCTATGAGACTTGGCCACAAGCCAGAGGAGATGGCACAGTCTTTTTAAAAAAATTGTATTTAAAAAACTGTTTAGAACTCAGACCAATCTATACACAGAGTGACAAACAATGAACTCTAATAGTTCTTCCTTCTCTCTGGTTATACCAAATTGATACATTTTTGGAATCTGCCGAGATTTATGTAAATACAAACTTAAGCCTCTACTCACCGAACTTTCAACTGTATCAGAAGCATTATCTTCCACAAAATACATTCCACATTTACCTGCAGAAAATAGTTGGATATAAGGGGTTAAAAATGTATGTGCACGTAACTATTCAGGGTTTAATACATGGCCTCTGGAGTCCTTTGGTCTGAATTTGAATCTCAGTGTACTTAGACACAGTTCCTAGCACTCAATAAATATTTTTGAATAGTATCCATGAAGTCCTGGGCAAGATGCTTTACCTCTTTGTGTCCCAGTTTCTTTATTAGAAAAAAAAAAAAAAGACTGCTGGGAGCTCTATTTCACAGAGTTACTATGGGAATTATATTAGAATATACGCAAAATGATTATGTGCTTATTTTAGCATTCAGTGCTAAATATTGACTATTTATTATTACCATTATTCTTATATTACTAGCATACTGATCTGCTTTATTTTGTTACACGCTAATTGAAGTCAAGTGGTAAACCAAATTATCCAGCAAAAGGGAAATCCTTAATTATTTTATAGACTGAGACACTCCATAAGGTAGAGCAGGCCCTAAACATAGCCCCCAAATTTTTCCTGTTTCATAGGCTGGCTGTTGCTAACACATGTCCCTACATCGTGTTTTAAAACTTTGGGAACTTCTGTGAGGTTCTGCCACCTGGATGCTGGTCACCCTTGAGCACTGAGTGGACCCGTGAAGTAGTGGCATGGCTAGCTCAGGGAAGGGTACTACCTCCATCCTACTGGGGCTCAGTCCCAGTAGGCTTGAAGCGCCACATCTTGGACCTTGGAGGCTGTAGCTTACAACATTCATTGTCAAATCTGAAGGTACATGAAATCACTGGAGGGTTCATCAGAACATGGACTGCTGGGCCCCCACCCTCAGAATTTCAGATTCATCAAGTCTGGACTGAGGCCTGAGGATGTGCAATTCTAACAAGCTTCCATGAGATGCTGATGCTACCAATTCAGGGTTCTCACACTTTGAGAACCTAGCCTACAGCATACAAATTGGTTCTTTAAGTGAACAGAGACCAAGTGATACAACCATTTTCCTTCATATTTTGAGAATAAAATTTCCAACCAAATGTAACGACATAGGTATCTATGGACTAACAATCCTGGGCTTTCTCTGAGAAGCACAGTAGAGAATATAAATTATGAACACTCTTAAAGTAGCCATATTTCTTATGCACAGGTATGTTTGCTAAAATAGTAGGTAGGTATGTAAGTATACCAATAATTTTTCACTTAAAAATTCTAAATTGGCATATAATAAAAGAAATGATTCAATATAAAATTGCATATTCATGAAGAAACTTAATTTTATAAAAATTAAAATGCATTTATGTGCTTTTCAGAACATATGATATACCATTTCTTCACATTCATAAGTCATATGCAATTACATATAATGTTAAGGCAAACTAGTCTATATGATATTACAGAAAGTTTATTCAATTTAATGACACTATGTCAAAAAACAAATTATCTCAAAATTTGACTTACCTAGTAACAACTCACCAGCTGTCTCTCTAGATGGTGCAACACTGATACATCTTCGATTTACTCTGTCAAAACATATTTAAAATTACTATGACTAAATGTTTTGACCAATTTCAGAGAGCATATGCTTTATTTTACTGAGTAAAAGGTTTCCGCCAAGCAGACTAGAGTTCCAACAGCATGAGGTATCTTGTTGAAACCCACATGAAAATACGATCTCCTTTTTTAACATCCTAGTGAAAAGAAATGACTGAAATGCCTAGAAAAGGCTAGTAATCCCTACAACCTGGAGGGAGAATATAGAAATTAAGTTATTTAAAAGAGATTATCAATATTTTATATTTTCTTTTTTTTCTTTTTTTATTTTTTTTTTAATTGCATTTTAGGTTTTGGGGTACATGTGATGAACATGCAAGATTGTTGCATAGGTACACACTTGGCAGTGTGGTTTGCTGCCTTCCGTCCCCTCACCTGTATTTGTCATGGGGAGAAATGACAAATATTTTATATTTTCTAGTAAGTAAGCAAACATTGTTTCACGCCTTAGGTACTTCAAACACATTAAAAAAAAAAGCCTAGTATTCCAGGAAAAACAGAGGATTTGGAATCAGAAAGTTCCTTTGTGTTCTTAGCCAATTATCTTCTTTGAGTCTCAGCTTTTCATCTATGAAATGGGTATAATAATAACCACAATAACCTCAGTGATAATACTATCAATATTTAATATATAATGACATACTTAATAGTCAACAATGCTATACCTATTATTATTTCCTCACTTAATAGACGAGGAAACGGAGACAGAGAGGTTAAGATTAAAGAGCTAGTAAGAGGAGGAACTGGAATCTGAACCTTTAATCACTGTATTATATTGCCTCTTGATACCACTGGCAGCTCTATCTACTTTACAGAGCTGTTAAACAGTCAATTACAAAATATGTGTGCGTGCGTGTGTATGTGTATATATGTGTGTATATGTGTGTGCATATATATATATATATATATATATACACACACATATAAATATATATGTATACTAACAAGGGCCAGAACATGATGACTGAAGTTCCATGAACCCTTGCTATCAGAAATGTCATCTGCTTTTGGATTTTGGCCACGTAATCTTGTCCTCCTCCCTTGAGCCTTTCCTGTTTAGGGTTTTCCTGAAAACGATGGCATGACCTAAAATAAATATTACATAAACACTACAATAAATTGTTGTATATTCATGAAAGATTGAAGAGCTATGGATTCAAAATTACCTTATAGATTCACTTGCAGCTTTGTCTTTGACAGTAGAAGAGAAAGAAGAATGAGTTTTGTCTTCAAATAGGTAAGAGAGTGGTGGTTTGACAACCTCTGTTGAGGAAAAAAGTACATACTATCTTTATCTAATGTTCATAGTTATCTGCTATATTTATATCTTGAGTCAAGAAGCCACTATTACCTTCTGATTTTTGTCTATCCCTAAGGAGATACTTATTTGGAATAGTTAAATAACACCTCTGTAAACGTCTCCTCTCTCGATTTGGCCCTTCTGTTGGATCCAACTGCCATGAGGTTGGGTAGTAGATGGGGTCATACCATACTGCTCTGCAAGTAAAAAGATTAAAGGGTTTTTTAAGTGACCATCCAGGACTTGTAGCTTAAAAAAAATCATTATAGAGATTGAATAAGTAAGTCACAATTGATCTGTTAATTTAAAATTCCAAATATTTATATATTTGATCAGGCAACGCATAACAAGTACGTTTAATAAAATCTAAGTGTCTTTTTGTTACTGAATCCCAGTCCCCAGTTCCTCACCTTGAGGCAAGCTCTACTTCCAGTTTCTTTCAACTATTAAATTTTTTAAAAGATATATCATGACTACTATGAACACTTGAGCAACATAAATAATAAGCTGGATTTAATATGGTTAGAAATGTTTTTTAAATTTATTTTTTACATTTCCCATTTTGCCTACTCTTTTTTTTTTTTTTGAGTTTGAGACCAAGTCTTGTTCTGTTGCCCAGGCTGGAGTGCTGTGGCGTGATCTTGGCTCACTGTAACCTCTGCCTCCTGGACTCAAGTGATTCTCCTGACTCAGCCTTCCAAGTAGCTGGGATTACAGGTGCCCACCACCACACCCGGCTAATTTTTCTATTTTTTTTTTTTTTAGTAGAGACAGTTTCATTATGTTGGCCAGGCTTGTCTCGAACTCCTAGCCTCAACTGATCCACCCACCTGGGCCTCCCAAAGTGTGGGGATTATAGGTGTTAAGCCACCTCAGCCTGGCCTCATTTTGCCTACTCGCTAATGAAAAAAAATAAAATCAGTTCTTTTTTGTGGTATGAATCACATTTTTAAAAAGATTTTAAAATAAATTCGTATCTTAGATAAAAGAAGACAGGAAAACCATATTAAATCCATTTTTAGAACTAAATGTATCCTAGATAGAACTTATTCGTATCCTTTGAGAACTTATTCATATCCTAAACATACCAAAATACTGGTAGTGGTTACTGCCTTTTTTTAAAAAAAATGCATATGTTTTTAACTACAGTTATGATCATTATAATCATTTTTCTATAACCTGCCTTATTTTACTGAAACAGTATTATCTTTATTTCGTCATTCTGAATGGCTGCCCAATATGGAGGTAGATGCATTATTCTGTATTTAACCATATTACTGTTAATATATAACTTGTTCCTAATTCATTCACTAGCATAAATAATGCAGAGATAAAACATTTTATGTTTCTTTTCTTTCTTTCTTCTTCTTTTTTTTTTTTGTGTGTGTGTGCCAGGGTCTAACTCTGTTGCCCAGGCCAAATGCAGTAGCACGTTCAGAGCTCACTGTAGCCTTGAACTCTTAGGCTCAAGTGATTCTCCCACCTCAACCTCCCAAAGTACTAGACTACAGATGTGAGGCACTGTGACTGGCCTGCCTTCCATATTTTGAATATTTTCCTTAGGATGCAATCACTAAAACAGGATAACTGAAGCTAGAAATAAAATGTTGTTAGGATTACTAACATACATTGTCAAAATGTACAATGTCACCAAAGTTCTGAGTAAGGACAGCTAATATCCTGCTGTGAATATTAGCAGCCAAAATTTTTTTTTAATATAGAATGTACAATGTGGTATCTAAAGGTTCTAGAAAACCAAATTAGCCTCTAGCAATACTGAATATTTTCCCATGTGTTTTTGGTAATTCCATTTGTCTTATGTGAGAAATGTGTTCATGCCTTTTGGTCATGCAAACTTCTAGTATCATAATATTTTACTTTAGAATCTGTATAAGTTTTTCAAACAATAAAAATAACTTTTTATTTGCTGAAAATAAATTTCCAGGTATTTTTTTGTTGTTGTTACAGTTGCTAAATACACTGGAAAAAATTGAAGTTAAAAGCCACTGATTTATTTGCAGTTTCTTCTATGGCATTTGAGCTTTGAAAGTCATCTATCCTTCTAAAAGTTAACAAATATCCTATTATCTTCTACTTTATAAACTTTTTGAGTCTAACTCTTTTATCTCTCTGGAATCTACTTTAGTGTCTAATGTTTAGTGTATTTTAGTACACCAAAGTCATAAGAATCAGTTATCTTAACCAAATTTAGAGAATAATACCTTAATTTCCCTATTTTCATTATTTGTAATACATATTTTAAATGACTGTCTTAGTTAAAAAAAGATACTTTTAAAGGCCAGTAGTGGTGGCTCACTCCTGTAATCCCAGCACTTTGGGAGGCCGAGGTGGGCGGATCACCTGAGGTCAGGAGTTCAAAACCAGCTTGGCCAAGATGGCAAAACCCCATCTCTACTAAAAATACAAAAATTAGCTAGGTACGGTGGTGGGCGCCTGTAATCCCAGCTACTTGGCAGGCTGAGGCAGGAGAATCACTTGAATCCAGGAGGTGGAGGTTGCAGTGAGCCAAGATCGTGCCATTGTACTACAGCTTGGGCGACAGAGTGAGACTCCATCGCAAAAAAAGAAAAAAAGGACATTCTTCTCAGCTGTCCTATTTCAGTAATTTCTCTATTATTTTACAAAGCCCATGTTTTAAAAGTAAGCTAATTTTACTATCTAGACAAGCTAATGCCCCCTCATTACTTTTCTTCCCCAAGAATTGAAAAAAAAAACTCATATGATTATTCTTTAAGATGAAAAAAAAATCACAAATGATTAAACAAAAAATTGTTTAAACTAATGACATGATTTTATGAGTCTGAATTCTAGAATACAAATTCAGTTTAACATCAATATCTAAAATCTTCATGGAATACAACTTTAACCATCCTCCCGTTGCTTACCTATCATGTGTCAGTTGCTGAATAAGTTCCTGCCAATGTCTGCTGGCGCTCAAATCTACTTTATACATTCCTCTGATATGCTGGATCACCTTTTTTCTCTCAATTCCTTGGGAGAGAGACACTGCCTGGGTAATATCTGCCGCTATTTTAGATATATCCTTTGATTTTGAATCTAGACGCTGAAAGAGACTAAGCAAGTAAGATTGTTCATAGTTAAGCATACATGGGAATATATATATCAAAACATGATACTTTAAAACTAAAAGTATATGTGAAATCTAATGGATTCCTAAAAGACATGCCTTTGGAACATATAAAATATTACCTTTGTTGGTTATTATTAACAGTTTTCTGCCAAGCAGCTTTATTCACTCCTTCTTCAGTTTCATATTTCTTTTGTTCCTAAAAGATTTAGATAATAATATACTACATAAAATTTTGGCACAGAGCCCAACAAACCAATTTCAAAGCCCAGTTAACAAAGGAGAAAATATTGTACCTAGGAGACCAGAATAATATAATAAACCATCTAAACAATGTTATGCTTCTGTTTCTATACAATTTAGGTCACGTAAGTTAGAGTAGAATGGTTAACCAGGGTTGCTAAACCTGATGAGTTTACACATAGTTGCTTGCCTCCTTATTCTGTTTTTTCATTAAAGAATCCCTAACACAAGGTATGCTTCAGCTTGGTTGTCACTTTAAAAATCTTTCCTTCACCAAAGGATACTGATAATGAATAATGACGACCACGGAGAAGAAAATGCTCCTTAAAATAAGCGTATTTTTTCTCTTGTAGAAAAAAGCACTATAGCATATAGGAAAAAATAAAATAATCATTTCAAGTTCATCATCAATGATACTCTGTTCTTAAAAAAGTAACGCCAGTCATTCCTTAATTACCTATGATGGAATCTCCTAAGAAAGAACTATGGTTTCATTGACTCACCTCTTTAATTATTTTAATAAGGTCTGCTTTTGTTGATGCACTGGGAGGGATGCACTTGTGACCACATAACTTCAAAGCATTCATAAGCAGTTCTGCTGTGTCTAGCTCTTCTTCAGTCAATTCATCTTGGTGATTATGTATCAACTCTGATAAATATAAAACTAACTTGGCTCCATGCTTTAAAAAAAGTAACAATTTTAAAATCATTTAGAATTTTAATTCTTACATTTAAATTACTTAATAGTAATTAAATTATATTGCTAGATTTATTTGGTTGCATCTGATTTGAATAAAGCAACTACAAAAGACATTCTGGGGGTAATTACAGAAATCTGATTATGCACTGAGTAGTTGATGATAGAGGATTAATGCTAATTTTGTTGGATGTAATAATGTTGTGATGGTTACATAGGACAATGTTTTTGAAAAAGAATTTAGAGGTAAAATATCATGATTTCTATATATATATGTTAAAATCATTCAGAAAAAGAAGAGATTATATCAGTATGATAAAAATAGTAACAACTGTTAAATCTAGGTGATGGTTATATGGTATTTATTATACTATTCTTTCTACTCTCAGTATGTTTAACATTTTTTCTTATAAAATATATTTTAAAAAGCAAGCAAGCTAGCCAGCTAGCTTTTGGGGTAAGAATTTTGGAGAGAAGTTGCTAAAGGAATGCAGGAAATAAACTGGGATAAAGGAAGATTTTTAGTTTTCCTCACAGAAAAACTGAAGTAGAAGGGAAAGCTTCCTTTAGATCTTAAAGTTTATTTACTCTTCTTACTTTGATTTCTGCTTAGTAGAAGAGAAATTGATAAAATTTCTAGAACTGAAACCTATTTTTAGCTTGTAAGTATTCACTACTCCCTAGGGAGAACAAAACGTGAAAAACTCTCAAACTGGTGAGACCTACAGAGACAGTTCTATGTGCATATCCAGGGAAGAGTTGTTTTAGTCAATCTTCTAAGAACAGACCCTAAAACCAAAATTTACAGTGTTACTTTAGGTAATGACAATTGTCCTTTGCAGCACAAACCTACACCAAATGTTCATTCACGATTTTTTAAGTGGCCCATCCATGCTATAGATATTTCACCTGATTCTAATGTGTACAGTGTGTATTATTTAGACAATAATTTTGCCAACAAGTTAAACACATGTATTTTACTTTAAAAATCTGCATTGAAACAAATATCACTGCATTTAGTTTTATGACATTTTAAACTGTGAACAGTATTAAATGTCAGCAAATGGATCTGGAAATGATTACATTTTGGGTGATATTTAAATTAACATGCTGAATCACATTATGCCATTTCCCAAAAGCAAAAGATGAACATATGCAATGATGAAAATAGCAAAGCTCATTTTAATGCAACATTTTAAATCAGTTAGAGACAGCTGCTACCTGACCAAAAGAGAAAGATGAACAGAAGTTCTGTGAGTAAAAGGCCCAAAGAGTTGGCAAATAAAGAAAAATGGTAAATGACTAGAAGATTTTCCTAAGTGTGTCTTAAAGATAATGTTCTTGATATAACTTTAAAAGTACTTCAGTTTAGTATTCAATGACATTCTAAAATTATCTTGAAAAACTATCAAAAATGTTTTTATTCATTGTGAATATCCAAAGAAACACATGATTTTCTTAAACACTGAAGTTGTTTCTAATATCTCATTTTAATACCCTCTGATCACTTACTGATTATCATTTCGGGTACTATAAAAGGTGTCATTGGGAATAGATACAAAAAATACCTTATTTTCAGCCCTCAAAAACTGATTTAAGGAATTGAGTCTGTCAGACATAAATCCTTAGAAAATAATAAAATGCTAAAATATATAAAATATTACTTTTCGATGAAGGTTCTAAGAAGGAAGAGTTCTAAGTGGACTACAGAAAGGTAGAAAGGTTTTGAAGAAGGTAGAGAGTAACCTGGGTCATGGCTAAATGAATGGTTAGAATGGGGATATAGAGGCCGGGCACGGTGGCTCACGCCTGTAATCCCAGCACTTTGGGAGGCAGAGGTGGGCAGATTACAAGGTCAAGAGATTGAGACCATCCTGGCCAACATGATGAAACCCCATGTCTACTAAAAATACAAAAATTAGCCAGGCGTGTTGGTGGACACCTATAGTCCCTCCCAGCTACTTGGGAGGCTGAGGCAGAATTGCTTGAACCTGGGAGGCGGAGGTTGCAGTGAGCCGAGATCACGCTCACGCTGCTGCACTCCAGCCTGGTGACAGAGCGAGACTGCATCTCAAAAAAAAAAAAAAAAAGAATGGGGATATAGACAGACAAAGGAGAGAGAGGTGTTCTGTGCTGGTGGACAACATGAATAGAATAGCTTGACAGTAAAAATAAACAAGATGTGAAGAGGCTGCAAGATACAAAAGATGTAATTATCTTGAAGAGAAGAGGGTCGGCAGGCTGGAGCGTTAATCTGAATCAAGTTGTGATGGCAGAAAAGAAGCCGGAGGCTTAAAAACCCAGGCAGATTACAAATGAAATACAAATTAAATGTATGCAGCTGTAAAAGGCATAAAGATCACTCTATACTACTATGTAATAAAAACCTCTAGGATATATTAAGTGAAGAAAGTAAGATGCAGAAGAGTGTGTACATTTTGCTATCTTTCTTTGTGTTTGGAAGTAGGGGAGAGAATGTTTACATGTATAAATACATGTATACACAAATTTGCTTATCTACAACAGAAAAAAATAGTTACCTACGGAGGGAGGGAAAAAATAAGAGGAGGGTGAAAGGATAAAAGCTAGAACCTCTCTGAGTTTGCTATTTCACAACATTGGTCTTAGAACCATGTAGCCATTTCACGTTTGTTTAATCAAAACAAAATTAAGCAAGCAAACAAAAACCCAAAGGAATTCCTAAAAATATAAAACAAACTGGAAAAAAAAAAAGCCCACCTACCTAACTAATTGGTTGAAGCTGGTGGCATGATCAAATAAAAAAACCGATTTTAAGTGTTTTTATAATACAGCATTTTCACTGTATAATCATAATAGTATGCTAAGGACAAAAAGAACCACAAAGACATGTTAAACTGCACTCAGCAGGTTTGCTATTAGCCATCATGTTGGTCATCTTATTTTGAAAATGTTATATATGTAGAAAGACAAAGTAAATAAATGATTATGTTAATGTTAGGAACCAAGATATCAACATTAATAAGAAATACAAATTTTAAAAAAATCCAAGAAAAAGTGAAAGTATCAGTATAAACTCATGATTTTTCTTTCTAAAAAAAATATGTATTTCCTACTTTTGTCCACTAAAAAAGGCTGAGAAAAAATGACAACCCAGTAGAAATAAACATACCTAGTCCCCAGATTTGTAGTCTCTAAATACCATCATCACTTTAAAAGGAAATAAAGGCTCGTTGAGAGGGAAGTTAGGTTCTAGGTTTGGGGAAGGAAATGTGTAAGGTGGGCCTGGGACATTCTTCTGTGCCAGAAAACAAGGAAGTTTAATTGTATTAACTTGTTAAAATGAAAAAGGCTATGTTGATACAACAACTTGAATCTACAGAGGTGTTAATTTGAATATTAAACTGAATAATGACTGCAATAGACTAAAACACATACTACTTATTTTACAATACCTGAGTTCCTAACGACACTCCAAAAATAAAACAAATACAAAAATTAGAGGCCACTAGGGGCATGAACTCATCATTCTAAAAGTTAGTAAAAAGGGAAGGAAACAATTTTTCCTGCCTTTCCTTGACTGACTGTATTTAAAGGTAGCCAAGGGGCTGGAGCCTGCCTCCAGGTCCAGATCTCATTGCCACACCCCATGATGCCCACCCAACGTGAATTCCTGATTCCTTCTGGTTCCAAGTCCAATATGGAAACTCTCAAGAATCAGCCAATTCATAATCTTCTAAAGGATGAACAGACCCCCCAGAATAAGATTACAGTTGTTGGGGTTGGTGCTGTTGGCATGGCCTGTGCCATCAGTATCTTAATGAAGGACTTGGCAGGTAAACTTGCTCTTGTTGATGTCATGGAAGACAAACTGAAGGGCGAGATGATGGATCTTTTCCTTAGAACACCAAAGATTATCTCTGGCAAAGACTATAATGTAACTGCAAACTCCAAGCTGGTCATACCATGGCTGGGACACGTCAGCAACAGGGAGAAAGCCATCTTAATTTGGTCCAGCATAACATCAACATCTTTAAATTCATCATTCCTAATGTTGTAAAACACAGCCAGAACTGCACGTTGCTTATTGTTTCAAATCCAGTTGGTATCTTGACCTACGTGACTTGGAAGATGAGTGGCTTTCCCAAAAACCACGTTACTGGAAGTGGCTGCAATCTGGATTCAGCCCGATTCCATTACCTGATGTGGGAAGGGCTGGGAGTTCACCCATTAAGCTGTCATGGGTGGGTCCTTGGGGAACACGGAGATTCTAGTGTGCCTGTATGGAGTGGAGTGAATGTTGCTGGTTTCTCCCTGAAGACTGTGCACCCAGATTTAGGGACTGATACAGACAAGGAACAGTGGAAAGAAGTTCATAAGCAGGTGGTTGAGAGTGCTTAGGAGGTGATCAAACTCAAAGGTTACATATCTTGGGCCACTGGACTCTCTGTGGCAGATTTGGCAGAGAGTATAACGAAGAATCTTAGGTGGGTGCATCCAATTGCACCGTAAGGGTCTCCGTGATATAAAGGCTGATGTCTTCTTTAGTGTTCCTTGTATCTTGGGACAGAATGGAATCTCAGACCTTGTGAAGGTGACTCTGACTCCCAAGGAAGAGGCCCGTTTGAAGAAGAGTACAGATATGCTTAGGGGATCCAAAAAGAGCTGCAATTTTAAAGTCTTCTGATGTCATACCATTTCACTGTCTAGGCTACAACAGGATTTTAGCTGGAGGTTTTATCTGATCTGTGATTAATGCAGTAATGTTAAGATGGACTGGGAAAAACATCAATTCCTAAAGTTAGAAATAGGAATTGTCTGTAAAATCCTACAGCTATATCCTGATGCTGGATGGTGCTACTGTTGAGTGGTCCTAAAACGGTTAGTGTGAAATAGCTGCCACCTCTGAGGCACCACTGCCGATGCTGCACATGCTGCGGTTTGCCCCTTGAACCAGATGGATGTTTCCCATGTGTTATGTAACTTCCTGGCTCCTTCGTTGAACATGCCTAGTTGAACTTTTTTTCCCAATCAGTAACATCCTGAGATCCAGTGTATAAATCTAATATTGCATGTCTTGTGCATAACTGTTCCCAAGGATCTTATTTTATGAACTATATCAGCAGTGTACATTACCATACAATGTAAACAGATCTACATACAAACAATGTAACCAACTATCCAAGTGTCATACCAACTAAAACCCCCAATAAATCTTGAATAGTGAAAAAAAAAAAAAAAAAGAGAGAGAAAAAAAAGAAAGGTAGCCAAATAGTTGACAAGGGAAAGTTCCTCCCTATTGAAGAGTCAGAGCTTACAGATGTTGATGAAATGAGAGACTTAGAGAAATCACTATTTTGTAACTCCTTAACGAAAAAGTATATCTTGGCAATTATCATCAGTGGCTGCTAAAATTATTAGGTTAAAGATTATATCCTCAGTCTTTGTGGGTGAATAAATGACTGGCCTTGGTGATGAAATGGATTGAGAGAGAGAAGAAAAAGTCAATGACAACAACAGTTCAATATTTCAGGCTGAAATTCAATAACGATACCACTGACAGACACAAAGTGGTTGAGAAGGGAAACTGGTATGAGGAAAAGTGGACTGTTAACACCACAGTTGAATTTTGATGGAGAGCAACTTTGCTGAGTATAAAGGGAAAAAAAAGGACCACTTCAAGTTCTCCACAGAAGGAAAGTATGGGCTAAATATGCCTCTGTCTTGTGAAATGGAAGACAGTGCCTTCAGTGTACTTGAAAGTGTCTTAATACTGGAAAGAGCACCTCCAAGTATCTCTTCAAGATAGTTTTGACTCCTAATATGAGATTTCTATGTATTAAAGATGATACTTTAAACTAAAATTCAGTAAAAAAGGTAAACTAAACTGGCTTGATTTATAAAAAAAAAAAAAAAAAAAAAAAGATGATACTATCTTTTTAAATATATCCTCTCTCGCCTTCTTTATTGAGGTATAACTTACATATAATAAGCATACATACATTAAGTGTTTCTATGAGTTTGACAATTGCATACATCCACTTTACCACTACCCAAAATAAGATCTTATTTTTATCACCCCAAAAAGTTCTCTTAAACTCCTTTCCAGTCAATTCCCTTTCTCACCATTCCCCTTCCACAGAGACAACTACTGTCCTGAATTCTATCATTATATCTTGGTTTTGCTTGTTCTTGGACTTCAGATGAATAGAATCAGATTATGCTCCTTTGTGTTTGGCTGTCCCTTTCCCCACTCAATGTTTCTGAGATTCATCCATAATGATAGGTGTATCAGTAGTTTGTTTTTTCTTAGAGCTGTAGAAGGGTCTACACAGTGCTGTAGAATAGTCTATACAGATTTCTCTCTACAGGTATAAAGAAATCACACTTTGTATATTCTTCTATTGATAAGAATTTGAATACTTCTAGTTTTTGGCCATTATGAAAAAAGGCTGCCATGGATATTCTTAAACAAGTCTTTTTATAAACATATGTTTTAATTTCTCTTTTAAGTAAATATCTAGAAATGGAATAACATGGTCACAAGTTAAATATATGTTTAATTTTATAAGAAACTGTTAAACAGCCCTACAATAGGGTTTAATGTGCCTTTTAAATTTTCCATCTACCACTGTTGAAGTGATAGACTTTATGGACTCTGAAATTCTTTTAGGTATTTTGGGTTTGATTATTACAAATGATTAATTTTTTTTCTATTTTAACTTACTTACTATATGTATTTTTGAGATACATTATATGTACTGTTGTTTGAGCTATTCAATATAGATGTTTCACAGGTAATATAAGCCTTTTAAAAAAGCCTCCAAACAATCCTTAAAGAAAGCATTTTAAGCTTTGTTAACACATTACAAAGTAACTGATAGAAACTCTGATACAGAACTTCTAATTTAAGCACTAGAAATAAGATTGGGAAATAAACACAGAGGTTAAATTGAGCCTGCGTAAACCACCCGAGGAAAGACCTTAGGTTAAATTTGTTTGGTAAGAAAATTATATTTATAAATTAGGCATGAAAATTCAGTTTAATTTCAGTTCTTGTTTTATTCAGACTTTATATTTCACCAAAAGTTTTACTTATCTTATCAAAGCTGAGAGACTTACTTGTAGGGATGGGCTGAGACAGTCTCGTAGTATTTCCTGATGATTTGGTTCATGAACTATTTCAAAAATTTGCTTTCTCTCTTGTGCAGCGTGGGCTGGTGACAAAATATGCACTAATAGCCTCCCAAGCTGCATTCGGAAGGTTTCCTTACAAGACCATAGAATTTTGGTCCACTGCTGCTTGGAACCACTGGTTTTACTTGAACCCTAAAATCAAGATAGGAATGAATTAGGATCAGATTGCTTAAGCAATACTATGCTAGACTCAACACAGCTCTAAAGAAGATTACAGAACATGTTTTATTCCAGATTGGTTTTAATAGTCAAAATTAGAAAGAGATACACATATCCATACGAATAGGAGTTTAAAAGAGATCGGCATACAATGTGTCATAGTAGCATCACTCAAAATAGCCAAAAGGTGGAAACAATCTGAATGTCCATCAGTGGATGAACAGATAAACAAAATGTACTATACACTTACAATGGAATATTATTCATCCTTAAAAAGGAAGGAAATTCTGACACATGCTATAATATGGATGACCCTTGAGGACACTATGCTAAATAAAATAAGCCACTACAAGGCAACAGTAATCAAAACAGCATGGTACTGATAACCAAAACAGAGCTATAGACCAATGGAACAGAACAGAGGCCTCGGAAGCAACACCACACATCTACAACCATCTGATCTTTGACAAACTTGACAAAAGCAAGCAATGGGGAAAGGATCCTCTGTTTAATAAATGGTGTTAGGAAAATTCACTAGCAATGTGCAGAAAGCAGAAACTGGACCCCTTCCTGATACCTTACACTGAAATTAACTCCAGATGGATTAAGGACTTAAACATAACACCACAAAAACCCTAGAAGAAAACCTAGGCAAAACCATCCAGGACATAGGCATAGGCAAGGACTTCATCACTAAAACACCAAAAGCAATGGCAACAAAAGCCAAAATAGACAAATGGGATCCAATTAAACTTCAGAGCTTCTGTACAGCAAAAGAAACAATCATTAGAGCGAACTGGCAACCAACAGAATGGGAAAAAATTTTTGCAATCTACCCATCTGACAAAGGGCTAATATCCAGAATCTACAAAGAGAACTAAAGCAGATTTATAAGAAAAAAACAACCAAACTCGCCCAAAAGTATGCAAAGGATATGAACAGCTGCTTTTCAAAAGAAGGCATATATGAAGTCAACAAACATATGAAAAAATGCTCATCATCACTGGTTATTAGATAAATGCAAATCAAAACCACAATGAGATATCATTTCATGCCAGTTAGAATGGCAATCATTAAAAAATCTGGAGACAACAGATGCTGGAGAGGATGTGAAGAAATAGGAACACTTTTATACTGTTGGTGGGAGTGTAAATTAGTTCAACCATTGTGGAAGCAGTGTGGTGATTCCTCAAGGATCTAGAAATAGAAATTCCATTTGACCCAGCAATCTCATTACTGGGTATATACACAAAGGACTATAAATTGTTCTGTTATAAAGACACAGGCACACGTATATTCATTGTGGCACTGTTTACAATAGCAAAGACCTGGAACCAACCCAAATGCCTATCAATGATAGACTGGACAAAGAAAATGTGGCACATATACACCATGGAATAGTATGCAGCCATAAAAAACAATGAGTTTGTGTACTTTATAGGGACATGGATGAACCCTGAAACCATCATTCTCAGCAAACTGACACAAGAACAAAAATTCAAACACCCCACGTTCTCACTCGTAGGTAGGTGTTGAACAATGAGAACATGAGGACACAGAGAGGGAAGCATCACACAGTGGCGTCCGTTAAGGGTGGCTAGGGGAGGGACAGTGGGGTGTAGGGAGTTGGGAGGGATAACATGGGGAGAAATGCCAGATATAGGTGATGGAAGGATGGAGGTAGCAAACCACCTTGCCATGAATGTACCTATGCAACAATCTTGCATGATCTGCACATGTATCCCAGAATCTAAAGTACAATAATTTTAAAAAGCCATATACGAAAGGACAAATATTGTATGCTTCTATTTACAATAGGTACCTTGAAAAGTGAAATTCACAGAAATAGAAAGTAGAATAGTGATTACAGGGTAATGGGGGAGAGGGTGGTAAAAGTTATTATCTATTGGGTCCAGAGTTTCATTTTGGGATAATTAAAAAGTTCTGGCCTTGTGCGGTGGTTCACGCCTATAATCCCAGCACTTTGGGAGGCCGAGGCAGATGGATCACCTGAGGTCAGGAGTATGAGATTGGCCTGACCAACATACAGAAACCTGTCTCTACTAAAAATACAAAACTTAGCTGGGTGTGGTGATGTGCACCTGTAATCCCGGCTACTCGGGAGGCTGAGGTAGGAGAATCCCTTGAACCTGGGAGGTGGAAGTTGCAATGAGCTGAGATTGGGCCACTGCTCTCCAGCCTGGGAGACAGAATGAGACTCCATCTCGGGGTGGGGGAGGAGGGGGAAGTTCCAAGAGATGGATGATGGTGGCAATGGCTGCACAGCAATATGAATGTAATTAATGCCACTGAATTGTAGCCTTAAAAATGGTCAAAATGGTAAATTTTATGTCCCAAGCCATTAAAAAATTACCAAGGGCTGACAAATTTTAAATTAAAATAAAAACTATCAAAGAACAATGATAAATAAGCTTACACTGATTTTGCAATAAAAAGAGAAAAGATTCATAATAAAGACTTGAATTGTGCTATACTACTGAGTACAATAGTCACAAATTAAGCACTGCAGATAGCAATACCCCTTACCTGTGGTTTTGCTTTTCACAGTCAATCATGGTCTGAAGAGTTAAATACTATACAATAAGATATTTACTCATTGTAAAAGGAGAGAGACTACATTCATATAACTTTTAGTAAAGTATATTGTTATAATTATTGTTTTATTATAGTTAATTTCTTACTATGCCTAATTCATAAATTAGACTATATCATAGGTATGTATGTATATGAAAAAACATATCATATATAGGTTTCAGTAGCATCTGTGGTTTCAGGCATTCACCAGGGGTCTTGAAATGTATTCCTCGAAGACAAGGGGAAACTACTTTATGGGTTTACCATGGAGTATTCCCTAACAATTAACCAATTGTTTTAACTATGGTCCCACTAAGCCTAGCCAAATGCTGATCAAATCACCTGCATCTGGTTTAAAACTGGAAGCAGTATATTCAGAATTCTTTCTGAGTTTTGGAAACTGCTCCTCTCTAATTACATCTAGTCCTAAGGGTCCTGTGTGAGTGACTGAGTTCTAAGTGAATCCGCACTTGGTTTTGCTGTTCAGAACTAACCAACAAAATCTAGTTTGGTTTTAGAGACTGGCATGTCATGATTTATGAGATCTGCTACAATTGGATTGGCCTTTGCTATCTATGGAGTAAACTGACCGATTTGTTCTGTTGTGTCAAATGTAAGTGACCCACAGAAACCCAAGTGAGGTGATGATAAATGAACCCTGACACTTATCAGTATTCTCTATATAATTTTGAAGGTGTCAGATATACTTAGGCCAAGATCTAAAACTCATAATAATTTAGAAATTTGAGAACAAGTAGCCATAAATATAGTCCTTTAAAAACAAACAATGTAAACTCTTAACAACAGGCATCAATGATGATGATCTACTCTTTTCTGTTGTTGATCTTACTAAACTACAACACTAGAAAATAGCCTTTAGGGTCACAGGCTTAAAAAGCAATGCTGCATGAGATGAGTCATTTTGGAAAGGGTGAATCAGCAATATATATTACTCTATAATTAAAATTCTAGTTGTCTGAGTCAAGCTCTCTGTAAGAGTACAAAGAAATACGATTTTGAAAACATACAATACAGTCAACAAAAAACCTCTATTCCCTTTGTGTGAATGAACATTTCCCATATAATCAATTTACTTACAATAGATACTTTGAATCCTTCTATCAGATATGTAAAAATTTCTTTCTGAAATGGATTAGAAACAGAAGACTGTTCATGATGAATACATTCCTCAGAAATTTCGGTCTGGAAAACTGAGGTCTTGCTTTGAGTTACATTTTCTGGAGTTCTCAAAATGTCAATAATGTCTGAATTAAACTCTTTGAATTAAAAAAAGAATACAAAATTAGTCATATCACTGCTATCTACCCATTATAAATAGTAATAACGCTGGTAAAAATATTGTATTTAATTACTAATTCAGTTATCACAATTTAAATGTGTATCAGGTGTATTAGATGTAGTAGTTACAATGTAGTAGAAAGTGAATTCACATAAAATAATGTAGAAATTTAAAAATGCACGTCATGCAATTTAAAATTAATATTTAATTGACTAATGAAGGTAAATTAAACTGCAAAATGGTTCAAACCATGAGCTTGTTATACAAATCAAACATAAAGACCATGTCATATTTACATGAGTGGATCTAAAGAGCTGTTTCTCTGCATGTGCTATCCATTTACATACTGTGTATGTGATAATCATGGCTCAATTTCAGAGTTTAATCTGGGAGTCTGTTGCACAGAATGTACAGTAGAAAAGTCAAAGGAAAAAAAGGTGGGCATGGTGGCTCACGCCTGTAAACCCAGTACTGTAGGAGGTGAAGGCAGACAGATCACCTGAGTCTAGGAGTTCGAAGTCAGCCTGGGCAGTGTGGTAGAACCCCATCTCTACAAAAAAATACAAAAATTAGCCAGGCATGAGGGGTATACCTGTATTCCCAGTTACTCAGGAGGCTGCAATGGGAGGACTGTTTGAAACCAGGAGGTAGAGGTTGCAGTGAGCTGCAATCACACCACTGCAATCCAGCCTTGGTGACAGAGAACCCATTTCAAAAAAAGAAAAAAAAAAAAAAAAAAAAAAGAAAGAAAAGTAAAAAAGCTAAAAAAAAAAAAAAATTCCTTGAGTTTATCATGCTTTTCTAATGATTAACAATTACTGTTTTCTTTGTCCGTCTTCCTGAGGTTACCTGAACATTTTTTTACATTACATTTTGTCTTATCTATAGTGTTTTTTTAAAAAACAATTTTCAGCTTTATTGGCATATAATTGACAAACATAAATTGTATATAATTAAGGTGTTTTGATATATAAATACGTTGTCAAATAATCATAATAAGCTAGTTAACATATCTATCACCTCACATAGTTACCAGTTTTGTGTGTGTGGTGAGAACATTATTTATAGTGTTTGGAGTATATTTCTTTAAATAGCTTTTTTAAGTGATTGCTCTAAGTATCACAATTTAAGTAAGTACATATATTAATTAGCAAATATGGAAATGCAAATTAAAACCACAATAAGGTATCACTACACATCTGTCAAAATGGCTAAAAAATAATGACAACAACAAATAGTAGGTAAGGGTGTGAAGAAACTAGGACCTCTCATATATTGCTGATGGGAATGTAAAACTGTACAGCCACTCTGGAAAAGTTTGGCAGTTTCTTAAAAAACTAAATATGTAGGCCAGGCACGGTGGCTCATTCCTGTAGTCCCAGCACTCTGGAAGGCCAAAGTTAGAGGATCACCTGAGGTAAAGAGTTCAAGACCAGCCTGACCAACAAGGAGAAACAAGTCTCTACTAAAAATACAAAATTAGCCAAGTGTGGTGGCACATGCCTGTAATCCCAACTACTTGGGAGGCTGAGGCAGCAGAATCACTTGAACCCAGGAGGCGGAGGCTGCAATGAGCCAACATCGTGCCATTGCACTCCAGCCTGGGCAACAAAAGCAAAACTGACTCAAAAAACAAAACAAAACAAAACAAAACCTAAATATGCAATTATCATGATGCAGTAACTGCTCTTCTGGGCACTTATCCCAGAAAAATAGACTTATATTCATACAAAACCTGAACATAAATGCTTACAGACAGAGGCTTTATTTGTAACAGCCAACAACTAGAAACAACCCAGAAGCCCTTCAAAAGGTGAGAGGTTAAACAAACTGTGGCACATCCATACCACAAATATTACTCAGCAAAAAAAAAAGGAACAAACTATTGATACATGCAACAACCAGATGACTCTCCAGAGTATTACACTGAGTGAAAAAACTCATTCCAAAAGGCTACATACTGTATGATTCCATTTATGTAACATTCTTGATGACACAAAAATATACAAACAGAGGACAGATGAGAGGTTACGAGGCTAAGGAGGGGCTGGGGGGGATGAGAGGAAAGCAGGTGTGGCTAAGAAAAGGGCAACGTGAAGGACCCTCCTGGTGCTGGAAATGCTGCTGACTGTATCGACCTCACTCACCTGGTAGTGACATTATACTACAGTTCTACAAGATTCACTAGGGGAAGCTGGGTGAAGGGTATACAGGGTCTCTCTGTATTATTTCTTAACTGCATGTGAATCTACAACAATCTCAAAAGATCATACTGGAAGTGCCATATGGTTTTAAAACGGTCAATCTGGGCTAGCACTGAATGCATTAAAAAGTGGACTTTTTATTCAAGACTATCAATTCCAAATTAGAAAACTCTTAATAATATGGATGTTAAGAACTAAAAAATAATGCTGCTTAAATATCTGAAAACCAGTTTCTTCTTAGATTAATTCTCTTTCGTTTTAAAATCTGAGGAAAAACAAACGAATCCTATAGTTTTACCTTGATAAATAATCCTGTTGACTGCTAAAATGGTGAGTCTCTGCAGTCTCTGTGAAAGTTCTGTTTCAGTTGCTTGGCTAGGGTTCTCCTGGCTCATTCTCCGTTGCATCATCACGTGAAGCTCATCATTTGCCACTGAACGCATTTTCATCAGAAGCGATTCAGTTTGAGCAAGGGGAAATTTTCGAGGACCTTCAAAAGTATATAAATTAAAACATCAAATGCCAGTGTTAATAAGGATCAAGGAAACTATTTTTGCCAAAACTTTTTGATTACCAGAACATGAAAACAACCTTACTTACTACAAAGTCAATTCATACAAAGGAAAGAGTGATTAAGAGAAAGAGACGTTTCTCCCTCTTCGAAGAAGTGCAACAGTACTTTTGGTTTCAAAGTCCTAAATAACAATGTTGAAGCTAGTGACACAGCTTAGTAAAACAGAGGTCATTTGGCAAAGTTTGAGTTAAAAAGGATTGAATGGGCATAAGTAGTTCAGAACATTTTGATAAAATAGTTTCAAATACTGTTTCACTTCTTTGTATTCCAAAATCAACAGTTTTAATGCACATCATTTTTTCAGTACGAACATTACTATTTCTGAATAATTACTGTTACTAAATTTCATAAAGTAGTATTAAAAATTGGATATAGTGACAAGTAGAAATCAGTCAATGAAAGTGAAGAGATCAGAATATAATTCCAGTGATTTGTTATTAAAATGATTTAGAACATATGCATCATTTGGAATTCAATGCTACAAAAGCATTTCCTGAGAAATGTTTCCTGAGACTGAAGAGAGAGGAGTGGCATTCCTGCACCATTACTGCACCTGCTCCGGGAGGTACAATACAGGTAGAGCATCCAGGAGAAAACTGGGGGGATGAGTCTTGATTTAATGGACTGAAGGAGAAGGGCATCGGAAGTTGACCATAGGAACCAAAATGACGTCTTGGTAGGTGAGGAATAATGGAACCCTTCATTGGAATTGAACCTTTGTTTTAAATTATGAAAACATATATCAATTTCTATAAATAACTTCTATAAAAATTACTTAAATATGACTAAATTTTAACAGGTTTTAATGACTTATCCTGTAAGATACTTAAATATTTTAATACTATTTTAGATCGCTCAGTATTTTGGGTAACTAGTATTCATAATCAGTTAATATATTTTGGTAGTCAGTTTTGAGGGCAAAAAATAAGAAAACACGAATATTTGTATCCTGTATATATTCAAGAGTAGTACTGTCAAACAATACACTTAGTTTAAGTAGATTCTTCCTAATGTCTACATCTGACAGCTTTCATACTGTATGTGCAGCTCATGACTATAATTCAGAGGCATGACAGTGCAATGAATAAGGAAGTGTTAGGTAAGTCTTCCTTAGTAGTATGTGTATTAATACTTGAAAAAGTGGGAGGGTATTTCAGCACTCCTGCTGTGAAGCCACACAGAGCTGGTGTGGCCTTAAGCACACTTCCTTCTGAACCTCAGTTTTCTTATACATAAGATGTGGGTTAGAAAAGAAACAGAGCTTACTTCACAGGTAGGTATTTATCACTATCTGACATTGTATTAAATATATTTGTTTACATACTTATTGATAACTTCTTCCAGTACAGTTCCCTGAAGACAGGTACAACAGTAACTGGTACAGTGGTTGGTACTCAAGAAATATTTGATATTTGGTGGTTGAATAAATGGATAAAGAGTCATTTTGTGGATTAAAAAAAATGGGTGTAAAATGTAATGCCTGTCTCACCCTCACAAAGAATAAATACTTTTAATTGTTAGTATTATTGGTTGAAATATAAAGAAAATTCATATGTATGTGAATTACTAATATAACTATGTGTGTGTGTGAGTGTATGACAATTGAAATATATGTCCAGCATTCTAAATAATATCCTAATGCTGACCACTTCTACCTTTATACATTAAGGGGGATGTGTAAAGTTTTTCATATTAATAAGCAGGCAAGTATATATTGCTACCTTATTTATAATACCAAAAACAAACAAGCAAAAAAACCCTTTGTTTATCTATAAAAGTTACAGATTATACATATCAAAATAATAGATTATTTGGCAATCATTAAAAATAAAAATAAAAACATATTTATGTTTCTTAATATGGAAAAAATCTACAATATAATGACTAAAAATGAAATCAATTTACAAACAGTAGGTAGAGCATGATAACATTTAGGTAAAATTACATATAAAGATATGTATCAATATAGATATCTAGACCAAAAACAGATATAGAGGCTAATGAATCAGAGCTTTGTTCATTTGGCAGCAGGCAACTTGGAGCTGCTGAGCATTCGAATAGTAAACCTGAGTGAGGTTCTAAGAAGATTAATCTGACAATAAAATAGTATCTAACTACTCTCTGCAAGAACTTAAGATCTAGATTTAACGAGAGTACTGCTGAAGAAACTTTGGTCCCAAGTTATGTCTATCCTGTGGTTCAAGGTTTGAGTAAATTTGTCTATTATTAGAGTCTGGTGTGTGGCCATAATGGAAGCTGCAGCTGCTGGCAGTCCCTACAACTCCTGCTGAAGGTGGAGGGCAGTGGCAGTCGGGCTGGAGGTGTCACTCATCTCAGTAGTTTTCAATAAATGCTAAATGAGTCTATTTAGGAATCCCCCGACTACATCTAAATATTTGTTAGTAAAGAGAACAGCTTAAGTCTTTGAAGGAATAATTCATTACTTAATTGATAGACATGACAGAAATAGAAATCCCTCTATGTCCCTTTAGTATCATGGACAAACGGACTTGAATGAGTTTTTGTAATCACACAGAAGAGCTTCAGTATTCTGCAGTTTTTGTACCTGTAGCATATAAAGCCAGTATACTTTTGATACTTTAAACTAATAGTAAAAAAATTAAAAGCACAATCTTCCCCAAGTATATGTGTAAAAAACCAACTTAGAAGCAGTTATAAAGCAACGACCGAACACATATAAAGTGGCATTTTTGCAAACTAGATTCACAAAGACAGAATTTAAATAACGGTAGTATTTAAAACAGGAAGGATTCTTGAGAGAGACTTCAGAGAGAGAGAGAGATGGGTCCTAAGAGATATCATAGACTTGGAATGAGTACATGTGGCATAGGGCACAAAGGGATGGGTATAGGGGTGCACATGCCAGCAGTCCCTAATTCTAGGATGCAGTGGTTCTTTTTTTTTTTTTTTTTTTTTTTGAGACGGAGTTTCGCTCTTGTTACCCAGGCTGGAGTGCAATGGCGCGATCTCGGCTCACCGCAACCTCCGCCTCCTGGGTTCAGGCAATTCTCCTGCCTCAGCCTCCTAAGTAGCTGGGATTACAGGCACACGCCACCACGCCCAGCTAGTTTTTTTGTATTTTTAGTAGAGACGGGGTTTCACCATGTTGACCAGGATGGTCTCAATCTCTCGACCTCGTGATCCACCCGCCTCGGCCTCCCAAAGTGCTGGGATTACAGGCTTGAGCCACCGCGCCCGGCCGGGTTGGATGCAGTGGTTCTTAAGAGGAAGCTGGACTGGATGACTTTTAAGGTCTTTCATTAAGCCAAAAATTTGTAGGATTCTATAAGTCTCCTATAGCTTACAGCAATCACATTTACTTAGAGTCAAAAAAAAAAAAAAAAAAAAAGGAGAGCAGTCTAGTGAAAAAGATTAAAAGTCCATTATCTGTTTTAAAATGACTCAAACCAAAAACAAACTTGAAGCTATGCAGGGCTCTAAGGCTCAAAGTGACAAAAATGCTAATATCTAAAGAGATTAAAGAATGCTAGAGAAATCATTGACCAAAGTGATCATTAACTAAAACCAGGGATCTAAGCAGGGGAGGAACAGATATGAGAATGAGAAGTATCAATACAAAAGAACCGCAGGGGTAGTAAAGGTATACTTTCTGTTATCAATAGAGGGTGAATTCCATGTAAGCAGTCACTGACAATACAAGGAGTCCTGCAAAGGAAAGGTGTCCAGCAATCATCTTCTGGCATGCAGGAAGCTGAGCATTAATGCCAGAAGTGGAAAATAATCTATTTCTACTCAGGACAAAAGAGATGTACAGCCAGGAGGGCAGCTCAGGAGGAGAGACCACGTTCAGATATTAAATAAGGAAGAAAGTAGAGGCGCAGTAAGTTTAGTTACATAGATGTTTTAGCAGTTTTACTTATGTAAGTTTTATTTAGCACAATTTAAACATACTACTGCAAAATAATGTGTACGTGGTAGCTTTTCTTTACAAGTGAGTTTTTCACAGGGTTTAAAATTGTTGCATGGCATTGAACACAGAGGTAGCTTAACACAGGTCAAAGAAAGACTTGAACTTAAGTGCATTTAAGACAGTAAGAGTGATTAAACTTCAAACAATTTACTAAATACTCTGTTTGGAGATGGGTGTGCATGTGAGCATGTGTACATGCATATTTATCCACTATGTATACATAACGTGTGTGCATATCCTGTGTATGTGGTGTTCATGTTACCTTTCTGGGTTGTGTTCATAAAAAGATGATAGCAGATTTTGTGGAAAAAAAATAAGGAAACCTAACCATATTTATGCTTATTATTTGATGACATGTACTAATTTATAGCAAGCTCTAATATCATGTACATTTTAACCACGTGCAAGCCACCATCATCTTCCCTGACTACTGTAATAGCCTCCTCCCTGGACTCCTCACTACCTCTCTTCCTCTCTTCTAACCCACTCTCTACACAGAAGACAGAGTGATCTTTACAAAATAGAAAGCTGTTTATAGCATGCCGCCTACTTAAAACCTCTGAGAACTTCCCATTACGATAAAATCTAAACTCCTTAACAAGACCCATGTGATTAAAAATGGACTCTGGCCCATGCCATACTGTATAGCTTCTTCTAGTGTCCCACTCTCATCAAGTGACACACTCTAGCTAAATGGCTTTTAGTTCTCTGAACAAGCTCAGCTTTTCCCGTTCTTGGAAGCTCCACATAAGCCATCCATTCTGCCTGTAATACTCTTTCTCTGACTTTCTACCTTGCTAACTCCTTTCTCATCCTTTACATCTGTATTGAAATCTCACTTTCTCAGAGACTTCCTTAATTTCTGATGTAGATCAGGTTGCCTTATTATAATCTCTATTCCTACCCTCTATGTTTCCCTACTATTTTACAATCTCTGTGTCCGTTTTTTAAATCATTGTATCTCCAATATTTAGCACAATGCTCAGCACATGGTAGGCAGGTGCTCAAGAAATAACTGAATGAGAAAAGCACTAAAAATAAGCAGCAAAACAGTTTAACCCAGGAAAAAAAATCTTTTTTAAATTTTATGCAAAACAAGAAATATTTTAGAAATATGAATGGCATAGGAAAAGTCAAGCTAGCCTCAATTTATGGTTAATAAAATATTATTTCAATACTCGCCGGCAATGCTTTTCCGCTTTTGAACTATGGCATGATGGGGAGCAGAAGGTGACTGTAGTGAATCTGTGAGGTTTTCAGAGTCATGATTTGCAGTGGTCCTTATAAATTCCATAGCAGCCTGGAGAACTCTAAGCTGTAGTGCAACAGCCATATCTAAAAACAGAAGATACTAGAATGTTTTCAAGCTATGTGGTTATTAATTTTTTAATTGAACTGATTTTATGTATCATGCTAATAATGTTTTGTTAGATATAAATTTTAAATTTTTGATCAACATGGGGGTGACAGTAGTAGACATTTTATAATTCTTGTTAAAGGTAATTTTAAAGCAAATTTACAAATGGTCGCTAAAAACCTTCAATGAAAAATTATTAGCTTGCTCACAAATTTATTTCATTTTAAAAACTATTTCAAAGAAGAGACTTTCTTTTTCTATAAAGGCTACAGTTTAACCAGCAATTATCACATTTTTTCTGTTTCATATTCACTTTAATAATTACCATTAAAGAAAACTAAAGGGCATTACTACACAGCACATGCTTTTAAATTCTACTTGGTAAGAAAAATCAGTGACATCTTTCAATTATGTATTGCCAATTACTAACTACATGGAGGAATCACTTTTTCTGTTTTTGCCACTTTTTCCAACCCTTTTCAGGTTTCTTTTTTGAAACTGATAGATATTATCACAAAATTAATGTTAAACTTTTAGTAAAAGAGTTTCCAAGAAGAAAGAGATTAGGCTCCAATAACATATTTGTCTATTACACAAGTCCCTCCCCAAGTCCATAAAAATTAAATCTTACTTTGTGTCCTCTTGTTTTTGCTATTTTGAAGATATCCAAGCATTACAATAAGGTCTTCAATAACCCTAAAATATTGTGAGCCCGAGGAACTGCAGGCATGAATTGTAACTGCTATGAAAAGTTGCTGTATATCACAAGCAAGCAATTTATATTCACTCACAGGAATGCTAAAGACAGCAACAAAAGAACAAAACAGAACATTTATAAGAGAAAGAACAAATAATTTAAGACACAGCTAACTGATTTAAATGGTTTAAATTCCTATTCTACCAGCTCACACTCATTCATGCAGTCATTCAATATTTATTCATGCTTACTCTATGGCAGGTAATATGCAGTGTGTATGCTAGAAATAAAAAGAAGATACACTTTGACACCTGTCGAAAATACATAGTTTTTCAGAGGACTGGACAAGTAAACAGATCACTATATATTGTAGGTGGTTGTAAGCGTAACACTAGAGATTAATACAAGATACTATAAGAACACATAGGCAAGTTTCTAGTCCACACTAAGGATGAAGATTGTGTGGGTACAAACAGGAACATTCTATGAAGGGTTCTCAGAGAAGATGAATTTGACTATTAAACCTCTCTGAATCTTGCTTGTATAAATTATAGTTATTTTTAGGACTAAAAGAGGTAATAGATTTAAATTTATATTAATCATTTATAAATATCCAATAAATATGAATTAGTTATTTCTGCCCTTCAATCTTAATCTTGGTATTAGGCCTATAATACTTCTCTCCATCTGGGTTTTCCAAATCAAGCAAGGGTTAGAAACTAACTTGAGCCAGTTAATAAAGTAGCATACAGGGACATTCAGTAAACACAATTTTCTTTCTTTCTATTTTTTTTTTCCTTCTATTTTAGGTTCAGGGGTACACAGGAAGGCTTCTTACACAGGCAAACTCGTATATTAAAGTAAATTAACACTAAAGTTTTCCTGTTCTAAAGTATTTATAAGATGTAATTTTAAATAATAATTTTAAACTTACTTCTTTTCTAATCCATTCAGGGCTGCTACTGTATTACATAACACATAGAGTAGACCATTATCCAGCAACATATCTGCTACCTTAGAACAAGAATTTAAAATTTGGAGAAGAAGTAAAAGAGCATTATGCAAGAGTATGTTGTCATATAGAGAGGTCTCTATTAGTCCCAGAATAGGAATGACAGACCACTTCTGAAAAAGTCCCAAGTTTTTCACATCTTCCAGATCAAATCTAGAATAAATAACACACAGTTAAGAGCACATTAGAAACAATTAGCCACAAAATAAGAAAATATGGCAGCAACCATGGGTCATTTTGTTAACTTGATTTTGAAGTCATAAAAAAAATTGGGGGAGTAAGATTTCTTAACCTGTTTTTAAGATTTAGAGTCCCTCCATAACAGGGTAAAAGCTGTTGCTAGAAGTCCATCCCAAGATACATACACAAACATTTAAATGAAATATGCATGCAATTTCATGGTTTTAACTGATTTATTTTAATTCATCCATGAGCGCCTTATATCCAAAGAAACTCTATGTTTGGGGGCCACAAGTGCACAGGAAAATTATTATTATTATTTTACTAGTATTTGAGAGACAGCTAGTAAAAAGAGGTCTAGCAAAAGAGAATGATTCTTGAGTTCTTATCCCGATGCCATTTGCCTCTGCGATGGAATGAAATTAACTAAGAATTTTGTGCCTCATTTTCCTTATCTGCCAAAAATACGTGGTGAAATAGTCCTTCTTTTCTTCTCAAGGCTACTGTGAGAATCAAATAAGGCAATGCAGAATTGCTTTGTGAAAACCAAACGTTGTATGTAAATGAAAGGTAGCACTGAAACTGCTGTAATAATTTAGTAAATTCTTTAAGGTTTCAATCTGTCTACCACAATAGACACAAATTTCTCTCTATTCTATCATAAGCAGAAATTACGTTTAATTTCTGCCAAACTTCTGGTGTGGGAGAAAAATATTCTTTTATTTTTACACTTATTTGCTAATCTATCAGCATTCTACTGGGGTCAAAACTCAGCCATCAGTGTATCCAGCAATTCCAGATGAGGGATTTACTCCTCTTCCAGATAATCTGAAGGCTCTGAGGAGAGTACGGAGCTCCTGTATAGATCCTTTATGTAATTTGTCACTAAGAATACACAAGCCATCTTTCTTTTTTCTTTTCCTCTTTTTTTTGAGACAAAGTTTCATTCTTGTTGCCCAGGCTGGAGTGCAATGGTGCAATCTTGGCTCACTGTGACCTCCACCTCCTGGGTTCAAGCGATTCTCCTGCCTCAGCCTCCCAAGTAGATGGGATTACAGGAATGTGCCACCACGCCTGGCTAATTTTGCTTTTTTTTTAGTCCCTGAGACAGTTTCATCATGTTGGTCAGGCTGGTCTCGAACTCCTGATCTCAGGTCATCCACCCACCTCCATCCCCCAAAGTGTTGAGATTCCAGGCATGAGCTATCTTGCCCAGCCTCATCTGTCTTTTCAGTTAATCTTCTCATGTTAATACTACATGCCAAATCTTAGCTATCACTTTCATCTGATGCAGTCTTTATTTGTTTCTAGTTTCTAACTAGTGAATTAACTATGAAGGATGAAGTTATATTAGAAAGAATATCATATGGCAAATACTACATTGATTTACCTGGAAAATAACTTTTAGCAGATTTTTTCTAACAGTGATCAAAATATTTTGTTAAGAATGAGTTCACTAAATTTACATTTAAGACAAAAGATCTTGTCGGGCGTGGTGGCCCATAGCTATAATCCCAACACTTTGGGAGGCCAAGGCAGGAGGATGACTTGGGGTCAAGAGTTTGATACCAGCCTGGGAAACAGAGCAAGACCCATCTCCACTAAAAGTTAAAAAAAAAAAAAAAAAAAAATTAGCCAGGTGAGTGCCTGTAATCGTAGCTATTTAAGAGGCTGAGGCGGGAGGATCCCTTGAATCTAGGAGTTTAAGACTGTAATGAGTTGAGCCATGATTGTGTCTCTCTGTACTCCAGGCTGGGTGACAGAGTGAGATGCTGTCTTAAATATAAAAAAAAAAAGAAAACAAAAACACAAAAGATCCACAATTATAGCAAAGGGAAGAATGCACTTACTCTTCATCAAAGCCAACACGTCGACCAAAGAACATTTCAATGAAGCATTCTAACAATTCTTGAGTTCCTCGATGAAGATACAACTGGTTGGCCAGCAAGGAAAATCCACGATTCTTCAGAAATTTATCTTTTTGTTCCTTAGATGCTCTAGCAAAATATGCATCTAATAGCTAAAGAAAAAATTTAGTTAATTTAGATAATTAAGTCAATTTAGATAATGTATTAAAATATAATATATATAAATCAATGTATCACAATTGTATTTGTAAATTATTTAGTTCATATGTACAGAAGAACATAGGAAGCTTAAAAAAATGCCACCACCACAGCAAAATAAAAATGAATTTGTCTTTAGCTACTGTGGAATGCTAATGATGACTCTATCCTGGCGATCTTAACACTTCTCTCATAGGGAAACTGGCATTTTTAGCTCAGCATAGACACTTAGCATAAGTAGAATATTTGTACCTAATGCTGAGGGAAAAAAAATCTGTAAACTATGCTCTCTCTGCAAATATATAATCTATATCTGTATCTATCCGAGACTTCTACTTCTAGTCTTCTTGACAGATTATCTATCCTGAGCGCAGGCCTGAATTTCCACCCTTCCCTAGCATCTTAAATGCAACACCTGTAATACTGAATTAATACTTTCACCTCTCTCTCTCTTTCAATGATTCTCTCACAGTAGTGATAGACTCCTTTCCCCCAGACACACATTTATGTACCCCCTTTCTAAAAAACTTTCTAAGTTTACAGCATAATACAAAGTATACTTTTTCCATGAATTCTTCTGTTTCCTTTATGCTCAATTTTTATTAATACTGCCACTGCAGCACTCATCACAGATTTCCTTACCTTTTACTTAGTTAAGTACAGTATCAGACTCTCCCTCCTAGACTATGAACTTCTTGAACGTAGGGGCTTACATTATTTCTCTTTATATACTATATTGCAACTAGCTCAGGGGCTTACACATGAAATGGGAGCTCGATACTAGGTTGTACCGCAAGTGATTAAACATTACCTACATCCAAACTAAGGAAAATGAGAATCTTTACAAGATTATTTTAATATTGGGTTGTTTTCTAATGGAAACTATTCATATCAAGCATTTACTCATTCAACAATATACATAGTACTTATTATACAAGATGCCTACCCTCATGAAGCTTATATTTGTGAGAAATTAAAAAAACAAGTATGCAGATTAAAGAGATAAGACATAAATAGGATGCTATGATAGAATAATGAGTAGGGTTAGAGGGAAGTGATTTTGACAAGATAATCAGAGAAGGACTCTTTGAAAGGTGTCCTCTAAGCTGAGACCTGAAGTAAAGGTCTAAAATTTGATACTACACTAAAGAAGTTACGAATGAACCATGTGTTCCCTGTAATTTTTATTGGTAGATTTAAAAAACATATTGATATGAACCAATATATGGAGAGGGACTTAAAACTGCATGCTAATGGAAAAATATGACCATGTAACCAAAAACCACTGTATCCCTAAAGCTATCAAAAAAAAATTAAAAACAAAAACAAAAAATATGAGTAAGAAGCAATAAACTATATTCATTCATTATTCTAAAATAAAAAGGAAAGATTCAGATCTACTTTAATGTAATATTCAAAATCTTGAATTACATATTTATTTTTTTGAATTAAAATAACATATCCAGTATTTGCCCTTACTTTAATAACACCTTGTTGTATAGCTGCTGATGGGTGGTTAACGAGGACCAAAAGTGTATCTGCTTGAATAAGCTTGTCCATCACATCTTCAAGCATAATATCAGGCAGGATAAGAAGAACCCCACTTAAGAGTTCATATAATCCACAGCATATAGGTACCAAACAATCTTCAGTTACACTAAAACAGAGACCAAAAAAGTCTTACTAACATGATGAGAGAAGTACTTGATGATTACCTCAGGAACTGTGATAAGTAGTATTTTTTTAACAGGTGAAACAAATGTTCATAATGTTTAAGAAATGTTTCCTAATTTGACTGTGATTAACAAATTTACCATCACTTTTTATCGTTGATTTTTTTAGGTCTATAGTCTACTAATACTATTCTGTTGTACATCTCTGATGTTTAATACAGTAGTCACTGTCACATATGCTGTTAAGTTAAACTAAAATTTCAGTTCCTCAGTTGCATCAGCCACATTTCAAGTGCTCAGTGGGCATATGTGGCTAGTGCCGACTGTATTAGACAGCATGAATAAAACATGTTCATCATTGCAGAGTTTCACTGGATGCTGCTACTTGAGATGCTATTGGAAATGTTTTTTTCACCAAGGAAGAAACAGCTTTATAGGAGTCTAGACATGTCAGAAAAACCCAGTTCATTCACAGAGAAGAGAGGCAAATATTAGTACAGGGGAAGAATTTAGTCTTAACAGAATATCCTCTCAAAAACCAAGGGTGAAAATAAAACCTCCATGTAAATATGCTAACAAATGCTGCTGGGTTTAGCCCAGGTGAAACTTGTGGAGGCTCCTGGTGAAATGAGATTTTTTTCATAAAAGGAATGCTCTCTAGCACTGCTGCATCTGAACTCTGTATAAAGTTATGGGTCTAGAATAGCAGAAGTAGGGGAAAAGATAAGGGAATGTCTCATCACCCAAGCAAGGTCATCTGTGTCCAGGTGAGAGAAGAACCTTAAGTTTTTGGAGAGAGAACAAACGGGTTGCAGAAGGAAAATGGCTGAAGAAATACAACACCCAGGCAATGTCTGTCATAACGTGGAGGACTCTGTGCAGTCTGATGCGAGCCTCTCATGGGAAACACTGGCATTCCTTTCTTACACCATTTTAGCTCTCTTCTGACTTCAGAATTGCCAGTGTTCAGCACCAAGACCTGGATTATAATTAGCTGAGGTGGAATGGAGTGGCCACCCCATGACACCTGTTCCTCTTCCCTTCTGGGGCAATCATTTGTCTCAGATCAAGCGAGATGTTACCCAGTATGGTCCCAATCTAGAAATCACTCCCACCTTCACATGAGCACCAAGTGGAGAGAATCATTCTCATGAGTCAAAGCTTTAGATAAATCCTACCATTTTTCTGTCCTGAAGAATTTTCCCTTAATAACCATAAGGAATTAATCCACAAGATTTTTTTCTTTAAATGCTACTTATGGTTTAGATTTTGGTTAAGTATGGAATACTATCTAGTATTAAAATAAGGAAAAACATACCTTTCTGTTTGTTGTGATTATGTATATAAAGAAATGCACTTTTCTGTTTGTTGTATTATAAGAAGTGGTATAATGAAGACATTTCCAGAAGGGTAGAGAATCTTTAAATAATAGTAAAATAAAGGAGGGAGGAGTGCACAAAAACACATAAATACCTGTGAGCACTTGCAGTTTGGCTGTAATTTGGTTCATAACCAAGAGAATAAGCAAAGTTTTCCCAATCATCAGTGCTCCCGTCAACAAGACTTGGCCAACGGCCAACAGCTGCAGCTCCATTCTGTGAAGGAAAAGCTAGCCCAAGGCTTGCAATAGTGCTGTGGCTTCGCTGGAAGGAGGCCAATCCCTTTAGGTAATCAGGTCGGCGTGGGCAGGACTCATCCCCAGGACTGTCATCTTCTGATCTGGGTTCTGCTCCCAACTCTTTGTGATTTACTTTGACCACTGGAAATCCCAGCATTCCTTTTGGAACATCACTGACGGAGACCTGGGCTGAGAGGAGAGCTTCCATTTCACAAACAGTTTTTGCAGACTCACAGCTACTGATGAATGCATCCTCTTTGCCTTTTTTCAGTGTGTTGGAACTCCCGAAAGAATTTTGTTTCTCTGATTGGGTGGCAATGTAAGTATCTGCAATATTTTGTAACCTGTCAATACTACAACCCAAACTTCCAGTCAGTTTTTGTGATTGCATTAGTAGTGAAGAAGTAGGGAATGCTGGTAGGCTTCTAGAACGCAGCATATGGGCAGCCATCTGTTGTGGAATAATATTGGAGGAATTCTCTCCTGGTAAGAGTAGATACAAAAACACTACTTAAAAAAAAAATCTATTAAGTGCATTATAAATTGCAACCACAGCAAAAGCCCATTTAGCACTGTTACAATCCATATAGGTTAATTTTACAAGTAACTAATGCTTAAAATTCCTTTTTTTTAATTAAGAGACAGGGTCTTGCTCTCTTACACTGAAGTGCGGTGGCACAATCACAGCTTACTGCTGCCTCTAACTCCTGGGCCCAAGCTATCCTCCTACCTCAGCCTCTAGGCAGCTGGAACTACAGGCATGAACACCTACACCTGGTTTAATGCTTAAAATTCTTAAATGCCAAACCTACTTTTATTTTAACCATTTTTAAAATTAATATTTTCCCAAAATATATCTTTTTCTGTCTTTTTAACAAAGCACACTATTGACTGAATGATTCAAAGTCATTAGGATTAATGGTTCTATGGTGGTGAAATTAAGTGAATTAAGTGAAACCCAATTTACCTCACGCTAGCAGTCACCAGGATGTAGTGGGAAGAGTGTGGGCTTTCCAACTAGATATAATTGGATTCAAATGATAGTGAGGTGGCCCAAGGTGAGTCACTTAATCGTACCACAGCTTCTACAAATGTAAAATGAGGGTTCAGAATATCTACTTTGCAAGGTTGCTTTAAGGATTGAGATTATATTTGTGATGCACCTAGCATGAAGTCCAACATATAATAGGTACTCAAAAAATGGTAGTACTTGTTACCAGCCTAAACAGCCCTAGACAGTTCTCTCCCTCCTTCTGCAGTCACTTCTTGCTATTAGTGAGAACAGTCTCTCTTCTCGTCACAGCTCTCTAATTTACTGCTTCTAATATTCTACGTAGGAAGACACCAGAAAAATTATTCTCATTGTAGTGCATGGGATATAAGTGCATGCCACTCAAGGTGTGGTCTGTGGAAGCCTGGGCATCAACACCGTCTGTGGGACTGCTGGAAATTCACATTCTCAGGCACCACCCTAGATTTACTGTTACAGAATGTATGAAGGAGGGGCCCAAGAACCAATGTTTTAACAAGCTCTCCAGGTGATTCTTTTGCATGTTAAAATTTGAGACCACAAATACAGAGAAAACAGGCATTAAGTGAACTGCTTTTAGGGCATAGGCTTTGTGGCAATAAAATAGCTCCATAGCTCAGAAACTTTTTCTAGTTATTTCTAGATTTTGGCTAGAGGGCTAAAGTCACCAAAAGATTCTATTCAGAAGATCTGGAAAAAACGGGGGTAAGGTTGCATTTGAAAATGTTTCAAAGTGACACAGATGATTTAAAAAACAAATATGTCCTATAAAACTCCAAATAAAACTAATTCAAAAAGGCCAGGCACAGTGGTGTGAACCTATAACCCCAGCAATTTGGGAGGCCGAGGTGAGTGGATCACTTGAGCCCAGGAGTTTGAGACCAGACTGGGCAACAAGGCAAAACCCCATCTCTATTTATTGAAAAAAATAATTTTTTAAAAAAGAAAAAAACTAATGAAAACATAGCCTTAAAATATTATTATAAAAGGCCATAAAAAGTGCTAGAGAATAACTGAAACACTTCGGGAGGAAAACAAAACTAGAGACTAATATCCATATATCTAGTTGACCTATCTCTATTACTCTCTCACCTGCGCTATTTAATAATTAGGATTGAAGCTAAAGACAACGCTAGGTTGGACTGACAATAAGAGCAATGTCCCAGTATGGAAGAGGATACCAGTCAGGAAAGGGAAAGATGAATGGTCAGTTTGCAACTAGAAAACCTGCACCTATTCTTTTTTTCTATGAAGTAGCGATGAGAGTCTGTTAAGAGTAAATGAGGAAGATAGAAAAGTACTATAGACTTAAAGACTTGAAGATACTTACTACGGAAATAGAAGAGAGAATTGATTCTGAACATACATAAAAATTACACGGCAGCATTTAAAGCTCTGTTTCAGAAATGAGGATGGTTAAGACTGAGGCCAAGTTAGAGTTTTTCGGTTCAAGAATACCAACAGACCAAGGGGACAAGGAAACTGAGATAGTTTCCAAGTGAATAACTGCTGAAGTTATTGGCTAATGTGACCAAGCTGGATAGGGAAAGAGAGACAAGGGGAACTTTGGAGTATGATAAACAAACAAACAAAAACCCCAGAAAGATGGGAGGTTGTGGATTAGAAAAGATAAATGCATCCCCTTTGCCCTTTTTCAGCATGTCAGAACTCCCCCAAAAGGATTCTGTTTCTCGATATGGCTGGAGGGCTAATGATGCAGAAAGAGTGTTCACAAGACCGGGAAAAAAAAAATGGAGACATGATGTACAGTATTTGAAAATGATCCAGAGTAATACATGTGATTGAAAAATAGATCATATAGATAGAATGGAGTGGGATACTGGAGTTTTGCAGGTGCTTGAAAGCATTCTTGATGATGAAAAAGTCCAAGACAGATGCATGCAGAGTAGTAAGACAAAGTAGAGAAAAGGTACCCTGAGTCAAGAAAGGTGGAGCATTGAGTGGCCATTCATCTGGCAAGCGAAGTTGTCTAGAATGATGGTTTTAGGTAGAGAGAAGAGAATACAAGTTTACAAAAAGCTTCTGAAGAAAATGGAAAAATAAGTCGGAAGCTTGATCAAAGACAAATGACTATGATAAGAGAGGTCAGAGAATGCCAGAACAACTTAGCGTGAGCCTCATCCATTTTCTCAATTTTCCCGAGGACCTGTGCTGGGTATCTCTTATTAGATTGAATGAGGTTGTACTATATGTACTTCTAAAATATGTACAATTTAATTACCTAAGAATATTCAGAACGAAAATGAAAAGGTTATACTTTCATTATTGCTATTTTTACCTTCATATGGTGAAGCAGTAAAACCAGATGGGCTTATTACCATAAATCCAGGGCTCATAAGGGACCTTCCTCCGCTGCTGGAATGCCTCAGGTACATGATTGACTGTACTTTCTCCTGAAAGATCTTGCCATCTAGAATCCAAATTTTTTGAGACAGCAAAATTTTTAAAAAGGATAAAATAAAAATATAATGTTAAAAGCAGATCATTAATTGAAATTTTGAAAAAAAGATATTGAGAGAAACACAGAGATGGCATACTTTATACTAAGGCATACTTGATATGTGCATACTTATTCTTCAAATTTTTAAAGTATATATTTTATTGCACGTTAGGTTCTGCGGTACATGTGAGGAACATGCAGGACTGTTGCACAGGTACATCCATGGCAAGGTGGTTTGCTGCCTCCATCCTCATCACCTATATATGGCGTTTCTCCCCATGTTATCCCTCCCCAACTCCCTACACCCCGCAGTCCCTCCCGTAGTCCCCTCCAACAGACCCCAGTGTGTGATATACCCAGTAATGGGATTGCTGGGTCACATGGAATTTCTATTTCTAGGTCCTTGAGGAATCATCACACTGTCTTCCACAATGGTTGAACTAATTTACACTCCCACCAACAGTGTAAAGTGTTCCTATTTCTCCACATCCTCTACAGCATCTGCTGTCTCCAGATTTTTTAATGACCACCATTCTAACTGGCATGAGATGGTATCTCTATGTGGTTTTGATTTGCATTTCTCTAATGACCAGTGATGATGAGCATTTTTTCATATGTTTGTTGGCCTCATATATGTCTTCTTTTGAAAAGTGTCTGTTCATATCCTTCACCCACTTTTGAATGTTTTTTTTTTCTTGTAAATCTGTTTTAGTTCTTTGCACATTCTGGATATTAGCCCTTTGTCAGATGGGTAGATCACAAAATTTTTTTCCCACTCTGTTGGTTGCTGGTTCACTCTAGTGATTGTTTCCTTTGCTGTGCAGAAGCTGTGGAGTTTAATTAGTCTATTTGTCTATTTTGGCTTTTGTTGCCAATGCTTTTGGTGTTTTAGTCATGAAGTCCTTGCCTATACCTATGTCCTGAATGGTTTTGCCTAGGTTTTCTTCTAGGGTTTTTATAGTGTTAGGTCTTATGTTTAAGTCTTTAATCCATCTGGAGTTAATTTTAGTGTAAAGTGTCAGGAAGGTGTCCAGTTTCAGCTTTCTGCACATGGCTAGCCAGTTTTCCCAACACCATTTACTAAACAGGGAATCCTTTCCTCATTACTTGTTTTTGTCAGGTTCATCAAAGATCAGATGGTTGTAGATGTGTGGCATTGCCTCTGAGGCCTCTGTTCTGTTCCATTGTTCCAGATCTCTGTTTTGTTATCAGTACCATGCTGTTTTGTTTATTGTAGCCTTGTAGTATAGTTTGAAGTCAGATAGTGTGATGCCCCCAGCTTTGCTTTTGCTTAGAATTGACTTGGCTATGTGGGCTTTCTTTTGGTTCCATATGATGTTTCAGGTGGTTTTTCCCAGTTCTGTGAAAAGGGTCAATGGTGGCTTGATGGGGATAGCACTGAATCTATAAATTACTTTGGGCAGTATGGCCATTTTCACAATATTGATTCTTCCTAATCATGAACATGGAATGTTTTTCCATCTGTTTGTGTCCGCTTTTATTTCCTTGAGCAGTGGTTTGCAGTTCTTCTTGAAGAGGTCCTTTACATCCTTTGTTAGTTGTATTCCTAGGTATTTTATTCTCTTTTTAGCAATTGTGAATGGAAGTTCACTTTTGATTTGGCTCTCTGTTTGTCTGTTATTGGTGTATAGGAATGCTTGTGATTTCTGCACATTGATTTTGTATTCTGAGACTTTGCTGAAGTTGCTGATCAGTTTCAGGAGATTTTGGGCTGAGATGATGGGGTCTTCTAAACATACAATCATGTCGTCTGCAAATAGAGACAATTTGGCTTCCTTTTTTCCTAATTGAATACCATTTCTTTCTTTTTTTCTTGCCTGATTGCTCTGGCTAGAACTTCCAATACTATGTTGAATAGGAGTGGTAAGAGAGGACATCCTTGTCTAGTGCCAGATTTCAAAGGGAATGCTTCCAGTTTTCGGCCATTCAGTATGATATTGGCTTTGGGTTTGTCATAAATAGCTTTTATTATTTTGAGGTACGTTCCATTGATACTTAGTTTATTGAGAGTTTTTTTTAGCATAAAGAGCTGTTGAATTTTGTCGAAGGCCTTCTCTGCATCTATTAAGATAATCATGTGGTTTCTGTCTTTGGTTTTGTTTATGTGATGAATTACGTTTACAGACTTGCGTATGTTGAACCAGCCTTGCATCCCCAGGATGAAGCCTACTTGATCATGATAGATAAGCTTTTTGATGTGCTGTTGTAATCGGTTGCCAGTATTTTATTGAAGATTTTGCATCTATGTTCATCATGGATATTGGCCTGAAGTTTTCTTTTCTTGTTGAGTCTCTCCTGGGTTTTGGTATCAGGATGATGTTGGTCTCATAAAATGATTTGGGAAGGATTCCCTCTTTCTGGATTGTTTGGAATAGTTGCAGAAGGAGGGGGACCAGCTCCTCTTTGTACATCTGGTAGAATTCAGCTGTGAACCCATTTGGACCTGGGCTTTTTTTGGTTGAAAGGCTATTAATTGCTGCCTCAACTTCAGCACTTGTTATCGGTCTATTTGGGGTTTCGACTTCTTCCTGGTTTAGGGATGGGAGGGTGCAAGTGTCCAGGAATTAATCCATTTCTTCCAGGTTTACTGTTTTTTGTGCATAGAGTTGTTTGTAGTAATCTCTGATGGTAGTTTGTAATTCTGTGGAATCGGTAGTGATATCCCCTTTATTGTGTTTTATTGAATCTATTTGATTCTTCTCTCTTTTCTTTTTTATTAATCTGGCTAGTGGTCTATTTTGTTGATCTTTTCAAAAATCCAGCTCCTGGATTTATTGATTTTTTTGAAGGGTTTTTTTGTATCTCTATCTTCTTCAGTTCTACTCTGTGTTAGTTGCTTCTTGTGTTCTGCTAGCTTTTGAGTTTTGATCTTGCTCCTCTAGCTCTTTCAATTTTGATGATAGGGTGTCAATTTTAGATCTTTCCTTGCTTCTCATCTGGGCATTTATTCTACAAATTTTCCTCTAGACACTGCTTTAAATGTGTCCCAGAAATTCTGGTATGTTGTATCTTCATTCTCACTGGTTTCAAAGAACATCTTTATTTTTGCCTTCATTTCATTGTTTATCCAGTCAACATTCAAGAGCCAGTTGTTCAGTTTCCATGAAGTTGTGAGGTTCTGGGTTAGTTTCTTAATCTGGAATTCTAATTTGATTACCCTGTGGTCTGAGAGACTGTTTGTTATGATTTCCGTTCTTTTGCATTTGCTGAGGAGTGATTTACTTCTAATTATGTGGTCAATTTTAGAGTAGGGGTGATGTGGTGCTGAGAAGAATACATATTCTGTAGATTTGGGGTGAAGAGTTCTGTAAATGTCTATTAGGTTTGATTGGTCCAGATCTAAGTTCAAGTCCTGGATATCCTTGTTAATTTTCCATCTTGTTGATCTAATACTGCCAGTGGAGTGTTAAAGTCTCCCACTATTACTGTATGGGAGTCTACATCTCTTTTTAGGTTGTTAAGAACTTGTTTTATGTATCTGGGTGCTCCTGTATTGGGTGCGTATATATTTAGGATTGTTAGCTCTTCTTTTTGCATTGATCCTTTTACCATTATGTAATGCCCTTGTCTCTTTTGATCTTTGTTGGTTTAAAATCTATTTTACCAGAGACTAGGATTGCAACTCCTGCTTTTTTTTGCTCTCCATTTGCTTGGCAAATCTTCCTCCATCCCTTTATTTTGAGCCTATGTGTACCCTTGCATGTGAGATAGGTTTCCTAGATACAGCGCACCGACAGGTTTTGACTTTTTATCGAATTTGACAGTCTGTGTCTTTTGATTCGTGCATTTAGTCCATTTACATGTAAGGTTAATATTGTTATGTGTGAATCTGATCCTGCCATTTTGATGCTAGCTGGTTATTTTGCCCATTAGTTGATGCAGTTTCTTCATTGTGTCAATGCTCTTTACCATTTGGTACATTTTTGGAGTGGCTGGTACTGGTTGTTTCTTTCTATGTTTACTGCTTCTTTCAGGAGGTCTTGTAAGGCAGGCCTGGTGGTGATGAAATCTCTGAGCAGTTGCTTGTTCATAAAGGATTTTATTTCTCCTTTGCTTATGAAGCTTAGTTTGGCTGGATATGAAATTCTAGATTGAAAGTTCTTTTCTTTAAGGATGTTGAATATCGGCCCCCACTCTCTTCTGGCCTGTAGGGTTTCTGCCGAGAGATCCACTGTGAGTCTGATGGGCTTCCCTTTGTGGGTAACTCAATCTTTCTCTCTGGCTGCCTTTAGCATTTTTTCCTTCATTTTAACCCTGGTGAATCTAACGATTATGTGCCTTGAGGTTGCTCTTCTTGAGGAATATCTTTGTGGTGTTCCCTGTATTTCCTGGACTTGAATATTGGCCTGCCTTGCTAGATTGGGGAAGTTCTCCTGGATAATATCCTGAAGAGTGTTTTCCAGCTTGGATTCATTCTCTCTGTCACATTCAGGTATACCTATCAAACGTAGAGTAGGTCTTTTCACATAATCCCATATTTCTTGGAGGCTTTGTTCATTTCTTTTTACTCCTTTTTTTTTCGAATCTTGCCTTCTTGTTTTATTTCATTGAGTTGATCTTCAGTCTCTGATATCCCTTCTTCTGCTTGATCGATTCAGCTATTGAAACTTGTGTGTGCTTTGCAAAGTTCTCGTGTTGTTTCTCAGCTCCATCAGGTCATTTATATTCTTCTCTAAGCTGTTTATTCTCGTTAGCATTTCATCAAACCTTTTTTCAAGGTTCTTAGTTTCTTTGCATTGGGTTAGAACATGTTCTTTTAGCTCAGAGAAGTGTGTTATTACCCACTTACTGAAGCCTGTTTCTGTCAATTCAGCACACTCATTCTCCATCCAGCCTTGTTCCCTTGCTGGTGAGGAGTTGTGATCCCTTGGAGGAGAGGCGTTCTGGTTTTGGGTGCTTTCATCCTTTTTGCACTGGTTGTTTTCCATCTTTGTGGATTTATCTACCTGTGGTCTTTGTGGTTGGTGACTTTCCGATGGGCTCTCTGAGTGGACATCCTTTTTGTTGATGATGAAGTTATTTCTGTTTTTTAGTTTTCCTTCTAACAGTAAGGCCCCTCTGCTGTAGGACTGCTGGAGGTCCACTCCAGACCCTGCTTGGTTGGGGATCACCTGCAGCGGCTGCAGAACAGTAAGGGTTGCTGCCAGTTTCTTCTTCTCTTTTTCCCAGAAGGATACCCACCAGATGTCAGCCTGAGTTCTTCTTTATGAGGTGTCTCTTTGGGTATATGGGGGTCAGGGAGCTGCTTGAGGAAACACTCTTGTCCCTCATAGGAGCTCAAGTGTTGAGCTGTGAGCTCTGTTGTTCCAGTCAGAGCTACTGGGCAGGTAAGTTTAAGTCTGCTGCAGCAGAACTTATAACTGCCTTTTTTTCCCCATGTGCTCTGTCCTGTGAAGGTGGGGTTTCACTTATAAGTTCCTGACATACTGCTGCCTTTTTTCAGAGATGCCCAGTGAGAAGGTAGCCTAGTCACAGTCTGCCAGCAGAGGTGTTGCTGAGCTGCCATGGGCTCTGCCCAGCTGCTGTGTGAACTTCCTTGCAGTTTTGTTGATAGACGTATAGTTAGAACTGTCTTGGTAACGGCGGTCTGCCTCAGTAATGGCTGTCTCTGTAACGGCGGACTGCCTCGGTAGTGGCGGACTGCCTCAGCAGTGGTGGACTGCTTTGGTAATGGCAGATGCCCTTCCCCCTGACAGCTGGACCATCCTGGATCCAGCTTGTGCTTGTTGTGAAACTTTCAATCCAGAGCATTTCAGATTGCTGGTCTTTGTGGGGGTGGGACCCACCGAGCCAGATCACCTGGCTCCCTATTTCAGCCCCCTTTTTTAAGTTGAATGGGCAACTCTGTCTCCCAGGTGTTCCAGGTGCCAGGTGAAATGGTCCGCCCAGATTTGTGTGAGTTTTTGTGCGGCGACCCGCTGCACTGGCTCAAACAGCTGTGCTAGAGACTCGTGATGCTTTTCTGCCCAGGAATCTCCTGGTCTGTGGGCAGCAAAAATTCGTTTGGAAATGCGGTGATCACTCGTCCTCTGCGTTCTCGCTGGGAACTGCACTACAGCACTGTTCCTATTTGGCTGTCTTGGATCCTCTTCACAATTTTTTAGTATAGATTTTGTTGTTTATTATTTCTGGCCACATTAATTTCTATTTTCTTATAGTTATTTCTGTGATTTAACTATTTACTTTTTATATGATATTATGATCTCTCAAGGGAGACCATTCATCTGTTCATTCCTTGAGGAAAGGACTGTCTTTTATATATCCCGTTCAGTGTCTAATATTTGTAAAAATGAATCTTTCTGAGCTTCATACATATAAATTCGACTGCCTGGTTTCTTAAATGAATCATAAATGCAACAAATCTAAATCTGAATCATCTTTTTGCCCTAAATTTACTCCTTCTGTTTTGGTCTTTGGGTAGTTTGGTAGAAGGGCCTATTTCCCATATGGGAACCTGGAGCCACCCTTGACCACTATCTTTCCTTTATCCACAGCAAATCAGGCACCAGGTTCTATTGACTTTTTCTTTGTTTCAGACAGAGTCTCACTCTGTCGTCCAGTCTGGAGTGTGGCAGGTGTGGTCTTTGCTCACTGCAACCTCCACCTCCCTGTTTCAAGTAATTCTCATGCCTCAGCCTGCCAAGTAGCTGGGGTTACAGTCATACACCATATGTTCAGCTGATTTTTTTTTTTAGGGACAAGGTTTTGCTAAGTGGGCTAGGCTGGAGTTGAACTCCTGGCCTCAAGTGATCTACCCACCTTGGCCTCTTAAAGTGCTGGAATTACAGGCGTGAGCCACCACGCCTGGCCATGAGTTTATTTTTTGTTTCTTAAACTCTTCTCTTCCCTACCATAGTGCTACAATTCAGGCTTTATCATCTCTCAACTGGATTACTGTCACAGATTTCTAAATGGTATCCTTGATGAGCATCTCATTACCCTCAAATCCTCACAGCTACCAGAATTCAGCTCCTTCTTGAATGTCAACTCCTGCTTAAAACATTCCATTGGCTTTCTATGCCTCCTTACCACCTTGGATAAAATCCAAGCTTCTTGCTTACAAGCATCACTGCTGTTGGTTCCTAGGTCCCTTCCCAGCCTTGTTTCATAAATTACAGTTCAGCACCACCTTCTGGTTCCCTGTCAAGCTGTTTCCTTTGCCTGCAAGGCCTTTCTCTTTGATGCCTACTTAGCCTTTAAGATTCAGGGCAGGCATCACTTCCTCTGGGCAAGCCCCCTCAGCCTTCACATGCTCTGTGTTACCACAAGACAAAAATGTTGACTTCCTTATCACTGTGCTTTCCACATGGCATGGTATAATTGTTTCTTTATCCGCTTTCCCTCAACTAGGCTGTAAGTGTCTTAAGAGAGGGGACCATATTTTACTCATCTTTGTAACTAACCCACTCCCAGAATCTTTATCCACACTTCTTTTTCCATGAAATGTCCTGAGCCTACCACAGTCATGCTATCTAGACTTTACTGCTGCTCATTTTATTCACTTACTACATTTCTTTTCTTTTTTTTTTTGGAAACGAAGTCTCGCTTTTGTCACCCCGGCTGGAATGCAATGGCATGTTCTCGTCTCATTGTAACCTCCCCCTCCTGGGTTCAAGCCATTATCCTGTCTCAGCCTCTCAATGGCTGGGATTACAGGCATATGCCAGCATGTCTGGTCAATTTTTTGGTATTCTTAGTGGAGACAGGGTTTCTCCACGTTGGGTCAGGCTGATCTCAAACTCCTGATTTCAGGTGATCTGCCCACCTTGGCCTCCCAAAGTGCTCAGATTACAGGCATGAGCCACTGCACCCAGCCCCATTTACAACATTTCTTAAAATGGTTATTGTACAACCAGTTTTCCACTGTTAATTTTGACTCAGCTTTCTTATAGGTACATTCTTGCTTTCTTACCACATTACATTTCCCTAGTTCCTTAAAAAACTGATTATTCCATCTTTCTCTTTTTCAGATTCTTCTTTATTGTCCTACCCTCCAACTAGTAACATTACCAGCAGTTCTTTCCTTAGCTTTCTCTTCCTTCTCTCTCTACTCTTCTTCAGTGGTCTTGTCTGTTCTCAGAGCTTCAACCTCACTTCTATGCAGACAGCTCCTTATAACCTGTCCCTTCTTCCTCATACTGTAACCCTCATTTCCAATTGCCTACTAGAAAATTATAAGTAACTGCAGGGCACCTTTTTATATGACCAAAGCCATTATCCTTTTTATCTTAACATCCCCAGAATCATTCCATCCTAAACTTCCCACTTCTTCATTTATCACTCCTTTCTAGTTCCACTGTTACTATGCCTAGATTCTGTTAACTTGTCTCTCATAGACTGTTATAACTGGCCTTACTGCCCCTAGTTCCTTATTACTGAATCCTACTGCAATAATTTACTTACATCATAGTCTTTGCTCAAAACAAACAAACAAAATCCTTTCGATGACCTATAACTATAATACAAGTTCAAATTCTCTGGCCTTACATTCAAAGACCCATTTAATATTACTTTAGAATAAAAATAAATAAATGGTGGCTTTAAACCCTATTTATGGCATTACTTCTCACTATTCCTTTACAGATCCTCTATACAAAGGTAAAACTCATTAGTCCTTATTTTCTCTTTGTTTTTCTTCCCTTTAAAGCCATTCTCTTTACCTGGAATGCTAACTCTCTAATCTGCCTATGAAATTCTACTCAAAATCTTCCATGTCCACATCAGATATCACGTAACCTACTAAATATTCTCTCCACAGTGGTCAGATGAAACCCTCTGTCCTCTGAAATCTCCTTAGTTCTTTTGTGTCTCTTCGATACTTACCAAATACTGTTTGTTGTTGTTGTTGTTGTTGTTGTTTTTAAAGCTGTAGTTATTTGAGTCTATGTCTCCTTTCTCCTCTTGGCATTTAGACTCCTTGAGGGCAGAGGCCATGTCTAGTTCATTCTATAACTCTCTGCCCTATCCCAACCCCAATATGTAATTAGAGCAGCACAGAGGCCATTCAAATATCAAACCAATGTGAATTAAGTGGGAAGAAGAAAACAAAAGTGGAAATAGCCACGATCTAACAAAAATGATTATACCTACCTATGTGCAAAGAAAAGTAGAAGTTTGTGGGGTTGTGACAAACGTAAGTATTAGTAGGAGGGTGAACCGCTAAAAGGAAATTGAAGATAATTGTCAATAATTCCAAATCTGGAGGAGATCCAAGGACTTCTGCTATAATTTTCACAAATGATCTACAAACCTCTCGGGGCATAGATGTGAGTTGCCCCTCTTTGTGTTCCTGAAAAAATAAAAATCAAACTATCTTTAGATTTAAAGAATTGTCAGCTTAACTAAGATTCTTCATTTAGGCACAATATTCTTTTTAAGATAGAATTCTGTTGGTTTACTACTCTAGTCTGACCATATTTACCATTACCATAATAACTCATTAAATTGAGTTGTTGTTTCCTAATTCAAGCAATCTTGTCATTAAAAATTCATTAACATGAATGACAACTTAATTCTAGCCCATTTATCTTAATTAACTGAGGCAAAGTTATACTACAACTCTCACAAGCATGGACTCAAAAGCCAAACTGCCTAGGTTTGCATTCTGGCTTCTCTACTCACAGCCATGTGATTAGGTACATTATTTAACATCTGCATGCTTCACTTTCTTTGTCTATGTGAGTAATACTAGTGCTACTTTATAGGGTTGTTATAATGACTAAATAACATAAACTCTTAGAATAGTGCCTTGCATATTGGTAGGCTCCATGTAAATGTTAGTGATAAACTACAATCACTACTATTACTGCTATTACTACCTTGTCTTCTTCTTTTAGTACTACTACTACTAGTAGTGGTAGTATGGGATTAAGATAGAAAACTTTTGATAGACAAAACTCCTTACAATAATACAATATGCTCCAGTTTATGAAGCCCTTTTTCACAACAGTTCTATGAGAGGTTTTATCCCTCATTTCTAGAATATGAGGCTCAACGTGGTTATTTGATTAGTGTAAACCACACCTAAAATATGTAGGTAGTACAACTGTAACTCAAACTCAGGCCTCTGAGCTCTTACTACTAGATCATTTACTGTCTGGAATAATGCGACTTGGCAGAATGCCAAGCAATTACTAAAAATAAAGCCGTATATAAATAAATTGTTTATATACTCCAATTCCACCTCCCCAGTGGGTAGCAGCTGGCCTCCAGATTAGGGGTATGGGAGGCAAACTTCCTCATCTTCCCTCTTCCTATGTCCAAATATATATCTCTACATCCACTTTTCTTCATTTACTCTTGTGTACTGCTGAATTGGAATACTTAAAATGTAGATGTTAATTTTGAAACAATTTAGTTTAACTACCTCAGATTTAAGAAGAGAACACTGAGTCTACAGAATAGAACAAAAAACCCCTTTGCCAAGATCTCATAGCTGTCAAGTGGCCAAGCTAAGACAGGAACATAGATCTCCTGACTTCCGATTCAGAACTATTTCTGCTACAACCATCTGCATTTCTTTTAAAGCATACTCCATATATCTTCTTAACTTTCTTGGTTGGAGTATCAGTTATTCATTCCTAAGTCCAGCCCAGGTTACTTCTATCTTGCCATCTCCACTGACTCTTTATCAATAGTCACTGGTTATTATTTTTTTAATCCCTTAACTTCACCTTATGTGAACATTCTGTTTCTGCCTTTGCATTTGCTGCTGGACTTTTTAATAATCATTTATTCTCACTGCCTTTAATGATCCACTACACATGCTGTCCAAAGTGCCTGACTGGTTCTTGCCTTATCCATGCTATTAAAATCTTGTAAGTTACTAAGAATTTCTGAGTCAATGGCCCTTTATCTGTCTACATGTTCTCTGAACTTTCTATATTATTTGGTTCAAGGTATCACCTCATTCTGTACATGTTCTTCCCCTTCTGCCCACCTCTGGCTTTCACTTTACTGAGTTTCCTCTTGGTTTTTCAATTACTCTTTCTGAATCTCTTTCAATAGCCCCCTTTTTTTTGTTTCACATCCTGAAAATGGGTATCTCATGAGGTGTAAACGTCAGTCCTCTCATTCTCTCATTACATTTCTCTATCTTGGAGTGTTTATCCATCCTCCTGGCTTCACTACTACCAGTTCACTGTTGCTGAATGTCCTGCTGTAATCTCAAATGTAGACTATATAAACTACAAAACTTGCAAGGTTGCTTCTTTTTTTCTGATAAAACTATTATTTTTCCGGCTTCCCAGCTTGAAATTTCATGTTATATTTGATTCCTCCTGAAGCTCCATTTAAACAGAATCAAGTCCTTTGAGTTCTATCTTTATAATCTCTCTCATATTTGCTCCCTACCTAAATGCTTCTACTTTAATCACCAGGGCTCAGTTTCTTTATACTGAACTCATGAACTAATGTAACGGCCTTATATCCAATATACTACCAATTTATCAATCTTCCTGAAATGGATAAAAACTCTGAGATCCCTTAAAGGCAAAGGCTAAGTTCATTTCTTTATAAACTTCCCACAATACCTGACATAAAGCTATGTTTAATAAATAGCTGTTAATTTGATAAGTGAGCTCTTTGAACAAACAAGGGTAAAGAACTACACGTTTCAGGAAAAAAAATTGTACCAAGATTTTTCTAGCATTTTTGTAAATAAGACAAAAGTGAAAATAAATATATGTGGAAATCTCCAAGTTTATGTGTCACTTTTCTGACATGCAAAGACTAAATAAGAATATCACACTGTCATATGAACTTAATGAAAATTGGCCAATACATTTCAAAATGGATATGCAAAGGAACAAATTTAGAGCAAAACTGATATATAAATGATACATAAAACAGTAAACAAGGGGCCTGAAAGATCAATCAACATATTGTATTCCCTACAACAATAGTCTAATTTATCACAGGGGCCAAGAAAGGCAATAAAATATTTTTGTGTTTTTGGAATTCATTCATTTAACAAATATTTTTCAGATGCCCAAGTGTGTCAAGTACTGACATTACAGTATGATTAAAAACAAACAAACCACATCCTTGCTTTCAGGAGGCTTACAGAGGGAAGTAACCATAATTTCACAAATAACTAATAAATTGTATGTACATAAAGTGAGAATAAGTGTATAAAGAGAAAATGACTAATTTATATGGAAAGGGAAGGGATTTCTCAGGAATTAAGTCTTAAGTTGCCACGTGGAGAAGAAGTGGGAGTTAGCCAGATGGAAAGAATGAGATCAGTAATTATTAAAGCAAAAAGAATACAATGTACTCTGAGAAAGAAAAAAATATTACTTGTTTAAGGAAGGGAAAGAAATCTAGGGAGGCTGAGTACCATAAGATGAGGCTAGAATGGTAGCCAGATCATATAAGCATTCTCAGATTAACACTTCTTATAGATGTTGTCACAGATTTTCAATTTTAGCCCAACTATAATGAAAAGCCCTTACTGCCACTGAAGCAAAGGCACTCAAAATAGAAAATATTACTGATCTCATGGAATATCTGTCTTTATCTAACTTGATAAAGTTCTAATAGATGTCTCAGACATTAGACTTGGAAAACTGTCTAATATACCAACCAAGCAGATATTTATCAATGTCTTTTATCTGCTTGATTAGTGTATTAGATGATATTGATAAAGCAGAGAAAAAAATTAAAAGGACCACAGCATAGACATTACAATGTAACTGATAAAATCAGTATTACTTTTCAATATAATTTTTGGATACACTTTAAAATACTAATTCTAGCATATAAAATAGACTCTTAGCAAGTTTGTACTTATTAAAGCAATACATACTTACAAATTTTTATTTAAGGAATATGGAACAAGTTAAAATTAATTAACTATTCTTGGTGTTCAAGGCACTACAAAACTATTATTCTATCCTAACATAAAGAAACATCTAAGAAATTTAGTAACTGTTCTTTCGTAATGAGTTAGGAATTAAGACACAGTGTGATGATCAAGCTATAAGATGCAGGAGTTGAAAAACTCCTACATTATTTGTTGAAAGAAGAGAACCTGGAGACAAGAGAAGATGGGGAAATAAAAAAGAAGAAGAAAAGAAAAAAGCACCATTGAAAATGCCACAAAAATTTGATGTTCATAGTATTATCAAACAACTGTGGAAAATATCTCCAAAAGTAAAGTTACATGAAAAGTACCTGCAAAACCTGACAAGTCAGTAAAAAGTGATGAACCACTTGAGCTTTCAGTAACTGCTTGATATTAAACATCTGCTGGTGGTGATCTGCTCTGATGAGGACTTCCAGAGCTGCTAGCAAAGTTTCCCAAACACCTTGCTGAGGAGATAAACACACACCAACAAGCACATAGTTACTGAAACATATGCAGGCATGCTTTTTCGAAGACACATAACATAACAATTTAACATTGTGTATATATTCAGCATCAAAGATTATATTAGTCTGCAAAAAGCCAATGTTAAAATTTATTTCCCATTATTTTTTGTTGCCAATAGGTTATTTCTAAACAGCTAGGTTGAATGCAATATTGTATTAGGTGCTTTCCTACATTACCCTTTTTGTGGCATTAAATGATATATATGTATCTTCAAAAGATGAATTATCAAGAGGGATTATTCAAATTAGAGAAGCATACACCTTACCAACATTATTATTAAATAATTTATGCTCAAAGGCTGTTGTTAAAAGTGTATAAATTTCAATACCAATCTGCATATGCAGCATTTACCCAAATAATTTTAGAACAAATCATACCAAATGAAAAAGTCATGGACAATGTGAAAATTCTGCATTTTTAGATTAATTCACTTTTAAGTCCAAATAACAGAATTCTCTGCATGATTATAAACTATGTACTTCAAAGAGTAGTTGGCATCCTTTGACAGTGCCTTAAAATGCTTTTCCCATATTGAATCAATTTTAACTTGTCCACAATACTAGAAAAAAAGAGATCCTATATTGATAACTAATATTGAAAGATAACCTTCCCTTCATCTTAATTGTCCTTTCAATAAAGCTTTCAACAAAAAGCAAAATTAACTGGCTTGTGTTGCAGATTCTACTATTTCTCCTGCCATTATCTGGCAATAATAAACCAAGAAATTGATAGACTTAATCATACTCTTCTACTCAGGGCCTCTCTATAAGAGAGAGGCAAGATGTTCTAAAAGAAAAAACATGAAAACCGGAAGACAAGGTAGCTGAAGTATGAAAACGTGATTCCAATCTGAAAAGTAATACCAAGATAAAATAGTGCCAATAAAAACAAACGAATAGCAACAACAAAAAAAAGAAAAACTGGACTTAGTTTAAAAATAATTAGGTAAGAAAACCTCATTTCAAATCCACAGGAGTAATGTGTGTTTTACCACTTTCAAATTCAATTTAAAAATGTTTCTTTTAAAATCAAACAACCCCAAATTTGCCTGCTCTTTTGAAGTACTAAATAAACGTTGTTCAACTTTGTCCAAGTTAGATTTTTCCAATCTGCAACTGAGCACACTTTTTTTTTTTTTTTGAGATGGAGTCTTGCTCTGTAGTCCAGGCTGGAGAGCAGTGGCGTGATTTCGGCTCACTGCAACCTCCGCCTCGCACGTCCCAGTTCAAGCAATTCTCCTACCTAAGCCTCCCAAGTAGCTGGGATTACAGGCACCAGCCACCATGCCCAGCTAATTTTTGTATTTTTTTTAGTAGAGATGGGGTTTCACCATCTTGGCCAATTTGGTGTTGAACTCCTGACCTCGTGATCTGCCTGCCTTGAACTCTCAACATGCTGGGATTATCAGGCATAAGCCACCGTGACTGGCAGAACACATTCTTTATTATACATTTATACTGTTTTTGATCCAATTTGTTTACATATGTGATCCCTGTAATTATTTGCTTTTTGTCCCTGAAATATTATACATATTTTAATCTATTTTCTTTTTTTTAGATCTGAAAGTATATATTTATTGAGAATGAGAAAATGAATCACAACAAATTACAAAGTTTCAAAAAACTGAAAAGTACAAGGAATACCACAAAATCCAGAAACACGGCAATAGTTGGCTGTTGGACATGCCTTTCAAAATACTTTTCTCTGTTTTGTGGCTGCATACTCTTTAACTGCCTCTTCATGTGACAACAATTTTGTAACACAATTTTCTACAGGAAGAACAGAAAACTCTCTAGCATACTTATTTTTATTAAGAATTGATTAGAAGCATTTCTTTTTGGCCAGGTATGGGGGCTTAGACCTGTAATCCCAGCACTTTGGGAGGCCAAGGCAGGAGGATCGCTGAGAGTAAAAATTTAACTTGTATAATCTTCCATTATGTAACATCAATCCATTAGTTTCTAATGGATTTTGGAAGAATGATTAGATAAATATTTAAAATACGCTGGCTGGAGGTGGTGGCTCATGCCTATAATCCCAGCACTTTGGGAAGCCAAGGCAGGCAGATCACTTCAGCTCAGGAATTCAAGACCAGCCTGAGCAACATGGTGAAACCCCGTCTATATCAATAATACAAAAATTTAGCTAGGCACAGTAGTGCACATCTGTGGTTCCAGCTACTTAGGAGGCTGAGGCTAGGAGTATTGTGTGAGCCTGGGGGTGGAGGCTGCAGTGAGCTGAGATAATGCCACTGCACTCCAGCCTGGGTGAAAGAGTAAAACTCCATCTCAAAAACAAAACAAAACAAGTATATGCATCTATTCACAGTAGCTAAAATGTGGAAACAATCCAAGTGTCTCTAAACTGATGAATGGATAAGCAAAATGTAAATATATAGAATGGTATATTATTCATTCTTAAAAAGGAAATTTGGACATATGCTACAACATAGATGAACCTTGAAGACATCATGCTAAGTGAAATAAGCTAATAACAAAAGACAAATACTATATGATCCTACTTATATAAGATCCTTAGAGTACTCAAAAGTAGAATGGTGGTTGCCGGGGGCTGGAGGAAGAGGGGGAACAAAGAGTTTTGTTTAAAGGGTAGAGTTTTGGTTTTACAGAACAAAAAAGATTTACAGAAATGGATGATGGTGGTGATGGCTGCACAACACTATAAATGCACTTAATGCCACTGAACCAAAACTTAAAAATGCTTAAGATGGTAAATTTCATGTTATATGTATTTTACCACAATAAAAATGGGAAAAAAGTACATATTACATGCCTCTGCTTTATTCCATATCTTCCAGTCAAGCAATAGTTCCTCTAACAGCTTAACATCTTGGATTATAGCATTAGACTCCACATGTAACTTAAACTCTCCATTCTCATTCATATAAATAACATCTTCACCACAGCATCCTTCAAGAAGGGTCTATGGAAAATCAGCATTAATATAAGATGCATTAGTAACTGGTTAATCAAAAAGTTCAACAGAAACATGAAGCTTTCAATTTTAGCAATCATTAAATTCAAAGGAAAGCTAGTTAAGTAATTTAACACTTCACAAAGTATCTTTAACTTGTTTTGTAAAACAATTCAGACAAATAGAAAATCCCAAACTTACAAATAGTTTGAGTACTCAGGTTCAAACATGGAGTAAAACAAACAGCATTCAATCTGTATGTTTTAAGTTGAATTAATCTGCTATTAGGCTTTAAAACCTTTCAAAAAAGTAGTAAGGATTCATGTCACAAATGTATGGATCTTGCAGTTTAAAGAGGTAGGGGTTGGGGCGAGGGTAGAGCAATCACCTTTTGCCTTAGTACCAGAAGTCTCAGAGAGAAATATTTTCACAGTGTTACCAAATGCTTTCATCTAGAAATGTATTTAAATATATGATGATCGTGGGATCATAATAAAAATGAACACAAATTCCATGACTTTAAAAACTAACTCTGTAGCAGCAGTGCCTAATGGAATGGTATGCCTCTAGGGGCCTAGAGAACTCGATTCTCTGCCATCAGAGTGGGAGCTAAAGCAAAGATCTCATCAATCTACAGAACGACGGGACAGCGTGGGAGACATCTATGATCCACCAAGATCTAAAATTCAATGAGTTTTTTTTTTACTTAAAAAAAAACTTCAGAAAAAAATGTAATTATTTAAATGATGAAAAGAACTAGAAGAGTACTCTAGTTTGATTAATACACTAATACGCTTCCTCCATTTTCTTCGAATAACTGAAACACAAAACTATTATTGACGAGATGAGCATCACCGCATATGAAACTTTAAGAATAAATTTTATGAAGTCATACCTTCAAAATGTAAAAGCCAACAATGCATTTTTGTTTGATCAACACCTGATGAATCATAGAAAGCCCATTACAATTTTCTAATTCATGTACTCTTTGTTGGTTGTATTTAATTAATGATAGTATAATTCGCAGTGCTAATGCTTGAGTTTCTTCACAGCTACTGAGTTCAACAACCTAAAAAAACAAGGGTGGATAATAGTTTTCTCCTAATTTGCTGAGAGAAAAAATTTAACATGTATGATCTTCCATTATATAACATCAATCCATTAGTTTCTACGAAGTATTTTTTTTAATGCTCATACTGTACCTATTTAAGGATTCTGAATATGCAAAACTGAGAGTAAGGCATAAATTCCATGTTCTATAGTCTCTTATATACACTGCAGTATATAATAATATGAACAACCCTTAGAGGTCATTAGCATTTTATAACTGGTGATCTGAAGTGTCGGCAAAATGCTTTAAGTTTTTGATAAATCAGTAGATAAACAGGCTCTACATTACGTGTTAAGGGAGATAAAAAGAACTAAAAGACATGATACTTGTTTCCAATGAGGTCTACTGCCCTATCAAAGAGATAAGATGTATCTATAAAAGCACATGTTCAATAAACTAGGTATTGATGGAACTGTATCTCAAAATAATAAAAGCTATTTATGATAACCCCACAGCCGATATCATACTGAACAGGCAAGAACTGGAAGCATTCCCTTTGAAATCTGGCATTAGACAAGGATGCCCTCTCTCACCACTCCTATTCAACATAGTATTGGAAGTTCTAGCCAGAGCAATCAGGCAAAAAATGAAATAAAGAGTATTCAATTAGGAAAAGAGGAAGTCAAATCATCTCTATTTGTAGACGACATGATTGTATAGTTAGAAGACCCGATTGTCTCAGCCCAAAATCTTCTTAAGCACATAAGCAACTTCAGCAAAGTCTCAGGATACAAAATCAAATTCTGTGTGCAGAAATCACAAGCATTCCTAAACACCAATAACAGAAAGAGAGCCAAACCAAGAGCAAACTCACATTCACAACTTGCTACAAAAGTGAATAAAATACCTAGGAATACAACTAACAAAGGATGTGAAGGACCTCTTCAAGGAGAACTACAAACCACTGTTAAGGAAATTAAGAGAGGACACAAACAGATGGAAAAATATTCTATGCTCCTGGTTAGGAAGAATCAATATTGTGAAAATGGCCATACTGCCCAAAGTAATTTATAGATTCAATACTATCCCCATCAAGCTACCATTGACCTTTTCACAGAACTGGAAAAAAAAAACACTTTAAACTTCATATAGAACCAAAAGAGAGCCCGCATAGCCAAGTCAATTCTAAGCAAAAAGAACAAAGCTGGAGGCATCATACTACCTGACTTCAAACTATACTAGAAGGCTGCAGTAATCAAAACAGCATGGTACTGATAACAAAACAGAGATATAGACCAATGGAACAGAACAGAGACCTCAGAAGTCATACCACACATCTACAACCATATGATCTTTGACAAACCTGACAAAAACAAGAAATGAGGAAAGGAGTCCCTGTTTAATAAATGGTGTTGGGAAAACTGGCCAGCCATATGCAGAAAGCTGAAACTGGACCCCTTCCTGACACCTTACACTAAAATTAACTCCAGATGGATTAAAGATTTAAACATAAGACCTAACACCATAAAAACCCTAGAAGAAAACCTAGGCAAAACCATTCAGGACACAGGCATAGGCAAAGACTTCATGACTAAAATACCAAAAGCAATGGCAACAAAAGCCAAAATAGACAAATGGAATCTAATTAAACTTCAGGGTTTCTGCATAGCAAAAGAAACAATCATCAGCGTGAACCAGCAACCAACAGAATGGGAAAAATTTTTTCAATCTACCCATCTGACAAAGGGCTAATATCCAGAATCTACAGAGAATTAAAGCAGATTTATAAGAATAAAACAAACCCATTCATACTGGCAAAAATGTATGAACAGACATTTTTTCAAAAGAAGACATTTATGAGGCCAAAAAACATGAAAAAAATGTTCATCATCACTGGTCATTAGAGAAATGCAAATCAAAACCACATTGAGATACCATTTCATGCCAGTTAAAATGGCGATCATTAAAAAATCTGGAGACAACAGATGCTGGAGAGGAACTGGAAAAATAGGAACACTTTTATGCTGTTGGTGGGAGTGTAAATTAGTTCAACCATTATGGAAGACAGTGTGGCAATTCCTCAAGGATCTAGAAATAGAAATTCCATTTGACCCACCAATCCCATTACTGGGTATATACCCAAAGGATTATAAACAGTTATAAAGACATATGCATACATATGTTCACTGCAGCACTGTTTACAAGTAGCAAAGACCTGGAAAAAACCCAAATGCCCATCAATGATAGACTGGGCAAAGAAAATGTGGCACATATACACCATGGAATACCATGCAGCCATAAAAACGGACAAGTTCATGACCTTCATAAGGACACAGATGAATCTGGGAGCCATCATTCTCAGCAAACTGACATAAGAACAGAAAACCAAACACCACATGTTCTCACTCATAGGAGGGTGTTGAACAACGAGAACACATGGGCACAGGGAGAGGAACGTCACATACTAGGGTCTGATGGAGGTTGGGGGGCTAGGGGAGGGACAGCAGAGGGTGGGGAGTTTGGGGAGGGATAACATTGGGAGAAATGCCTGATGTAAGTAACGGGGGGATGGAGACAAGCAAACCACCACAGCAGGTGTGTACCTATGCAACAATCCTGCAATAGCACATGTTGTGCCTTGTACTTCAATTTACTTCAGCCAAGGCTTTCTGACAACTACGATATATATCAGAAACACACACTTATTATCACGCAAAAGGGCAAAGAAGTAGGAGACAATAGGTATGCCAGGAGAGCACAGAAACCATTCTGACCCCTCTCTGCTTGGTTTGGGAGAAGGCTACATAGAGAGAAGATGGCCTAGGAAGAAAGCTAAATCCTGGAAAGCAGGAATAAAGGGGTGGCTGGGGGCAGGGCACAGCCAGGGGAAGGGTAAAGGCCTAAACTGGAAGTTCATAGTACATCTAGGAAGCTGCAGCTTGCCTTTTGGGTAGAGACCAGGCTCACAAGGCAGGCTATGCATGTAAGGATTTTAAAGACACTGAATTTTATTTTTGTATGGGAGGAGGAAGGATACTGAACAAAGTTTCTAAGTTTTTGACTTAGAAGTATACTTTAAAAGTCTTATTGGCAAGATACTAAACATAAGAAGATAAAAATATAACAATTTCCTCTAAGATCCAATCTCTATGTAACAATAACAAAATTATATTCAATACCGTGATGAAAGAGAAGAAAACAAGGATATACATTTTCAAACCATACAATGGCAGAAAATATCACAAAACATTGGTGAGGAATTAAAGGGCTTTTAATTTTTAAAACACTAGGAGATAATCTATTCAACTAGACACTAGATGCAAAAAAATATGAAAAAGGAAGAGGTGGAGAAGAAAAGACAGATTAGAGTATGGAGGATCAAATGCTAACAAGATATTTATAAGAACTCTAACAACCACAAATGCTGATATGCTTCTTATTGCAAAATTAATCAAAGACACTTCCATTAAAGAAAGCTAGATACGGAGATAATGAAAACTTGGTAATGTTGCAGAAGTTATACATAGGAATAAAATGAAGATGGCATTCCGAGGATGAAGAAAGATCAAAGCTGCTTTAATTAAACAGGAATGTGGACCCAGAGGAAGTAGAAATGATTTTATCAAAGTGAGACTATTCATACTCCCTAATATAGGGTTCAGCAATCCCTGAAATAGTCTATAATTACTGACTGCCTACTCTGCATCAGGACAGATAACTAAATGATTTATTCTAAAATGGTACTCACAGCCTCAGTCAAACTCTTTATATTTCTCCTTTTTGAAACAACTCCAAATCCAAACAAATTAAAGTTTTTTTTTTTAACTTGTTTGTTGACCCTTAGTATTTTCCTATGCATTGGAAACATTTAAGGAATAAAAGCTTAATAAATTTTATTTTGAGATGGAGTCTCAGCTCTTGTTGCCCAGGCTGGAGTGCAGTGGTGTGATATTGGCTTGCTGCAACCTCCGCCTCCTGGATTCAAGCAATTCTCCTGCCTCAGCTTCCCAAGCAGCTGGGTCTACAGGTCCATGCCACCACCTGGCTAATGTTTTATATTTTTAGTAGAGGTGGGGTTTCACCATGTTAGCCAGGATGGTCTTAATCTCCTGACCTTACGATCTGCCCGCCTCAGCCTCCCAAAGTGCTGGGACTACAGGTGTGAGCCATCATGCCTGGCCCATAAAAATGTTTAAAGTATATTTATTTCATATTACTACTATGGCATACACTTTTCTTCCCAAAGGCAATTTAAGATCTTGTATATTTAACATTTAATTGTTCTAATTACATTTTTGGTTATCAGAAAACTTCTAAAATATTCATAAATTAGAAGAAACCTTAACCATCTATGGCAGAAAGTTTAATAACATCTTTAATATATAATTTTTTATCTTAAAAGTTTAATATAGTTGACTATAGCTTTTTTGTATGGTCCAAAAGAAATCCTTTAATTTATCAATAATAAATAGGTCATTTCTCTTTAGACAAAACTGTAATCCGTGATTCTTACCCTAGCAAAGAGAAAAACAAATATACCAGTTCCACCAATTTCATGCAGAATGCCTTGAATAGTTTTATATTCAGTAGGCTGGAGATTCTTTAGATGATGAGGTTCTAATAAGATGCTCTGAACTTCTTTTGAGCTGAAGGGTCTTTGAGAGAGTTGAGTTTTCATTTGACCTTTAAGTCTGATCACTGGCTCATAGATAGTGTACTGAGCAGGACAGTAAGTTGTATAAACAACTGAAAGACTTTCCTGAAAACACAAATATTTTCATTCAGTAATGACACCAAGTTTGAATGTAAACTATCAACTAGCAAGTAAGTATTTCAAAGTGTAAACACATCCAACTGATCCTTTTCTTTGTTTAAAAAACAACAGCTACTACACTAAACAAAGAAACATTAGAAGCAAGGCTGTTTCCTACAAAGCAAATTAATCAGTGATTTATTTAGCAGTGATCAATTGTATAAATGACATCAAGGTTGAGGATTGAACTTCGTTCAGTTTAGAATAAATATTAAATAACACTATTACTGCTTAATATTAAATTGTATAATTACATACCAGGCACTGATCTAAGCACTTAAAAATACTGGGAACTCTGGGTCAGGTCAATTTATTTGAAATTTTTGCTCTGCATTTGCTCATGGGCTGACTACTCATTTAAAATCAAATTGAAACTAGATCTTTCTTACTACTAGAATACAATTCTAGATTGTCAACTGTCAGCACACCTAACTGAAATAAAATAGAATTGCAAATATTTCTCCAAGGCAAACGATAGTTTCCATTGGTGTGTGGCTCCCTGTCAAGATTCTCTAAACTATTCTTAAAATTAAGGTTAATTTTAAATGCAGAATGTCCTTTTTTTTTAGAGATAGGGTCTCGCTCTGGCACCCAGGCTGGAGTGCAGTGGCGTGACCATAGCTCACTGTAGCCTTGAACTCCTAGGCTCAAGGGATCCTCCCACCTCAGCCTCCCAAGCAGCTAGGACTACAGGCAGGTGTCACTACACCCAATTATTATTATTATTATTATTTTTGTAGAGACCTGGTCTTGTTATGTTGCCCAGGCTAGTCTCAAACCCCTGGCTTCAAGTGATCCTCCTGCCTGTGCCTCCCAGAATGCTGGGATTATAGGCATGAACCTTGGTGTCCAGCCCATAATGTACTTTAAGGTGGTATAGTGGTAGCAGCTGCCAAGCCCAGGCTCAGAGAAATCATAGATTCAGCGTCTTCTCTCAGAACTGGATGGGGGCCTTGTGCTTTGATGATGATGATGATGATGATGATGATGATGATGATGACGACGACGATGACGATGATGACTTTTTTTTCTGAGACAGAGTCTCGCTCTGTCACCCAGGCTGGAGTGTAGTGATGCAATTTCAGCTCACTGCAACCTCAGCCTCCCAGGTTCAAGCAATTCTCCTGCTTCAGCCTCCTGGGTAGCTGGGATTACAGGTGTGCACCACCACGCCTGGCTAATTTTTATATTTTTAGTAGAGATGGAGTTTCACTATGTTGGCCAGGCTGGTCTCGAACTGGCTAGTCTTGAACTTCTGACCTCCTTGGCCTCCCAAAGTGCTGGAGTTATAAGTATGAGCCACCATGCCTGGCCTGTGCTTTATTTATGACCCAGAACAATCAGACATACCACCCAGCATATTTGTGCACCAGCTAAACCAATTATACTGTCTGTTGTGTATGATTATGCTAGAAAAGCAAAATTTCAAACCTGCAATAGTTTCAATCAGAAATCTGACACCACACCCTGACATGACGGTACCACTTATTATTATTACTATTATTGTTGTTGGAGATGGAGTTTCACTCTCGTCACCCAGAATGGAGTGCAATGGTGTGTTCTTGGCGCACTGCAACCTCCGTCTCCCAGGTTCAAGCAATTCTCCTGCTTCAGCCTCCCAAGTAGCTGGGATTACAGGCACCAGCCACCATATCCGGCTAATTTTTGTATTTTTAGTAGAGACAGGGTTACACCATGTTGGCCAGGCTGGTCTCGAACTCCTGACCTCAGGTGATCTACCTGCCTCAGTCTTCCACAGTGCTGGGATTACAAGTATGAGCCACTGTGCCCAGCTGAGGGTACCACTCCTGCCTGACCATTCTTTCATGAACTTATAACTCCCAAATTACTAAACCGGGCTTAAAGAATTTACTCTCTAAAAATAACTTTTGCATAAAACCCTCAGAATTTTCATTCATGATAATTTGTTGAGTTTTGTAATTTACATGACCTATATACTATTCAGGAAAAATAAAAGGATTAGGGAAATTTTTCTATGAAAACAAATGGATTAACCAAAAATTAGAGAGTTAAAGTTATTACTTGGACAAACATTTGTGTGAGCTCTTCAGCTTCCCTAAAGCACAGGTTCTCAAAATGTTATTATCCCCCACCAGCCTCAGCTTCACCTAGGAATTTATTAAAAATGTAAATTCAGTAGGTCACACTTCTGACCTACTGAATCAGAAGCTCTGGCCCAGCAATCTCCTATTTTTATAAGCCCTCTGGATAATTCTAGTGCACACTCAGGTTTGAAGAACCGTTGCCCTAAAGAGTGTTTTCTTAATGGTGTGACATTTAGGATGGGATCATTCTTTGTTGTAAATAGTGTTCATGTACTGTAGAACATTTAGCATCCCTGGCCCCTACTACCCAATAATTATTGACAACCAAATCTCCCTCCCCCCAACTCAACAACAATAACAACAACACATTTCAAAACAGTGTCTCTTTCTTCTCATAAGAAGCAAGAGAAGGAGGAACCCAGTTTCATGGCCAGAGTTTAGCAGATTTTCTAAGACTATGAAGGCTCAGTTTTCTAGTTGCTATAATGAAAAATCCTCTCCACTAGCTCCTAAACTGTATACTGGTAGAACAAAATATTAGAAAACATATTAAAAAAGCAATAGAGAGTCTCATAGAAGCAAATTAGCAATACTTTGAAGGCAAAATTCCCATTTGTACTGATATCAAAGACTAAGTTTTTTAGGCTGGACATGGTGGCTCATGCCTATAATCTCAGCATTTGGAAGGCTGAGATGGGAGGATCTTTTGAGGTTAGGAGTTTGAGACCAAAAGATCTGGACAACATAGTGAGATTCCATCTCTACAAAAATTTAAAATTAGCCAGGTGTGGTGGTGCATGCCTATAGACCCGGCCACTTGGGAGGCTAGGGTGGGAGGATCACTTGAGCCTAGGAGTTCAAGGCTGCAGTGAGCTATGACCACACCAATGTATCCAAGCCTGGGTGACAGAGTGAAACCCTGTCTCTTAAAAAAAAATAAAATAAAAATGAATAAGTTTTCTAAAACCTGAATATATGTAACTAAAACTAACATTATAAATGGATATTATTTATTTATAAGTATGGAAAGAAAATATAATGAGCAACATTTTTTAAGAGTATATCAAACTAACAAGTGTTTTCACTGTATCATAAACATTTTTCCTGAATAATTAGTAAGAATAAACTGATAAACTTTTTATAGAAATATAATTTCAAAGAAAATATATAAATATAAAACCTGAAACAAGTTTTGAAGGGAAGTCAAAGTGTTTTAATTTTTTTCAGAAAAAAAACATAATTCTAAGAAAAGAAAATGTAAGGAACCACATGAAAAACTTTACAAATGTAATTTATAACTATATTATTCAATAAATATACCTAAATACAGTTACTGTAAAATTAAAACTTAGAAAGTTAAAACTTACAATTAAGAGACCAATATCCACATCTTTCTTGGTCATAAAAAGTTCTCTGATTTGTTCACATCGCAAAATTTCTTTATTAATATATTTGGAGTAGTCATTCACTGGCTTGCCATACTTACATGGCATTATAGAAGTATGGTTGGGTCCACAAGCATACAAATAAAAGGCCTCTTGTGAACCAACCTTAGCTCCTGAATAACAGAAAAATAAAGTTAGTTATTTAAAACACTCTAATCAGAATTTTTCATAAAAAGCAAGAAACCAGGAGTCATTTTTTTAGCCAGATTCTTTCAGTTGTTCACTATATTTTATAAAATTGATAAAGCCTCAATTTCCAAATTTGTGTAATGAGAAAATAACCTATGCCAACTATGATGGAAGATGGATTAATATGTATAAAGTTAAGTGTGAAGCTCTTAATTAAGTCATAAAATCTCCATTTGCTCCTGAGCCAGAAAACAGGTTTTCTGTTTTATTTACTTTTTTTTTTTTTTTTAAATAATGGAAACTATATGTTGGTAAATTCCATTTCTAACTAAAATTTGAATCAACATCTTTATTCCTTCCTGTTTAGTCAATAAACACTGTTTGAATGCTATTATGTGTCGGGTTTAAGGACATGCTTTTAAAAATTATATATTTCATTTTTCCCTAAAATTTGATATTTGTATAAGATATAATAAAACTATAAATAAAAGAGATAATGGAGATAAGTTTACTAGTCATGATACTACATTATCCAGTGTTAAAAAAAAAACACAAAAAAACTGCTCATTTAATATAGGCTTTTTTTTTTGAGGGAGGAAATACATTTTTATATTAAATTATCAATTGTAATACACAACTAGATTACAAAAATATTAAAATATTTTAAAAGTATATCTTAGAATCTTAGAAATGTAGTACTTATTAAACACAAGTAAAGAAACAGAGATGAATATTTTAGCCAGGTTACTCAGTTGAATACTTGTTAACTGAGAAAAAAAATTGGAACTATTTCAAAGGAAAAAAAATCTCACTCTGTCGCCCAGGCTGAAGTGCAGTGGTACAATCACAGCTCACTCACCATTGAAGAGAAGCAAATTTCCCAGGTCCCATTTTCCAGCCAACTGCAAAAACTCTTCTTGGGATGATAAACAATGGCCAATCATGCAAAATGTTTTATTGCTATCAGATGACAAACTTGTTTTTCTTGGAAGCATAAAATCCAAAATAACATCAGGCTTCCTATATTAAAAACAAAGTTAAAGCAATGACTTTAGGAAGTACTAGTACTAAGTATTTTTAAAGTATGAATATTTAAAATTGGGAAATTCTTGAACAATTTTCTTGGTTCCTTATTGACCGGCAGTAGGGGAAAGAGAGGAGGGCTAATTCTGTTTGTCTCTTGGTCAAAGGTTCTGCAGAAAGACGGGAGCTGAATGGAGATACCTAATGATCCCACAACAGGCCATGGGAAATGTGACGAGACATTTGCTGCAAGTTTTCTTTGCCATTAGACTTCTGCATATGCACCTTCCTGGTTTACAGATACAAACCAACCACCTCCTCTTAATTTTGCCAAGAAGTCTCCCATGTTGACAAACAATTCCAAAAATTGGAATCCATGACATTCAAAAATGTTACAGTCATCTATGAGGCCTTTGGCAACTAATCACAAAAAGAATATAACTTCTTCAAAATTTCCTCTGTCTGCCTACTAAAATACCATTGCTTTTTGCATTTTCTGTTTTCTTAATGCTAAGTGATTACGCAGCTTTTGATTAGTCTCTTTTGCTTCATGGATACAGGTGACAGGAATGCATACAAAGACAGCATGCTGGCAAGGCCAGGCTTTCTCACTGAAAGACACACAAAACAGGGAGAACTTCATCAACTAGTGAAACCACAGAGCTCTACCCCTAGTTTAGAAATGTTTTAAACTCCATTTTAAGATAATTAGGGTAATCTACAAAGGCAAAATCTCAATAAAATGTGTAAGATGAAGACAGGATAAGCTAACATGGGTAGCTCTTAATGAGAAACTCGACTTTGTAAATACTTATTTTAAAAGTTTTATCTAAGCCTCTCTGTTTCACACAGAACATATAAGTCTATTTTAATGTTTTTTTCTTTTTTAAATAAAGAAAAGATGTGCGATACCTTCAATGAAATACTTCTCCTTGACCAAATAAATGGCTGTGACTAAAACTCTATCGCCACCTAGTGGCATTATGACTTTATATAAATAGTTTTTAAATTTTCATTTTAAAAAACAAAGTTTTTCAATGAGAACATATGGACACAGGGAGGGGAACATAATAAACCGGGGCCTGTCGCGGGGTGAGGGGCAAAGGGAGGGAGAACATTAGGACAAATACCTAACGCATGTGGGCTTAAAACCTAAATGACGGGCCGATAGGTGCGGCAAACCACTACGGTACACGTATACCTATGCAACAAACCTGCACGTTCTGCACATGTATCCCAGAACTAAAGTAAAATAAAAATATAAAAATAAAAATAAAATAGTGTTTTAAGGGTGAAAGAAAACCTATTGCAGAATGAATACAAAATGAATTAAACAAATACTAAGTGTCTACTGTGTGCCATATATTTCTGCCATATTTGTAAGCTGTTAATAACAACAAATAGAAAGTATTAAGTCATTTTCAGTATCATTATCTTATTTTAAAAGGCCCTCTTCAAATGTATTCTTTTGGAAATTATTCTTTTTTTTTTAAATTGAGACAGGGTCTCACTGTGTTGCCCAGGCTGGAGTACACAGGTGCAAACATGGCTCACTGTAACCTTGACTTACTGGGCTCAGGTGATCCTCCTGCCTCAGCCTCCCAAGTAGCTGAGACTACAGTTATGTACCACCACACCTAGCTAATTTTTTTTTTTTTTTTTTTTTTTTTTTTTTTTTTTTTAGTAGAAACAGGGTTTTGGCCGGGCGCGGTGGCTCAAGCCTGTAATCCCAGCACTTTGGGAGGCCGAGGTGGGTGGATCACGAGGTCGAGAGATCGAGACCATCCCGGTCAACATAGTGAAACCCCGTCTCTACTAAAAATACAAAAAATTAGCTGGGCATGGTGGCACGTGCCTGTAATCCCAGCTACTCGGGAGGCTGAGGCAGGAGAATTGCCTGAACCCAGGAGGCGGAGGTTGTGGTGAGCCGAGATCGCGCCATTGCACTCCAGCCTGGGTAACAAGAGCAAAACTCTGTCTCAAAAAAAAAAAAAAAAAAAAAAGAAACAGGGTTTTGCCATGTTGCCCAGGCTGGTATTGAATTCCCAGGCTCAAGCAATCCTCCTGCATTGGCCTCTCAAAGTGCTGGGATTACAGGCATGAAGCATTGTGCCTGGCCTAGAAATTATTCTATAGCTCATAAGGTGATGAAGATATTATAGCACAAAGTTTAAATCAACAGAATAAAATGTTTGTCCTTGGTCACTTGCTCTGTTAACCAATGAAATTAACTTGTGCCAAATGGCAAACAATTCTCTCAAAGGAAAGTAGACATAAGTGGTTGGGTAAAACAATAGAGTGATGTGTGAATCAAGTGACCATGTTTACTAATTTACTAATTTCAGACTGTCTACAATAAAAGTCTAATCTATCATTCTGAACATATCTAATAATTAGTTTATGGTTCCTGTATCTGTCAGTTGACATGATTCAGAAAAAGGCTGAAGGGGCGGTAAAGCACAGGGGTTTTAAGCATGGGCCCTCTCTAAGGTCAGAGTCTAGGTTAAACTTTCAGCTGTACCCTTCACTTGTGGCATGAGTTTGGGCAAGTCACTCCAGATTTCAGTTGCCTCTAACGTAAAATTGGGATAATAATATACCTACTTCATAGTATTGCTGGGAGGATTAAATTAGGTAATCTGTATCAAGTGCCTAATACAGTGCCTGGCACACACTGAAAGCTCAAGAAATTAAGAGTGTCTAGGAGGAGAAAGGGCCTCTTTACTTACATCTCCAGGCCCAGCTCCCTCTGTTTTAATTATAGGTTCTGGAAACAAATTTGCTGATTGGCTTCAGCTGCCATTCAGGCTTAGGCAGGTATGAAAACAGAGAGATGTTCTTGATAGAGAACATCATAGACAGTATTCTATTTGGAATAGAGAAATTAGGCTTCAATTACGTATTTTCACTTTTTTTACAAAAAATGAATACAACAAAGCTGAACTCTTGATTTTACTTCCAAAGTTTGTTCTTGCCTGTGGCAGACACCATGGACTGTAAAGCAATCCATAAGCCCTGCTCCCTGCCTCACTCTATTATTGAGGCTGGACAGCTATAAGCAATCAATCGCTGCAGTCTCTTGCAGCAATTCCCCATCCTCCACTCGAATCTTCCTCCTCCCACCTTCAAAGGGCAAACTCCATCTCCTCCTTCAGGTCTCGGCTTTAATACCCTGTTCTTAGATAGGCCTTCCCTGATCTACCCATCAAAAGTGTGAAACTTGGCATTTCTGTCTCAAGGTTTTAAAACATGGGCTTCACAGTTTTTGTCATCTTTTGTAAATATTCATCTAATTATGTTTGCTTGTTGTCTGATTACTCATCAGATTGCGAATTCCAAGAAGGCAGGGAATGTGTCTATCTTCTTTACCACTGTCCCCCAGGTCTAATTAATATGTCAAGTGCTCAAAACACTTGAGCACATCATCACATCAATAAATGTGATGAATGAACAAATGAATGAATAAAAATAGGTTGATCTGTGTTAAGGGTATATGCTATTTCCATAGTCTAATCTACTTTGAGGGATTTTTGAGAGAATTAGATGTACATAAAGCACCTAGCAAAAGGTCTGCAACATAGTAAGTATGCAATATATTATGTTCCCTTTCATTAAATCTAGACTTCTCAGCTTGGCACTGAAAGCCTGTTAAGTAGTTTCACCATGTCTATTCATTTTTATTTCTCATTATCCAACTTAAACTCATTCAACCACCTTAACCCTCTCCCACACTACATTACAGTTTCGAATTCTCTATCTTCTTTCATGCTACTTCATTCAATACAATACTTCCCAATGCTTACAAATCAAAGATACCTTATAGTTCATTCAGGCTAAAATTTTACATTAATATATTCCACAAGACGTTTCTTGTTAACTGGGCCCACAATTCTCCTATGTGGTAAAAATCAAACAGTACTCTCCCTGAATCTTTCACTTGGTATATTTCTAGGACTCTGTCTGCATCTGTCACCTGATACATAGGCTAGTCAGTTTAATTTCTTTGACTGAAAGCCCAATTTAATTTAGATATTAGCCTTATTAGCCACTTAATTTAAATAATTATAGTGGATTCAGTTTTATAATATATGGGATTGAGGGATGAAATTATAGATTGCGTTGATATATAATTATACATAAATGTCTACATGTCTAGGTATCTGCATGCTCCCTAAACCCAAATATGAATTTTCAAGTTACTTCTATAGTAACTTGACCAATAGGAAAAAAAAGTCCAACTCTGGCAGATTCCTAAGTTAAAGTACAGTAAATATTATCTAGAATTTTCTGTAACTGAAATTAATACGCATTTTCTCAAAATGCTTTTTACCTCTGTCCAGAGACCCATATGGAGATTTTCCCGTGAATCTTCTTTTTCCCTTGGGGGTGCTGTAAGTAGGTAAGTACTAAATGTTGCCATTTGCTTGGGAGGAAAATATTCTCCTGTGATTCAACCTGTGCCAGTAAAACAGCTTTCATGTCATCATTGGAATCCATGCACACACTACAGAAAAAGGGAAAAGGCATAGGCTGAAAACATGAAAATTCTGACCTCAGTGTTTAACACACGTATAGTAACTATAATTTTAAATATTTAAGTAAGATTAAAAACCAGTTCTATTTTTTTAAAGTGCTTGAAAAGTCAGTAGGTCTTTTATACCATAATCTAATCATTCTATTATTACCTCAATTCATGAACTCAAGTAAATTAGGCTCACTGGCTGATAGTGATAATTCAGGCAATAATTTTCAGAATTCAGTTTGTAAAAAAAATATGTATTATTACTATTTATATAGTCATTGCCCATTTAGAAATTACAATGTATTATTTGTTTCATAGAAAAATTAATACATATCGCTGGGCGCGGTGGCTCAAGCCTGTAATCCCAGCACTTTGGGAGGCCGAGGCGGGTGGATCACGAGGTCAAGAGATCGAGACCATCCTGGTCAACATGGTGAAACCCCGTCTCTACTAAAAATACAAAAAATTAGCTGGGCATGGTGGCTCATGCCTGTAATCCCAGCTACTCAGGAGGCTGAGGCAGGAGAATTGCCTGAACCCAGGAGGCGGAGGTTGCGGTGAGCCGAGATCGCGCCATTGCACTCCAGCCTGGGTAACAAGAGCGAAACTCCGTCTCAAAAAAAAAAAAAATAAAATTAATACATATCATACATAAATGTCTAAATACCAGACTGTATTGGAAGTCTAATCTACTTTTTGGGATTACTAAAAGAATGAGGAGATAATGTACATAAAGCACCTAGTAATGTTTATAACGTCTACAAAGTATATATTCCTAAGTAATGTACTGGTTTGTTTAGCTTTGAGTTTTATACAAATAGTATCATACTATTCATACTTACTCAATATAAATAAAAGACCTGCATCTACATTACTTAATAAAGGAGAGACGATAAAAGGACAAGATACCAAGGAGGAGAACCCAAGCTTATTAGCTAATGGCTATTAAATACATAATGCACATGGAATATATCTGTCTGTTAATAACATCTTAAGACCATTACAATCTGATGAATAAGACTTCAGTATGTATTTGATCTAAAATCTAACAGAGAGTTAATTTATTTTATTTATTTATTTATTTTTATTTTTAAGAGTCTCACTCTGTCATCCAGACTGGAGTGCAGTGGCGCACGGACTGGAATCACTGCAACCTCTGCCTCCCAGGTTCAAGCGATACTCTTGCTTCAGCCTCCCAAGTAGCCATGACTACAGGCATGTGCTACCACGCCTGACTAATTTTTGTGGGGTTTTTTTTGGTAGAGATGAGGCTTCATTATGTTGGCCAGGCTGGTCTTGAACTTCTGACCTCAGGTGATCTGCCTTGGCTTGGTATCCCAAAGTTCTGGGATTACAGGTGTGAGCCACCACACTCAGCCGAGAATTAAAATGTCTTAGACTTTGTGGATTTTTGGACAGAATCAAACTATTACAAAAGTGGTATTAACTGTTAGAACGAATATTTTTTTAATGAGACTTTTATTTTGCTGTAATGAAATTTTATTAGCAGATTTAACTTTATGTTTCTTAAATAAACTATTTAAATACATTATCTATTCATGGGAGGATGAGGATAATCAATACCGAAAGATAAAAGTGGCACTGTGGGGATCAGCCCACACTTGGATCATCAACGCTTTGGATCCCAGTGAAATGATATGAATACATCCTTCTTCTATGAGTCTTTCACCAGGATTTATGTACTCTGCACCTTCTGGTCTGTCGCTGTCTATAAGAAAAAGATGTTAGAATGATCAGTAAAATGGTTCATAACAATTGAGCAGAAAAGTGAATTTAGAAGAATACAAAGCAAGTCTGTTCATTTGTAGTAGATTATCTATCCAAAATGTCTGAGCCTGACCTGTTCTAAACAACTGTATTTCCAAAGTATAGATGTTAATCTCAAAAAAGCACAAGGGATAAAAAAATAGTAATTCAGTACTTTAGAAGGTATTAAATGTTTAAAAATGCATAATAACTGAGGACAACTGTGGGCATAACCAGACTGCTATGTGACAACCTATTACAATGTGTACCAAGCTTCTTTTATCAACTGGTTTGGGCCACTATGACTTCACTGACCCTTGTCTAGAGAGCACATGTCATTGTCAATGCCTCACACTACCAAAAATCATTCTATAGTTATCACAATGGCATGATTTAAAAAAAAAATTTCATGTTACAAATTTTAAGAAAAAACTATAATGTTTGAATATATTCATAATTTATATTCCCTGTTGAGTGGTCTTTGAATGTAATTGCTAAGTGATTCTGAAACTCTAATGTTTCTTTAACGCAAGCTAGGGTAAATGCTTATAGGTTTGGGCTGTCTAGTTATGCATCTTGACTCCTCTTCCTCATCTTTTAAAACATTAGCACGACCTGAAGATGTATGATGATCTATTTGTCATTATAATACATGTGACTTTATGTAAAGATATGTTATACCATAATACAAAATGCATACCGAAGGCTCAGACTTTTAAAGAACACTACTGCTTATGAGACTGTATACGTATTAGTTGCTATTTTTCAACAGGTAAAACCATGACCAATGTTAAAAAATACTTCCCGTAGCAATGACAATAGTTTTAAAAAAGAAGAATTAAGGTCAGGGATTATTTTGAGGCTACTGACCAAATATAGAGAACTCATATCTGACGTGAAATTTAAAAAATGTTCCATACCAAATATGTACTTGTACAAATAAAAGAGTAGGACAAAACCAGTGTGTACTTAAGAATTATACAGTAGGAATATTACAAATATTTAACTTAATGCTCACAACCATTTTACAAGGTAAATATATATAGGGTGATAGAACTGAGGCACCGAGAGGTTAAAAAATTTGCTCAAAGGCACCAGTTAGTTTAGAGATCAAAGATGTGCTATCACAGCAAAATATTCTTTATCTCGCTTCAAAAATGTTTATATATGTCCACTATTTTAAAGTACTTATACAAAATCATCTTTCTAAAATATGTTTTCTCATATATCTTTAAAATAAAAAATTAAGAAAAAAACTCTCCAATATTTACTTTTCTCAGGTCACTGTGTACATTTATTCATTTTAGAAGAGACTGTTTACATTGAGATGACTTCCATTAAAACATGAGAAAGCAATCTGCATAGCTTATAGTATAGTAGCAATGTTTAAGCTCTGAAGTTAAAAGAAGGTGTGTTTCAATTCCTTTCCATCATTTACCAGCTTTATCACTTGATCAGTGCTACTTAACTTCCTCTAAAAATACATATAGTATGAACACTTACTGACTTGTTAAGATTAAAAATGTATATAGAATCAGCTGAGCAAAGTGATACATACACAGAAAGCACTCAATGCACGTTAGATAGCATCATAATAAATATTATCACATGTACAGCTATCAGGTCTGTGGCAAAATTCAATCCAGAACAGAAAATTCTAGTGAAGGCATAGTGTCCTAAAACAGAGGTTCCAGTGGGTGGAAAAGATTTATGGCATGAAGAGCTATTGAGGCCTGCATCTCCATATACATATAAAACCCTAAACATCTGGCTCATCCAGTCATTTCATTCATTCCCTAGGCCCTAAGAATCACCCTACCTACTTTACTTCCCATCACCATAAACTGCTTTTCAACGAACAGTTTTTTTCTGCCCTCATCATATGAGAAACAAGGTCCAGTATAATAGCAATTCTTCAGTTAAAGAAGGAACTGGAATGAAATGTATTCTAACACTGGAGAATGGCTGATGCATTTGAACATTCTGTAACAGGAAGTACAGGAGGGCCACTGAGGTAAGACATGGCATGAGAAGGAGAACTTGAAATAAAAGAGAGAAAGAAGTTCGCAACCAGCCTGGCCAATATGGTAAAACCCTGTCTCTATTAAAAACACAAAATTAGCTGGGCATGGTGGCACATGCCTGTAATCCCAGCTACTTGGGAGGCTGAGGCAGGAGAATCGCTTGAACCTGGGAGGTGGAGATTGCAGTGAGCTGACATCATGCCATTGCACTCCAGCCTGGGTGACAAAGAGCGAAACTCTGTCTCAAAAAAAAAAAAAAAAAAAAAAAAAAACAAAGAAAGAAAGAAAAGGAAATGGGAACCGTCTAACAAGGGCTGGGAAACAGCAGAGAGAAAACTGGCTGTAGGGTTTTATCCTTTTCTAATATCAGGAGCCACCCTAATCCAGTAACAGGACCAGAAAAGAGGTTCCATAAGGAACTCTACGAGCTGATGACCCCAGAAAAAGTTGTGTATGTGGTGTCCCCTTGACTTCTATAAAAGACTAAAGTATCTGTAATCGAGATTCAAGGCTGTATGACAGATTAAGTCAGAACTTACCGCCATTAACTAAGGCATTTAATGTGCAGAACATGTTAAGAGTGTTAAGAATAGCACTACATTCTTACCACTCAAGTAAAATTAACAGTGTGAAAAATCTTTGTGTACAAATCAGATAATCGTGTCATCATACCTGTACCATCAAAACTGCTATCTCGTAAAATTTTGTTTCTTTTCTTTATCTTCTTTCCTTTTTCTGTGGTACTCTCAGCTTCATGGATGCACTCCACATTAAACCACAGTGAAACACTGAAACCTTCTGATAGGTGTGGCCAGCAGTTTTGCCCCAGCAATGGCAGGTGGACTGGGGCTACGTGCCAAGACGAAAGCAGCCGATGGGGAAAACTCTCTCTGTCAGCCTTTTTCTTGCTCCGTGAAACTCGTGCTCTTCTCAATAAACCCATGGCCTTACTGTTTAAAACCCCAGGATACTTTTGTGATGAAACACCATTGCTTAAATTTGGGGTGTGCAGTAAAGGGAAGGTTAGATACTGTGAAGGGCTCATAGTAGTATCACTTTCAATAATTTTCAGAATACCCAGAAGAAGAATTTTCTAGGGAAAAAGAGAAAGAAATGAAACTTTCTAATCATGTAATAAAATACCTAACAATCTTGAAATTTAGGTTATAAATGAAAATACAAACATACCCATACATGTCAGCATTCCTATTTTACCCATACATGTCAGCATTCCTATTTAAATATCTTCCTATCTCCAATATCTTTAAAATTTTCTCTTTTTCTGTAGCTGAGATAAAATATGAAATGGATTTCATTTTTTTTTTTTTTTTTAAATTTTGAGACAGAGTCTCACTCTGTCACTCAGGCTGGAATGTAGTGGTACAATCTCCGCTCACTTCAACATCTGCCTCACAGGTTTAAGCAATTCTCCTGCCTCAGCCTCCTGAGTAGCTGGGATTACAGATGCCTGCCACCACGCTGGCTAATTTTTGTATTTTTAGCAGAGGTGAGGTTTCACCATGTTATCTAGGCTGGTCTCGAACTCCTGCCCTAAGGTGATCTACCCGCTTTGGCCTCCCAAAGTGCTGGGATTAAAGGCATAAGCCACTGCACCCAGCCTTCATTCTTTTTGTTTGTTTGTTTTTTTGGAGACGGAGTCTTGCTTTGTCATCCAGGCTGGTATGTAGTGGTAGCACGATCTCAGCTCACTGCAACTTCCACTTCCAGGGTTCAAGTGATTCTCTAGTCTTGGCCTCCTGAGTAGCTGGGATTACAAGCATGAGCCACCACGTGTGCGCCACCAAGCCTGGCTAGTTTTTGTATTTTTAGTAGAGACAGGGTTTCACCATGTTGGTCAGACTTGTCTTGAACTCCTAACCTCATGATACACCTGCCTTGGCCTCGCAAAGTGCTGGGATTACAGGCATGAGCCACCATACCTGGCCTTAGATTTTTTTTCTTTAAATTTTTTATTTTTAATTTTTGTGGATATATGGGAGGTATATACATTTATGGGGTACCTAGATTTTTGATACATAGTTACGATTTGGTTTTAAATTCTAAATTAAATATAATAATTATATCAGGAATCATCTCTACCAGAGAAAAAGGATTATTTCTAAGTAAACTGTGGTTCTTCTCCCAATTATTTTAAAATCAGGGATATAACTGAGACTTTACAAATTCTCCAGATTTCTGACTTCAGAGCATGACTGGCTTGTTAAAATTGAGTGTTCAGTTACTTTCCAACTTATTTCACATGATTTTTCCATATCAAGTAAATTTTCTTTCATCTGTGTTTGGCAAACTGAAGTAAGTTTTTAAGCTTCTATTTATGTTACAAGTTTTTGGTTAAAGTGAAATGTAGAATTTATAGAAAACAGAAAAAATTAGCATTTAATTAAAGGCAAAGACAATGATTAAGGAGACAGAAGGAAAAAAGTAAAAAAGATTAATCTAGTACAATGTCGTCCTCATGCTTAAAATAACATCTAAATAACATCTAATGTTGATTATCATAAGGACAAATATACTCAGAAGAAGTAATAAAAAAGCATTCCACAAACATAGCAGTCAGTTTTCAATGATCTACACTAGTGGTTTTTAACCCATGTTCCACAGAGCTCCCTCAGGAACCTTGGGAATGGAGCAGGGTGATAAAGTGGGCAGGGCTCTGAAACATCCAGTTCCACTACAATGTAGCTTCAAAGTTTTCTGTTTTATTTGCATATGCTACTAGTCAAGATTTCATTCTAAAAACAGGTTTCCTAGCAAAGAAAAGTTTAAAAGCCACTAAGTCACACCAATGGAAAGGGGAAGTATAGACAATAACTGAAGAGTATAGTGGATAATATATTTTTTTAAAAGGATAATCCCTAAGATGGTTTAACTATTCATAATTAAGTTATCTTCAGTAATTAAAATTACTCAGCCTTTCTGAAGCAAAAAAATTGGGGATGGGGGGGTAAGGGGAATATAATCCCAGTGATATGTCTGGTTAGTCAAAATTGAAGTGAAATGGTTAAAATATATGCAAATAATTAAGTACTTCACACATAATATTATGAAATTGACTATAACAACTGTCACATCAAAAGAGAGAGCTTAGTAATATTACTGAATAATTTAAAAAATACATTCTATTAATAAGTAAAAGAATTTTTTAGTGAAAAATGTAAAAATTATAGCATATTTACTGTACAAGGAGATTTCTCCAGAAATATTCTCAAAAGAAGGATTAGCTCTTCTGAACATGTTCTTGAACTCATCAAAGACACCAGAAGATCCACCAATGCTCTCTGGCATGCTAAATTAAAGAAACAGGGAAAAAATTAAAGCTAGTCCACAATTAAAGGAACAGAATAAGCAATTTTACCATAAGAGGTAACATACTATTGTCACTTTTAGAATGGATTATAAAAAATCTAGTATAGCAATCACAAAATTTGCTGAAGAAATAGCAATATAACTAAATGTAAATCAACCAACCATCAAAAAAAATACTTTTCTTTTTTTATTATTATTATTATTATTATTATTATTATTTATTTTTGAGATGAAGCCTGGCTCTGTCACCCAGGCTGGAGTGCAGTGGCGCTATCTTAGCTCACTGCAACCTCCATCTCCCTGGTTTAAGCAATTCACCTGCCTCAGCCTCCTGAGTAGCTGGGACTAGAGGTGCGTGCCACCATGTCCAGCTAATTTTTGTATTTTTAGTAGAGACAGAGTTTTGCCATGTTGGTCACGGCTGGTCTTGAACTCCTGGCCTCAGGTGATCCATCCATCTTGGGTTCCCAAAGTGCTAGGATTATAGGAGTGAGCTACCACACCCGGCCCACTTTTCTTAAAGATTGGTTAGTTATAAGTAAACTAAGGGCATTCTTTAAAGAAGCATAAATCAATACAATATTTGTTAGGCTGATACCCCTACACCATAAAATAGTCTGCTATCTTCTCATCTTGAAAATGTTTAAATTATAATTATCACTCTTTAAGTACAAAATTAGATGACAAGAAGTGGAAATACCAAAGATGATTTACATACTTAAATATCACAAACTGGTTTGAACATTTTCTTTATTCCATCATAGGTTTAGCATAAAACATAAATGGTGGTACACAAATTCATAGAGTTCTTCAGAGCAAAATAATAACGAATATTTTTAGAGCATGTTATAGTGTTCAAAGTATTTTTACATGCTTTATTTCAGCTGATCCTCACCCAAAATGAAAAACCTTACAAAGTAAATATTATTTCCACTTTGATCTGAAAAAAATAATCTTGATTTAAAACCTTGAGATAAGTTTTAAAAGATTGGTAGTTTTGGAAGACTGGGAGGTTAGAGAATAGAAGCCATGTTTAAGCGACATATTTTGTAGAAGCAATGAGCTGACACAGTAGCAAAATAGTACATGTATCTGGAGAGACTACTTGCAATGAGATTATAAAATAGCATGGACTGTATCCTGCATATAGCATGAATCCATTAAAGGTTTTTAAGTAGGAAAGTAATATGATCAAAGTGTGTGTGCTTAGATTTTTTTTTCCAGTTCAAAACTGACAGGTTCCAGTTAAAAATGGGGGAATGAATATATACACTTGCTTTTGTGTACTACTGAAAACTCATGACATTAAAGTACAGAATTATAAAAGAAACCAACAACAGCAAAAATATGTTGGGGCACATCTAGTGAGAGATTTAAAAATATTTCTTGAAGATAGAAAAGTAGATGGATAAAAGAGAAAGCTACAACCTAGAATTTCTTCAAATTATAAAGAGGTTCAGAGCAGTAGGAAGTCGAGCTGTTCATTTAAGGTCTGGAGAGGAAGTGAGAGTGGGGCTGACAACACAGGAATTAATGAAAGGTCTCTCTGTGAATATCCACCTCTCTCCTAGTCCTCAGTACAGAGCACAGATAATTCAGTTTTCACTTTTAGGTCCAAACCTGGTAACTCTTCTCTAAAGAAACGAAATGGATTACCAGGCAAAAGCTCAGGCATATATAGGCTTTTAGTATCATGGTTACTAAGTGTAACTGTACAGTCTGCAGCCTGAACAAACTGCCTAACCAACAGAAAAGTAGAGACTAAAATAAAGCCTGAATACTGTGTGCCAAACCATGCATTCTGGCTTTGGGCTGTGTTGCCTGGATCAAGAAAGTGATGCCTTTTTTTCCCAGCTCAAAAACACTATATGCTAGCCAAGTTCTGTATGTGGAAGATACATTTTTCTAATGCATGCAAACTGCCATGTGGGGTAATAGTATCCCTAACGGTCCCCCAAAGTAAAGCTCTCTTCATTAGGGTATTTGGGAAGCCCCTAATTACCCACTGGCACATTCACACAGAGCTCTTCAACATCCTACCCACTCATGAAAGAGGCCAAAAAGGAAAACAAATTAACTTTCACAATATTAGAAGAAATCTCCAACAGCTTCATTAAATATAAATGGGCTGAGAAGTTCATAAAATATGAGGGAATTAGCAACCTAAAGCAGTAAAAACAATATTTAAAAAACAAAAAACAGACAAACTGACCCCAGAGGAAAAAGATAATTTGGGGACAGAAGAAACTTTAAGGTATTTATTACTATAACCAAATATATACAAGGATATATTATATCCTTATATGAAAAATAACCAGAAAACAAAGAGCTCTTAAATATGAAAATTACCAAAATCAAAAATTAAATAAAAGGTAGGATGGAATTGAAAAGATGTCTCAGAATGTAGCATAAAAACAGAGACACAGTCAATATGACAGGAAAGAGAAAACACATGCAAGATTAACTGGCAAGGCTCAAGATGACAATTAGAATGCAAGGAAAAAAAGAGGAGAGAATACAGAGAAAGAAAATTACTTTTTAAAACAGCAAATCTTCATGATTCTGTATTAGACTTTCTAAGATATGACACTAAAAGCAAAGCAAAGAGAGTCAAAATAGACAAGTAGGACTACATAAAAATCCTTTAAAATGTGCTTCGAAGTAAACCATTAAGAAAGTGAAGAGACAGCACAAAGAATGGGAGAAAATATTTGCAAACCACATATCTGAAAAGGAACTTGCATGCAGAATACATTTAAAAACTCTTACTATTCAATAATCAAAACACAAATCACCAATATAAAAATGGGTAAAGGATTTGAATAGACATTTCTCTGAAGAAATCCAAAGAAAATATGCAAATAGGTAATAAGCACACTGCTATAGTATAAATATCTGTCCCCTCCAAAACTATTAGCAAATAGCTAATAAGCACACTGCTATATTGTGAATATCTGTTGAAATTTGGTTGTCACTTTGGTAGTGTTAACAGATGAGATCTTTGGTAGGTGATTGGGTCATGAGGAGTCTGCCCTCATGGGTGGGATTCATGCCCTTATAAAAGGGAGAGTTCAGCCCCCTTTTGCCTCTCTTCCTTTCTGCCTTTTGCCATGTGAGGATGCAGCAAGAAGGCCCTTGCTAGATGCTGGCACTCTGATCTTAGACTTTCAGTCTCCAGAACTGTGAGAAAATAAATTTCTGTTCATTATCAATCACTCAGTCTGTGGTATTCTGTTATAGTAGTACCAAAGGGACCAAGGCACACATGAAGGTATATATAATACAATAGCCTTTAGGGAAATACAAATCAAAACTGCAATGAGATATCACTTCATATCTACTAGGATAGATATAATTAAAAAGGCATATAATAACAAGTGTTGGTAAAGATGTAAAGAAATTAGAACCCTTATACACTGACGGTAAGAATATAAAATGGTATAGTCATTTTGGACAAGTCTGTCAATTTCTCAAATGATTAAACACAGAGTTACTATATGATTTAAAAAAATGACTGAAGAGAAACGAAAACATATGTTCACACAAAAAACTGTACATGAGTGTTCATAGCAGCATATTCATAACAGCAAAAGAGGAGAACAACCCAAATGTCCATCAACTGATGAATGGATAAATAAAATGCAGTATATCCACACAATGGAACATTACTTCAGCCAAAAAAGAAAAGAAGCAGGGAACTGGAAAAGTAACTTTATAGTGGACAAACCTGATAAATACTACTTAATGCAAGTGGTCAAGGTCAACATCAACAATTATAAGGCCGGGCGCGGTGGCTCAAGCCTGTAATCCCAGCACTTTGGGAGGCCGAGGCGGGTGGATCACGAGGTCGAGAGATCGAGACCATCCTGGTCAACATGGTGAAACCCCGTCTCTACTAAAAATACAAAAAATTAGCTGGGCATGGTGGCTCGTGCCTGTAATCCCAGCTACTTAGGAGGCTGAGGCAGGAGAATTGCCTGAACCCAGGAGGCGGAGGTTGCGGTGAGCCGAGATCGTGCCATTGCACTCCACCCTGGGTAACGAGAGCGAAACTCCGCCTCAAAAAAAAAAAAAAAAAAATTATAAATCGTGTTGACAATATGTACCCTTGATATCATTTAATGACAATGGCACTTTGCTTCTATGATCTTCCTCCCAAAAGCGTATACTCCTAGTGTAATCATGACTTTTGACAAAGGTGCCAAAACCATTCAATGGGGGAGGGACAGTCTCTTCAACAAATGGTGCTGAGAAAACTAGTTGGGTCCTTATCTAACACCATATACAAAATTTAACTCAAAATTAATTCAGGACCAATATGTAAGAGATAAAACTATATACCTCTAAGAAGAAACCTTAGGGGGAACAACTCCATAATACTGAATTTGTCAAAGATTTCTTAGATATGACACCAAAGGTACCGTCAACTAAATTTAAAAAATAGACAAATTGGACTTCAAAATGAAAAACTTTTGTGTATCAAAAGACACTATCAATAGAGTAAAAAGACAACTTACAGAATGGGAGAGAATATTAACAAATCACGTATCTGATAAGGAATCAGTATTGAGAATATATAGAGAACTCCTAAATCTCAACAATAAAAAAAGAAACAATCCAAGTCAAACATAAGCAGAGGGCTTGAAGAGACATTTCTTCAAACAAGATATACAAATGGCCAATAAGTACATGAAAGGAGGTTCAACATCACTAATCATCAGGAAAATGCAAATCAAAATCACACTAAGATAGCACAATGAGAAAAATGTCAAATTCTATTACAGGGACAGTCCTCAAAATACCTGATCAGTACCCCTCAAAACTGTCAAGGCCATCAAAAATAAGGAAAGTCTGAGAAACTGTTACAGTCAAGAGGTGCCTAAGAAGACATGACAACTAACTATTATGTAGTATTATCTCGGATAGAATCCTTGAACAGAAAAAAAGACATTAGGTAAAAATGTAAGAAATCTGAATTATGGACTTTAGTTAATAATAACATATCAATATAAGTTCATTAATTATAATACATACATCATAAAAAGTTAGATATAACAGGAGAAACTGGCAGGGAGGGGTGTAATGAGGGAACTCTATAATAGATGCTTAATTTCTCTGTAAATCTAAAGCTGTTCTAAAAAATAAAGTCTATTAATAAAAACTGAAGAATAGCTTGGCCTGGGAGGCAGAGGTTGCAGTGAGCCACTGCACTCCAGCCTGGGTGACAGTAAAACTCTATCTCCAAACAACAACAACAACAACAACAACGACAACAACAAAACAACTGAAAAAAGGAATCCATGCAAACGAAAAAAAAATTAAACATGACTAGAAAGAGAATTAAAGTGCTGAAACGTGCTACGACATGAAGGTTGAAAGCATTATGCTATGTGAAGGAAACCAGTCACAAAAGACCACATATTCCATTTATATAGAAAAACATCCAAAAGAAGCAAATCTATAGAGGCAGTTAGTAGATGAGTGATTGCCAGGGACAGAAAAATCCATGCAGGGAAGGGTCAAGGGGAAATAGGTAGTAACTGCTAAAGAGTACAGGGTTTCTTTTGGGGATGATGAAATTGTTCTAAAATTAATTGTGCTGATGGCTGCATAACTCTGTAAATATAGTATATACTACAAAACACTGAACTATACACTTTAAATGGGTGAATGTATGGTATGGGAATTATATCCCAGTAAAGCTGTTATTAAATAATGGAACATAATTTCTCAGAGTTAAGATGGAAACACAAATTCAGATCACAAGGGTTCTAAGTGCCTAGCACAATAAATACAAACACATCCATATACTAAATTTATTCCATATTTTTTCCATAATACTAAAATTAGTAGATGAAAGAATGATGAGAAAAAGTACATTTATATAGTCTCAAGTTATCTCTCCACAAGCTACTTAATTATAAAGGGAAAATAGTAACTTTACAATAGAGAAACTTGGCAAACACCTCCTTAACCACAGGATCAGAGTTAACATCACCAGTAATAAGATCAGGATATCATAAATCCTTTTGATATGATGCACTCAGAAGGACCCAATATCACTTGAGTATTCCTGCCAAAAATGTACAACCTAAATTTAATCAAGAGAAAACATCAAACAAATCCAAATTAATGTCTCGTGTATGCTAGCCTTAATTCTCCAACTACAATTTAGATTTCTTGTGATTAGCAATCATAGTATACTTTCATTATGTATTTCTTGAATGTCTGAGGAAGTACCAAGCACAGAGTAGATAATCAATATGAGATATAGCAATAACATAGCGTTAGACTGGATTACAGTCCCCACAGTGCCGCTTCTATGTCTGACCCTGAACAACTCAATTCCTTAGAATCAAGATTTTCCTCTCTATAAATATACTTGCACTCTTGTCATTTAATTGTGTGGGTCTGAGGAACAAATGAGATGATGCATATAAAGACACTTTTTTGAAATCACAGTGCACTATGCCAGTGGAAACCTTTTTTTTTTTTTTTTTTGAGACAGGGTCTTGCTCTGTCACCCAGGCTGGAGTGCAGTGGCACAATCATAGCTCACTGCAGCCTTGGCCTCCTGGGCCCAAGCAATCCTCCCACCTCAGCCTCCTGAGTAGCTGGGACTACAGGTATGTCTTACCACACCTAATTTTTATAGACATAGGGTTTCTCTATGTTGCCCAAGCTGGTCTTAAACTCCTAGGCTCAAGTGATCTGCCTACCACCTCAGCCTCCCTAAGTGCTAAGATTACAGGCATGAGCCACCACACCCAGCCAAAAGCCATTATTATCAACTCTTCACATAAAATAATTTCGGAGCTATAGTTTAAAACCAACAGTTTCAACTCACCTTGAAAATCAGAATCAGCCTGTGTTAAAATACTCAAGAACCCTCCTAAAAGATTTTTCACAGTTCCCTGAAGATTTAAAAAAAAAAAACATACAAAATTAAATTACTTACTTCACAGAAGCATGAAATAACTGTAATGTCATAATAAATTATATGATAGGGTATCTACTATATATGTATATAAGTATTTTAAAATGACTAAAAATACTGCTTTGTGTAGGAATTTTATTTTTATACTGTTTTTAAATTTTCTGATTTTTCAAAACAATGAGCATATATTAAAATTAAATGCATTTTTAAAAATACTACCCATTCTCAGAAATAGATGAGGATTTACTACTGGCTGGCAAAAGACATTAATTTTTTGTATGCTACTTTAGAAAACTATGGAATTAGAAGATTTTGGAATACTACTTTTAGGTAAAAACACACCTGAGGTACCAGAAAAGATACGTAATCACCTCAAATAATTTTCAGAAAAGTTGGGTTATACATAAGGAGCTGTTATTGGCGCATGAGTCTGATAAATACTGATCACATATAACTAAATGAATTTTTTACCTGTTGCATGAGCAGAAAAACATTCTTTTCTTTCTGCCTAATAATTTTCAAAAAACTCTCAAATACATGGGCAAGCACATCAAGTTTGGCTTTATCAGCAGAAAGCAAATTTAATTCCAGCATACAAATCTCAGGATATATTATTTCCCCTTTAGTGAGGTTTTCAAGTAAGTCATTTGGACTGCTTGATGTACTGAAACCTTCTGTTTCAGACTTTAAGTCTACCCCTAAAAAGAGAAAAACAAAGGATTATTTTTATTCCCTAAACACAAAATATTTCAAACTTTATTAATCCTTTAGAAGACCTAGTGGCAAAAGTACTATTCAGGGGATGCTCACAAAACCTTTTCCAATCTTTCCTACAACACAACTTTTGACTATGATATGGATATTTTGAAGATAAGTTGCCTTAAAAGCAATTTTGATCTTCAATAGAACTACAAATTTTACAAATAAACAGGAATTTTTACAAACATATGATAAAGACTTAACATATCCCACTGACACAGCAATATACAAAAAAACCTATTCAAACTTTCTGACCCCCCACCCCAAATAACTAAATCACAGAGCAATTCAATTTACCTACCCAAATCTTTGTGAAAATAGTAGGCTTGGCTATTGGTTGGGTGAATTATCAGTTTTGCCTTCTTCATAAGTGAGAAAGAGACCCTACCTCATTGAATATTGCATTTTGGAAAATTTGACTTTTATGATCTTTTAAGACTCCTGTGCTCTTAATAAAATGTTGATATAGTTAAGAAATTTATAAATTTCTACCTAGACCAGAATTCTTTAAAAAGAGATCTACTTAGCAAACATAAAAAAGGAGGAAATCCAAAATTATAAAGTCAAATCTGTACTATAGCAAGCTATACTATTAAAAAAATTAATAAACCAATAGTTTTTCAAAAAGCACCAGTCATGGGTGCATCAAGCCCTTTAAGTAAGGCATCAGTGAGTATTCCCATTCACTAGATAAGAGAGAGAAACGTGGCTGTGAGGAAGATACACTACTGTGAACTCAGTAAAGACTAGCAGTACTAGGGACACTCAGAAGGCCAGTATATAAAAAGACAGGAGTCTTCCCAGAAGTCCCTTGGCTCTAATCAACCCATCTTTTCCATTCTACCCATTTTAAATCCAAAGACAAAGGGGGAAAGAATCATAGGCAATATAGTTCCATCCTAAAGACAAATGGAGCTGTGGTAAACTAAGAAGAAATCTACGCTTGGCTGTCATAGACAGGTGTCTGAATTCCTTTTATTATGTATTCTTTATAACAAATTGCCTGAATGCTCTTCCTGCCAGTGTTTGTCTGCTTAGCTTGTTTTAATTTAGTCCTCAATGTAAACATTACCTCTTCAGAAAGGACTTCCCTCACCACCCAGTCATGATTATGACATCACCCAATTTATCTATTTCTATTTTATTATCTATTTCTAGTACTTGTCTTTCACCCTTGAATACGTGAAATTGGGGACTTTGTCCTTCACCCCACGTCCTGAGGCACTCAGACGATGTTTGTAGTAACAAACTATATCACATTGTTGCATATATGAATGCCAGACTGTTGTGAATGCCACACAATGAAACAGAGTGCATTATCATTTTATCAATAAAATGATAATGCATTGCACTTGTTAAACTGTAAGGCAATACAAAAATTCAAAAGTGGTATTATTATGAACCATTTTGCTATTTAATGATCTGGCTTGCAGATCTAATCACAAGCACTTCAATAATATTTTACCATCATCCTGGGTTTCACCATCTTCAGGATTGCTTTCACTATCTGCTTCATAACCTTCTTCTTCAACTAAAAGTTTAAAACTGCAACACTGAGAATCCTCAGCTTCTTCTGAAAAATTGCCAGGCTGGGATGACAATTCTTCTGCAGACTGATGACTCTATATAAATCAGTGTAATTCAAAGGTAAAAGTTGTAACATTTGCATGTTTTTAGTAATATAATACTTACTACTCAAAAGTCATGTTAACGACAATTTCAATATTTTCTTGAAGAAAAAACTTAGCATTCAATATGAATCATTATAAATTATGAAATTCACTCAGCAAAATTTCCCAGATCCTCTCAGACAACTTAATACATCAAAAAAGGGTGTTTCTAACATAGTAAGTTATAGGACATTTCAGTTTAAGTAAAAAATAAATCTATGTAAGAAATTTAATTCTATTTATACAATAGGAATTGACTAAAACACAATGTGGTGAAACTATACTTCATACAATTTAGTACTAATAAATATATATCATTTGTGCACATATGTTAATAAAAAAGATTTTTTCATAAGGATTTTTATAAATGCTTCATAAATTAGGTAACTAGAGGAGACATGACTTTTTTTCAAAGGGATTAATTAAAAGATCTCAGAATGCAACTGTCTACATAGCAAGCACCTCAGAAGTTAAGAGTTCCAGTATTAACTTCCTGTGTAAGAAAGGAAGAATTTTCCATTTCTTACAAAAATTCCACTAGTACCTTCATTTTAGAAAACATTTCCACTTAAAGAAGCTCAAAATACTTCATCATTGTAACAACAGTAAAAGGAAGAATAAAGTAGTTATTTTAACATTTTACAGTTAATCAATTAATTCAATAATATGATGAAGGTATTCAGCATGTTTTTAAGTTATGGCAAATAGTAACATAAAATATTATTTTAAAAACATATATATGACTGGATCAAGGAGTTAAAAGGGAAGTTATATAAAAAATAAAGGAGAGATGGCAATTAAAGTTAAAAGAAACATAAAATGATAGGGAAATGAGCTAATTATGCACCACATAATTTTAGGAAAGAAAATTAAAATAGTTGTTTTAGGAAAAAATATTAAACCACCAAAACACTGTGATTGCTATTTTCTATGTAAGTACTAGTCATTTTTATGTTGAATGATTTTAAAATTAATGTGAGTAGAGGGTTCTGGAAATATTAGCTACACCAACAAAGAAATAGACAGATAGGATAGGTAAATAATCACCATCCCTGAATTAGCATTTAACAAACTATCAGATATGTGTAAAATGTACCAAATTAAGTAATATATTTCTGTCTTAACTGAAGTAATTTTCAGTAAATTTCCAGATTAGATAAGGAAAAGCATATCATATTGCTCTCTTGTTCCATATAAGATGGGGCAATGACAAAATACTGTCTATCCCATCATATATCCATCACATGGAAATAAGATCTACTGAACTCATCTGACTACATCCTAGTCCATATGTTCTAATTACGTTCATCAACGTCCTAGTCTCATCCCACACTTCCGCCTCTGCTGGTCATACCCAAAGAATACAACCATATGTGTTATTCATACCTTCTCAGTCATAGCATCATTATGTTCAAAATCTGCTGAATAATTCCCGAGGGCAACTCGAAGCAGGGCATCAAATAAAGGCTTTGCTAACTGTGTTTCAATCACCTTTGACTGGGAAAGATGGTCCCTCATTTCAAATAATATATTTTCCACAGACAAGTTCTAAGGTGAAACAAGAGACTAAAAATATTAATAACGATTTTAAAAACTAAGTGGTAAAAAAATAAATATATTAATATTTACTAAGTATAAAGCTAAGTCATTTATTTGCAGTTGATATGAAAGTCAAATGATTATATAAATAGCTTATACAAACATCCTACTGTTAAAATTAATAACATTTTTATTGATAACATACTTAGTTCATCTTTGGCTTTCATTGCAGCATGGTAAAGAATGGCAGGAAAGAAGCTAAGCAAGGAAGTCAAAGCAAGACTGAAGAGTTTTTTACGCTGTGTTAAAGTGTGTGAATTTCAAATGTGGAAATTCAGTGTGGAAGCATCAGGATTTTTTAGAGAGAAGGCAACATGCAGGCTAGAACTGAAGTAGGAAGAGCCTGTTAGCTGACTGAAGTTAGGGCTAAGTTAGTAAGGATGGAAGAGGTCTGCCATATTCCAGGTCCCTAGATTCCTTTTTAATTAAGAAATAATCTCAGGAGAAAACCTGTAAGGATGCAAGGGAAAGCAGAAGAGGTTAGGGGAATAATCTGGACAAAGACGTCGTTTTAGGAGAAGTCTCGTTCCAGCCTCATTTCCTAGGAAGCTCTGAGGCCTGAAGTGCACCACAGTGATTGTCCCCACTTCTCAGAGCCACATCTATCAGCCATTAGCTATGAGCATCCTTCCCAGGCATCTATCTCCCTGTGAGGTATCTCCCATCAGTCAAGGGCGATAGAAGATGGGTGCTGATGCAGCAGATGGTGAATAGGTGATCAGTTTGGTCAAGGGGATCTGGGCAGGGCAGCCAACAGCATTACAAAGATTTAGATCTTTCAACTTTGAAACACAATATCCATTATTATTCATCTGATATTTATAGAGAGAGAGAGAGAAAGAGAGAGAGAGAGAGAGAGAGAGAGAGAGAGAGAGAGAGAGAGAGAGAGAGAGTGTAAACATTACATAAGAGCTGGACTAAGGACAAAGTACTACCTGATTAGGTAACTCCAATTCCATCTTCTGTTGACTAGTTCTGGCGCTATGAAGACAAATGGCCAGAAGAGCTTCTAAAAGTCGTATACTCTGAAGTGAGGTCTCACTTTCTTGATTTGTAAATACCTTTGCTTCCTTGGGAGCAGCTTCAGTAGCTGAAATTTGTTCCACATTTATGGAAGAAATATGCTGTAACTCTAATTTACCTAAACTTTCAGTACTCTTTTTTAAAGTACCTAGTTCTGATGGTATTGGGTCACTTTTTATAGTCAAAGATAATATATCTTCCTTCATAGTTATCTCAGGTTCAGAAATTCTGTTTAAATCCTGGTTTTCATTTACATTTGTATCTTCCTCCTTTTTTCCTTGCTCCTCTTTGTGACTTCTGAACAGTTTCTGTATTATCATAAATATTAATTTATGGCATACTCGGAAACCACCAAGCCTATAAAACTGTCTCTGAAAGACTGAACTCAACATGTAGATCCAACGACACATAGACCAAATGTCTGCTGCTTGGTGCATATGTTCAGGAGAAGGCAAGACAAGGCTCTCGAGAGATAAACATGGCAGCATATGACTTAAAGGCTCACTGGCTGTGCTGTCATAGCCAGAAGTATCTTCTGAATCATTGGCTGACTCCTTATCAGACTCTGCTTCTTTACTTATGCATAAAAACGCCACACAGAGGAACAGGTTTATTGTGTTGATATGAACATCCTGGTTAACAGTCTTCCATCTCTTTGGATAAGCTTCTTTGAGGCCAGCATAAAATTTGCTGAGACTCTGAGGAGAATCTGAATAAGCTTGCTGGTGATGGAAAGAAGTACCTACATTTATAGAGGACAACTCCTTTTGTTCAATGTCTATCCCATCGATACTTGGAACTGAAGCATCTTTCTGTTGCTCCCCTAGGCTGATTATCAGAGTTTCAAATGCTTTTAGAGAATGACTTCGAATATCATTTAAGTAATTTAATTCAATTATTTGATTTACTCCATTACAACTCAAAAAAAGATCTCTTATTACCCTGTGAAAGGAAAAAAAGCATGTAAAAAGTTTTATATAAAGAAACATCTATAAATATGTACACATAGTACTTACTATATTGCTATTGCAGGTGGGATATACTAACCACTACCAATTTCATTCATCAATTATTGGGCTAAAGTTTTTAGTTAGATACAATCAGGATCTCAAGTTACTTTCTAATTACTCTTATATCCTTCTTCAAACATTTGTTTTTATGGTTCCAGCAGTATCTAAAAAGAAAAGATTATACCTCTCACATTAAATAACGCAATTCAGGGAAGAGTATTTTTCTCCAAATGGCAAATTCTGTATAAATTCTGAACATCACAGCCACCACCATATTCTAGGGCAGGCAAGCATGTGTGTGTTCATTAGTTTTTGTGCCCAATGGTTCATTTAGATATTTTTGTTTATTTTAAATTATAACTCACGAAGGGAAAGAACCACACTACAGAGCTCAAACTCTTCTGAAGGTTCCGTATCAAATGAATTTCCCTTCAGTGTCTCTTCTAAATGGGCTAGTTGGACATAGTCAATGGTACAAATATCATAAAAGGATTTCAGCTCTGTCTCAGGTGAGACTTGTGTCTAAATCACTGGAATCCTATTAATAACTTAAATATAAGTCAGCTAGGTGATTCTCAGCCCTTTTATCACAAAGACTCAGGTTGTCCACAAATATGCCAAAGAGTTACAAAACTTTCAAATCAGTCAGTTTTATTTCAATAATGCCGAAATGTCAGAAAAATTTTTAAATGACTATAAAGCAATGATTTAACACCAATAATAGTTTTAATGTAGTTTTACTAAAATGGACCAAAAAATGCCACACACAAATATAACCTAATGATAGTTATGGTAAGTTTCTAATATGGTATATGCATTAATTTGAAAGGCCAGTTTACCTATCAGAAGCAAGCTCTATAAAATTATTTTTAATTGTACCAGATTTGGCAATCACAAAGTCTGGAAAGCTCACTGACAGAATTAAAAGTAATTTTAATTTTCTTGTTTTTGCTTGTCTATATTTTCTAATTTTTCTGCATAAATTACAAAGGTTATAAACGTAAATATAATATTTTAAAATTAATAATCCCATTAATGCCACTGCCTCAATTATCATTTTATATATGTGCATATTTTACATAGTTGTAAATAAGTGAACACTATTTTAATTGTGTACATTTTACCCGTAAGATATCACAATCATTTTCTCATATTCCAATATGATCTTTGTAAATATTTTCAATGGCCAATTATATTCTATCAAGGAAATATAAAGTAATCAAACTTGCCCTGCTCTTGGATATCCGTGTTGCATCTACATTTTTCTCAGCAGTATATTTAAAAATTTTCTTTTTCATTGAGAAATTAAAATAGATGGCTCTATCCCTTGGATATCCGTGTTGCATCTACATTTTTCTCAGCAGTATATTTAAAAATTTTCTTTTTCATTGAGAAATTAAAATAGATGGCTCTATCCTCTATAACCAGCTCAGTAAAAACATATACATACATAAACAAATGGTTAAAACAAATCTGATATGGAAGGAGAATATTTTTTGTTGATAAACTGAAATTAAATCCTAGGAGAGAATAAAGAGTAAATATGATCACACTACTGCCAAGGCCCTGGAGATAGCAGTGTTAGAAGTTTAAATGCATACCCTTTATCATTCACTTGAAAGCATCCAATGAAAAAGATCTACACCACCCCCCACCACACACACACATACAAACCTGGATTTAAGCAGGATAGGCAGAGTTTTTACATAAATCTGAAGCACGTCCTGAGGCAAGCACTGGTTATAATGGCTACAAACATGAGTCTGGGCTGAAGCAATGCTTAGCTGTTGACAATGATGTGCTAATTCGACTCCTCTTTGGAGCACAGGATTAAATATGTAATTATACAGTTTCCATTGAACAACTATATTGCCTTTCTGGATTAAACTGCAAATGTGATTTGCAATCTGTATACTATGCAACCTGTCTTCTTCAAAAACAAAGTTCTGATAAGCCTTTAAAGCATCCCACTTCCATAACAGATCTTCAGATCCACTGCTGGGCAGGATCCCTTGAAATCTGTAAGAAGGACTGGATAAACTTGAGGAGGGTTCAGCATCACCTAAGTTTCCCTGAAGTGTCTCTTCTAATTGGGCTAGTTGGTCAGAGTCAACGGTACAAATATTACAAGCTGCTTTTTTGATTTTTTGCGATACCTCTGCTCCTCCTAACTGATCCAAAATTAGTTTGTTAAGGATATTCAATATATGCTGCTGAAAACTTTTCAGTGCTGGCAACTTAAAAGCATGGAGCAAAGGAATGATTACAGATTTGGGATCCATACAACAGCATATTCCAACGTTATGAACACCCGATAGGATCTGGACACAAGTGCTGCTCAAGGAAGCCTGCTGTAGTAAGCGCAAGCACTGATGAGCACACACTGCAATGCAACAGCACCGCTCAGGATAATAAACATCTCCATCTGCAGTCTCTTCAAATGGGTTTTTGGAAACCTGATTTTTAAAAGCTGAAACCAGAAGACCTGAGAGATCTCGGTGATGATGCATAAAATGAGAATATTCACATCGTCTGTGCCTTTTTCTTGTACACATTGAATGATGAAGTTGCTCTGATTTCACTTTTTTGACAGTGCTCATTATTTTCATCACACTATTTATTAGGGCTTTCAAATGCTCTGAGGCCTCGGGAGGAACTCCATCTCTTAAAATCAGCCATTCCATTTGAAGAACTGCTGTTTCAAATAAATTAAATCCATGATGCTGAATGAATTCTTGAACCAACTCCATGGCTTGACTGAAGTAGAAAGGATTTGAAGCTGCACTTTGAAGACAACAGATCAGAATCTGAAGAACTCCTTCCAGAAGCTCAGGTAAAAGAAGGGCTCTATGACGATACTTTGAAAACACAAAATCTTCCTGAACCTCTTGCAGTGTTTTCTTTTGTCTTGGTGCAAAAGGTTCAGGCTGCTTTTCTAGGCATGTTCTAATTTTTAAAGCTGCCCTAAGTAATTCAGTTAAGTTTTTCCTAAGATTTTCTGGCATCATCTCTGCAGTACTAACATCTACTGACATCAGATGCAACACTGTTCGAAACAGCATCCGTTGAATCAAAGCCACTGGTTCTTCAGTCCAACCTGCAGAAACCACTCGACTCTCCAAGTTGTCGCTCAGACTACAGCAGTCCCCAAAGCCTGCTAGGAATTCAGTTAGTGTGGGCACTACACTGGCTGCTAGAGGAGAATTATGATTCAAGGTAATGTCAAACTTACAAACTTTTTCTAATAAAGATAACAAAACATGACATAAATCAAATGGAGAATTGTTCATGTTACTGATAACAGACAAGGCAGCTGGCTCACTTAAAATGTCAGTGTTTGACTCCTGTCTTGGAATACTCTCTCTGGAATTTTCTGAAGCCATAGTATCTGGAGGAGTATGTTCTTCTTTGGTCACTAAGTGGTCAAGTTTAGCTTTAGGGTGGTCTTCTTTAGGAAACGGTGTTGCAAAATGCTGCAGCAGATGAGGCCTTCTATGCTTATTCATTGCTATGCTTTTTTCATCTGAATTGGCTTCTGAATCGGAGGTGGAGAGCTGTGTCTTTCTTGCATCTCTAATAGAATAGCGATGGGTAATTTTACGTTGTCGTCTGCTTTTTCGAAAAACATTTACTTTTGCAGAAACCTGACTAGACAGGGCACTTCCTTCTAAATGTAATTTTTCCTGAGTGGATCTTTGTGAACTTGAGTTCTTTTCTTTGGTCAGGATTATATCAGCTGACAGCGGTAGATTAAAATCTAATGGAATGAAGAAAGAAGGCTTAGAATACCTCAATGTGTTTTAAAACTCAATTTTAAGGTGACAGCCAGCCCTCTTACTTAACACCCACTTAAAAAGTTTAAACCCAGTGTATTTTGCTGCAGGGTTGATTTCCTTCATTTATGCTGTATCTCTGGGTTACTTCCTCTGACACTTATCCTTACTCCAAACACTAGCTGACATTAGTTCAACGGATACAAAGTGATTTTTAAAACAACAAAAGAGAGGCACACTTATCCTTACTCCAAAAGCTAGCTGACATTGTTTCAAAGGACACGAACTAATCTTGAGACGAAGTTTTGCTCTTGTTGCCCATGGTGAAGCGCAACGGCGCAATCTCGGTTCACCACAACCTCCACTCACCGCAACCTCCACCTCCTGGGTTCAAGTGATTCTCCTGCCTCAGCCTCCCAAGTAGTTGGGATTACAGGCATGCACCACCATGCCTAGCTAATTTTGTATTTTTAGTAGAGACAAGGTTTCTCCATGTTGTTGGTCAGGCTGGTCTTGAACTCCCAACCTCAGGCCATCTGCCTGCCTCCGCCTCCCAAAATGCTGGGATTACTGGTGTGAGCCAACGTGCCCGGCATACAAACTGACTTTTAAAACAACAAAAGAGAGGCTGGGTGAGATGGCTCACACCTGTAATCCCAGCACTTTGGCAGGCCAAGGCTAGTGGGTCACCTGAGGTCAGGAGTTTGAGACCAGCCTGGCCAACATGGTAAAACCCTGTTTCTAGTAAAAATATAAAAATTAGCCGGATGTGGTGGCTCACACCTGCAATTGTAGCTACTTGGGAGGCTGAGGCAGAAGAATTGCTTGAACCTGGGAGCTGGAGGTCGCAGTAAGATGAGATCATGCCACTGCACTCCAGCCCAGACAAGAAAGTGAGACACGGTTTCAAAGCAACAACAACAAACGAGAGAATGGAGTTAAGAAAGTAAATCGCATTTAAAACTATACATTACATTCTAACTTCAATGTAAGAGATGCTTTAGATTATCTGGTATTTTAGTACTGCTGTTCATACCATTTTACAAATCTCCTCCCATAGTAGCACTAATTAAGATATAAGGATGTATTATATCCCCCAATATAGTATTCATAAACCTGATATAACTTAAGAACTTTAAGATTTTCTAAAATTATTACAAAATCGTACACTATATGACAAAATGTTCTCCAAAACTGAGGTTAAAAGAGTTCTTTATTCAAATTATTTCTCAAGTGTTTCAGCACTGAACTAGGCACCAGGTACAGACATCATTATTTCATTCCCATTTCCTAGACAGGGCCTCGCATGTGGTCAACACTCAACAACTACTTCTTGGAGGAAATGAATGAATTCTCCCTTTTAACTAAAAAAGATATTTAAATCAGTCTTTCTCTTTGCAGTATGTAATAAGAGCTATATAAAAAATAGTTGCAATTTAGAGTGAATAAATTAAAATCTGTAAATAAAAAACCTTTGCTTTCACTAACACAGGGAAAGCAAACCAGATGGGAAGAGGAAAAATTAAAAGGAGTCTGACAAATTCCACCCAAGCAAAAGATGTAGGCAAGGAAGACAACTTCTCCCAAAGAGCATGAATCACATTTGTTAAGTGATAAACAATTTATGAATTCTGCAAACTCAGAAAAAAATAAAAGCAGAGAGTTAGTGAATCAATAAATAAGCAGGAAAACAACATTACAAGACCTTAGATAGCTCCTTTAAAAAAACTCCATGAAATTCACTAAAAATACAGGAATTACAATACAACAGTTTTGTTTTGTTGTTTTTTTTTAACCTGAGAGATCTTCAAACATCTCACAAGTCCCATTTCACAAGAAAGGGTCAACAGGACAACTATTAATTTCTCCAATGAAACATTTAAAGTTTCATGTTCTTTATAGACATAAAATTTCTTCAAAATCATAAATCAAAAATATCTATTGACCTTAGGTACAATAATTCTATCCAAGCTTGAAACAAAATATTATACTAAATTTATCCTTTAGTCTGAGCACAGTGGCTCATGCTTGTAACCCCCGCACTTTGGGAGGCTGATGTGGGCGGATTACTTGAGGTCACGAGTTTGAGACCAGCCTGGCCAATATGGTGAAACCCTGTCTGTACTAAAAATCAAAAATCAGTCTGGCATGGTGGTGCACACCTGTAATCCCAGCTACTTGGGAGGCTGAGGCAGAAAAATCACTTGAACTCAGGATGCTGAGGCTGCAGTGAGCCGAGATCATTCCTCTGCACTCCAACCTGGGTGACAGAATGAAGACTGTCTCACAAAAAACAAAACAAATCCTTTGAAGCCAACACTAGAAAAACTAAGCCAAAACAAATACTGCAAGTCACTTATAGAATACTGGTACTAGAAAGCAGTCTTTAAAATAAGCAAAGAAACTTTAATTTCTTTCCTCAGACTTTTCACTTCAAACTTTTCACTAACCAGTTTTCTGATGTTATGCTGCATACCTAGATTTACTCCTGGTAAGTGTTCTGCTTCTTCATACATTTTCTAATCATTAGTGTATTCAAGTAATCCCCCAAGAAGCACCATGGTTTTTGTATTATTGGAAGAAATAAAAATATGTTTGCCTAAACAATTTTTCATATTTAGTATTAAGTAAATCACAATAACATATACTGTTCTGAATATGAATCAGAATAAACCATTCAGGCAGAAGTAACTTTTCTATGAAATTTTGATAACACAAGTGATATGAGAAAGGGAAAAAGCATACCTGTTGCCTTTTCTTCTTGAACAGGTATCTTCCATACCAGTGGAAGGAGAGACAGAAGAAGAGTCAGGAGTTCTTCTCTACATGTCAATGCCTGTGTCAGTAACAAACGAATCCTTCATGTTCTAAGGCATTAAGACACATCAATTCCTCATATCTTGTCTTAAACTGAACCAAAAAATCCTTTTTCTTGAAAGGTTGCATTTGAAAAGCTAAGAATCAAATTAATCTATCTTCAATCCAATTAAAGCTGTGATACTTTTACGTTTATAAGCCTTTCGAATGATAGAAGAATCTAAGAGTATTTGACAGTATTTAGCACACTCTTGCTGGTATTTCCAAAAATAACTGTTGTTACTACCATGCACATTGCAAGAATTCCTCACCTATGAAGAAACAGATTTGCTAGGTGAAAATGAAAAGTTAAGCCCTATTAATTAGCAAACGAATACCACAAAGTTACTTGATAAATGTGAAGCTTTCATGCAGTTAAATGTAAAACTCAGATACAACAATTTTAAAAAGAGAAATTGACATGATTAATAAATAATATATAAGGAGAGAAAGATTTATTAGTGAAAATCCAATAAATATTTATTGACTGCACACTATGTCCACAAGAATTACTGTCTTACCCTTTCTGGATGATATGGTCCAAGCCCTGGAGAAGGTCACCTCATTTGGTCCATAAAATACATACACACAAACAGTTAAAGAACAGCAGAAGGCATGTAGTATGAGTAAGTACCCTGGGGTGGTACAAGCATTCAGTTTAGGAGTCCAGAAAAAGGAGCAGTTATTATCAGAAGTGTGGAAGTAGAATTGGAGCTAGAGAGCTAGACTTGGGACACCTGGGACATGGGTGGTAAAGGATTTAATGACAAATCAAGCTCGAGTTCTTGCCTTACACCATTCAGTGGGGAAGGGGGTCAGCATGACGCAATCAGATTTGCGGCACAGAATTAGGTGGAAGGGGAAGCAGTCAGTGTTAGAGGTAAGAAAACAGTAATTCAGATGAGAGATGATGACTTTCTGAAGTACTCCAACAGCAGAAGGGAAAGGGGATGTATTTGAGAAACTGTAAGGTAGAACTAAAATAATTTGCAGTTGATTATCTATGGCACACGAGGGAGGAAAAAAAAAGATCTAAAAAGACTCGCAAGTTTCTGGTTTCAGCAATTAGGTAGCAATAATGTATTTACTAGACAAGAAATTTAGGCCCGGTATTAGGTTGGGATAAAGATGATAGATTCACTTTTTAGACATACTGAGTTTGAGATGTCTATGCACTCTCCTAATGAAGACAGCTTTTTAGCAGACAGTAAATATATAGATCTGGAACTTAAAAAACATGAATAACAAGATTTGGGAGTCACTGGAGTGAAAGGCAAGGACATATGTGAGTTTTCCCAGGGCAAGAATATAGAATGACAATACGAGACCACCGGGAACGGGACTCTGGAGAATATTTAAAGACTCAAAGATGGGCAATGCAAAAGAGAAGCCTGAAAATGCTTCTACTGAAAAGTAGCCCTCAGAAAAAGAAGTACGACCAGAGAAATTAAGGTAGAGAGTGGTTCAGGAAAGAAAGGAGTCAGCAGGGCCAAAGTTGTTGCCTTTTCACTGTGTGACATGATGGCCGAAAAGCGTTTAGCGACAGGACTGCTCCTTAACTAACACAGTTTTAATGGAGTGATTTGGGTGCAAGTCCAATTACAATAGGCTGAAGAATCAAAGGAAGTGAGAAAGCAGAGACAGGACATTCAGAATATCCTTTCTGGCATCCTGGTTGTGAAAAGGCTCAGAATTTTAGGCATAGGAACCCTTCATGGCAATGATTCCTGTTGACCTGTCCAGTTTCAGCTCCTTCTGCCACACATGAGTCCTCCCCATACATCTAGCTGGTCAGGGTTTTCCCTGAACACTACTGGTCTCTGGTGCTCCCAATAGGTCTTCCTCACATACTCTGCTTCTGCAGTTCTCCATCCCCATCCTCCCATCTGCCAAACTAAAACTCATTCTCTAGGTTTTTAGTTCCTCTGTAGGGAGACTTCTCTAATATCCTACCTGCTTCCTTAGTAAACTTAGCTTTCATGTTCCCAATTTGCTTCCATTCCAGCAAACACCCTATTGAACTGTTAATGTCTGAATGCCCATTTTCCTCTTTTATTAATTAAACAAATATTTAGCGATCCCCCTCCTAAACGGGCCAGGCACTGTGTCAGGTACTTCAAATGTTGTGGTGAACACAATATCTGTATCTTCATGAAGCCAACTTTCTAGCAGAGGAGACAGAAAATAATGGGTAAAAATAATAAAATTTCAGATATAATGCTGAGCTATAAAGGAATTTATTTAGGAAAGAGATTACAGAGTGATGAATAGTGTAACATTTTAGACAGGCTATTTAGGATAGGCTATTTGAGCAGACAGTTAATTGATGAGAAGAAGGCATCCATGCAAAGATTTGGAAGAAAAGGGCTCCTAGCAAGTATATGAAGTATTGGGAATGGGTCTGGCTTTTTCATAGAAAGCAAGAAAGACCAAAAGCTCCTAGATCTGATAAACAACTTTAGCAAAGTCTTAGTATACAAAATCAATGTACACAAATCAGTGGCTTTCTATACATCGACAACACCCAAGCTGAGGGCCAAACCAAGAGCACAATCTCAATCACAACAGTCACAAAAAGAATAAAATACCTAGGAATACAGCTAACTAAGAAGGTGAAAGACTTCTAAAATGAGAATTATAAAACATTGCTTAAAGAAATCAGAGATGACACAAACAAACAGAAAACATTCTACGTTCATGAAAGGAAACAATATTGTTAAAATGGCCATACTGCCCAAAGCAATTTACAGATTCAATGCTATTCCAAACTACCTATGACATTCTTCAAATAATTAGAAAGAGCTATTTTAAAATTCATATGGAATGAAAAAAGATCCCGAAGAGCCAAAGCAATCTTAAAAAGTGCAAAGCTAGAGGCATCACATTACTTGACGTCAAACTACTTTACAAGGCTATAGTAACTAAAACAGTATGGTACTGGTACGAAACAGATACGGAAACCAATGGAACAGAATACAGAGCCCAGAAATAAAGCTGCACACCTACAACCATCTGGAAAATAACCTAGGAAATACCATCCTGGACATAGGCCCTGGCAAAGATTTCATGACAAAGAATGCCAAAATCAATTGCAATGAAAACAAAAATTGACAAATGGGACCTAATTAAACTAAAGAGCTTCTGCACAGCAAAGGAAACTATCAACAGAGTAAACAGACAATCTACAGAATGGGAGAAAATATTTGCAAACCATGTATCTGACAAAGGTCTAATATACAGAATCTATAACAAATTTCAACAACTTCGTAAGTAAAAGACAAATGACCCCATTAAAAAGTGGTGAAAGGACACAAATAGACACTTTTCAAAAGAAGACAGACACATGCCAAGAAGCATAGGAAAAAATGCTCAACATCTCTAACCATTAGAAAAATGCAAATAAAAACCACAATGAGATATCATCTCACACCAGTCAGAATGGCTATTAAAATAAAAAAAAAATTAACATGCTGGTAAGGTTGTGGAGAAAAAGGAAAACTTATACAATGCTGGTGGGAACATAAGTTAGTTCAGCCATTGTGGAAAGCAATTTGGCAATTTCTCAAAGAACTTAAAACAGAACTACCATTCAACCCAGCAATCTCATTATTGGACATATACCCAAAGGAATATAAGTCATTCTACCATAAAGACAAATGCATGTTTATGTTCATCAAAGCACTATTCATGAGAGCAAATCAACCTAAATACCCATCAATGGTAGATTGGATAAAGAAAATGTGCACATATACATCATGGAATACTGTGAAGCCATGAAAAAGAACGAGATTCATGTCCTTTATAGCAATTCAGATGGAGGCTGAGGTCCTTATCCTAGGTGAACTAACACAGAAACAGAAAACCAAATACTGTATGTTCTCACTTTGTAAGTGGGACCTAAGCCTTGGGTATACACAGACACAAAGAAGGGAACGGACAGTGGGGCCTCTGTCAGGATTGAGGGTGTGAGAAGGGTGAAGACCAAAAAACCATACACAAATATTAATTCAAAATGGATCACAGACCTAAAAAGAAAAGCAATAACTAGAAAGCTTTTAGGAAAAAAAAGTAGGAGAGTATCTTTGCAACCTGGGGTTTATAAGACAAAGTTTCTTTAGGACATAAAAAAGTACTATTTACAAAAGAAAAAAATCTGATATTCTAAAGACACTGTTAGGAAATGAAAAGGCAAGCCAACAAAGACTAGTATCTGGAATACATAAAGAACTACTACAATTGGATAATAAGCAAGTCATCTGACCTCAAAAATGGCACAAAACCTTAAACAGATCTTCACAAAGGAAGATATACAAATGACTATACAAATGAAGATATACAAATAAGCACATGAAAAAGTGCTCAACATCATTAATTGCCAGAGAAATGCATATTAAACCTAAAATGAGATACTACTTCATATTCACTTAGAATGACTAACACTAAAAATACTGGCAATATCAAATGTCAGAAAGGATATAGAACTGGAATTCTCATACACTGCTGGTTAAGAATGAAAAATGATACAACTACTTTGCAGAAGAGTTTGGCAGTTTCTTATAAAATTATACAAACACTACCCTTTGCCCACAAATTGTATGCCTAGATATTTACCAAGGAGAAATGAAAACATACCCATATACTTTTATAGGAATGTTCAAAGCAACTTTATTCATAAATAGCCAAATGCATACAACTCAAATGATTAAACAGCAAGTGAATGATTAAACAAATTACAGTATACCCTTACAATGAAATACTAATCAGAAATAAAAAAAGTAGTGAACTGCTGAATCATGCAACAACACTGATGAATTTCAGAGACATGAGAGTACATTCTACATGATTCCAAAACTACACTTAGATGCTAAAAATCACAACAGTGGTGGTTTTGCAGTAAGTGAAGGGAAAATTTCTAAAGTGGTGGAAATATTCTAAACAATGATCTGGGTGGTAATGATACAGGTGTATATATTTGGATTTTGTTTTGTTTTGTTTTGTTTTTTAAGACAGGGTTTCACTCTGTCACCCAGACTGGAGTGAAGTGGCACAATCATAGCTAACTGCAGCCTCGATCCCCCCAGGCTCAAGCAATCCTCTCACCTCAGCCTCCCAAGTAGTTGGGACTACAGGCACACACTACCACACCTGGCTAATTTTTGTATTTTTTGTAGAGATGGGATTTTGCCATATTGTCCAGCCTGGTCTCAAACTCCTGGCCTCAAGAGATTCACCTACTTCTGTCTCCCAAAGGATTGGGACTACTGATGCAAGGTGTATTTGTCAATATTCGTCTAACTATATACATAATATCTGTGCATTTACTGTATGTAAATTATACATCAATAAAAAGCCTATTTAGTTCTTTATATTAAATGTCTATTAATAGGCTGGGTACAGTGGCTCACACCTGCAATCCTAGCACTTTGGAAGACTGAGGTAGGCGGATCACTTGGGGCCAGGACTTTGAGATTAGCATGGCCAACATGGCAAAACCCTGTCTCTACTAAAAATATTAAAAGAAATTAGCCCCGGTGTGGTAGCGCATGCCTCTAATCCCAGCTACTTAGGTGGCTGAGACATGACAATCTCTTGAACCCTGGAAGCTGAGGTTGCAGTGAGCCAAGATCGTGCCACTGCACTCCAGCCTGGGTGAAAGAGTGAGACTCTGTCTCAAAATAAATAAATATTAATAAAGCAAAAGGACTACAGTGGATGGGCAAAGGCTTAAGTCACCGCAGAGTACTCAAGAAGTGCTCCTATTCATGAGAAGCGGAGATTGAAAAACAAAACTAAATTTCCTCCTAAAACATACAACTGTGTGTCTAGTGTTATGATTTCATCTTAAATGATAAAATCTCATTCAATTAATTCCCCTTAAAAACTCATTCATTCTCCATTTCCTACTTGAAAGAATTAAACCTTGATAAAGTCCTATGTTTTAAATGGCTAGTTATTTTCACTTCAAACACACTTCTACTGTTCCTACTGTTATTGCTACAGATATTCCAAAAAGTGACTAGGTGGAAGGAAGGGATTAAAAAATATTACCAGAGGAAAAATATTATTTAATTTATGACCTAAATAATTTTAGTCATTGATTAGCATAAAATATATTTTGTGACTTAAAGAGAAAGTATTCTCTTCACCATATATACAAATACAATACTGTATTTGTAATCCAACAGACTTGTAGCCAGAATACATAAAGAACTGCTACAACTGATGAAAAATAACCTGACCTTAAAAATGGTGCAAGACTTTTAAACAGACATTCACAAAAAAATATATACAAATGGCCAATAAGCACAAGAAAAAATGCTCAACATCATTAGTTGTTAGAGGAATGTAAATTAAAACTACAATGAGATACCACTTCATATTCTCTTAGAATGACTAACAGTACAGACTGGCAAAATATTCCTGTAAGAAAAATTATTGCTGCTGTTATGAAAAGAATGATTTCAGTCATTTAATAATACATTAAAAGATATTTTATGACATAAATGAGAAAGCATAAAATCGAGAGAGATAGAAAGTAGAGCAGTGGCTGCTTAGAGATAAGAAGATGGAAGGGATAGGGAAATGATAGCAAAAGGGTATGAAATTTCTTTTGGAGGTGATGAAAATATTCTAAAATTAACTGTGGTGATAGATGCATGTGTCTGTGATTACACTAAAAGCCACTGAATTGTACACATAAAATGGGTGAATTTTATGATATGTAAATTATATCTCAATAATGCTGTTATTATTACTTTGATTGGGATTAAATTGTAGTCCTAGCTACTTAGGTGGCTGAGACACGAGAATCACTTGAACCGGGAGGTGGAGGATATAGTAAGCTGAGATCACACCACTGCATTCCAGCCTGGGTGACTGAGTGAAACTCTGTCTCAGAAAAAACCATAAACCTACAAATGTCCTGAAAAATTTCATGACAAGTGGATACCACGGAGAACAAATGCTTCCTAATTTGTATTTGCTAGATTCCTTCACTTATAGTGAAAACAGAGGTACTGTTTCAGTCTTCGTATTTGCTCAATATGTGTATTTATTAGCAAAATGCTTTCATAGCAAAGAAATGTCATTTAATGATGGCCAATTTTACATCTAAAGCTGATAACATTCAAAGTGTTAAAAATATCCATCATATTCGTGTTATAAACGATTTATTATTTTTTCAACTAACTATATTAATTAATTCCCTGAAGGCAGATTGTAGTTTTTCATTCACAAAGTAATTATTCATTTTATACTAAAATGAAATAAAGAAGTAAATCACATTTGGCCTTAAAATTAATTTATGTGAGTACCTAATGTTTCTGGATCTGTTTTCTCATCTGTAACAGAAGGTTAGATGAAAACATCTGTCTCAACTAGTTTTAAAACTCTGTTAATTCTACAGCAGGAAAACAGCAAAACCATACGGTCATACCATGCTTTGAGCAAAAAACAACAATGTTTGAAACACTAAACGTATACAAGCTAAAGGACTCAGTAATTATTAGTTCACATAAAAGGACTCTCTGCTTTCACTCCAGAATTAGCAGCCTCCAAAAATTTTTCAAAAACATATTTGATATTTATTGAAAATACAAATTCGTCATGTTTCTGACATGAGATACAAGGATATAAGATTATATCTTATATATCTACTAACAACCCCAGTTATCTCACTGATATTAGGATAAAAGCATAGTATATATGAAACCATTTAGTTCTTATGGCCATTCATAATTCTAAGATATGTCAGACATTTTGAAAGTATCCAAATAAACAATATTGTTATAAATAGATCTGCTTTTTTTTGGTGGAATAATGTGAAAGATTGGATTTTATCTCAAGGAGACTTCAGAAACTATGTAATCCAAAACCATGTAGCTATAGTTTTAACTATCATATACTAATGAAAATAAGTATTTGATACAAAAGTGTTACCTGATCAATGATAGAATTTAGCTTGGTAAGTAACAGAAATCCTCGACCATGGACAAGGTACTGTCCAAGGGTTGCCATGTGTGTCTCCTCTTCTTCTTCCTCCCTGATCTCCACCCTCTGGACCACTGCATTGCAAAGCCGGTTGACATCGGTCAGAAATTCACGTGCCAATGAGTTACTGTCGGTGCTCATGACAGAGCTATAAAATAAATATTACGAAAAAAATTAGAAAAACAAATACAAATTTACTTTTAAAATTATGGGTTTTTGTTGTTTGTTTCTAACTGAAGATTGGCTTAAAATCACTCAGAATTGGTACTCAACCCTATAATATTTTCAGGCTTTGTTCTGACCTAGTCAGGTGCTTCTTAAACAATTCCTGCCACAGCAGAAATGAGTACCAGGTTTGAAATACCTGAGCATAGCTGAGAACGGGTAAGTGACAGCACATGGACAGAAGACATTTTCTCTTTTTAAGAGAGAAGACTTTCTTTCTTAAATAGAATAAAAATAAACCCATTACCTATAAAATTTCTTGCTTTATGTGTTTTATAATGGATAAATGGGTACTTTAAAAATATAAACCATTTTTCAGTTGATAGAGTCCACAATTACTGACCCATCTTCCCCAAACACCAAAGTTCAGTTAACAAAAAGGATTTCCAATCAGGTGAATAAAAACTGAATAATTCTAACAGCTAAAGTTATACCACTTCACTTCTTATGACATATTTGAATCAAATAAAGGGTAACGTGACATATTAAGATTAAGGAAAATAAGGTACAGCAAACAGCATGGGGGAACATAAATACAGAGAAAAATGTACAAATTTTCAGAAGGGAAAAACCATGAACAACAAAATCCCCAAAGAGTTTCAAAATAGTTTCATCTTTGGGCTAAAAGTAATTTTGAGGTATCCAGTAACCTACAAAAAATGTTTAACTTAGAGATGTTAAGTTAAATAAGACATGTATTACCTCACCTCCCTTCACTCGCTTCAGGGGGAAGCGCTCCCCACAATACCTGCTGAGAGGGCAGTGGGAATACGATTATGCCTCTTGCTGAGAAGCAGTTAGGTTCTGGGTCCCAATTCAGCTACAATCCATGCTCCTCACAAGGTCTGACTTGCATAGTGTGGCTTGCAAGGGGGAACTGGACTAATCAGGTTTTCTTTCTGTCTCGGGAATTTAAACTAAAGGGATATAGTTGATGTGCTGAAAGATCACATAGAGATGGGGCTGTGGTAGTCATTATGAGGTACTGAGGGTCAAAAGAAGCCAACTAGGTAAAAATAAACCAACGAGGATACAAAGAGAAGTAGATAAACATGAAAGGGAAATACCAGAGAAATTCCTAATACTACCTTAGTTCCTGTTCATTCTGGGACCTCATGGTTTTAATCCTCTGATTTCATTAGAATTCTAAGTATTACAGTAACTCTCTCTTAGTATAACAAACATCATTATGTTTAATATTTTTGAACATTAGAAAGACAAAAAGTATAAAATACATCTCTCATTATTCTAAAATGCAGCAATAACTTCTATTATGTATTAATATTGGTTCTTTATATGCTTTCATAAAGTAAAATTATTAAATAAATCCAATAACCTAATTTATATTCAGTTCATATTTATCCAACTTTAATATATTTCACTAAATCTGTTAATAATTTTAGGATAACTAATTATTTAGCACCTCACTAAAAAAGAATTAAACTATGACACAATGTTTCTTATCACAAAAAATTTCTCTACAGTAACAACTTCTGGGCCATCAGAAACATTCATGACACAGCATTTAAGAGTACTGCACTACTGTTTACAAAATTTTCCTTCAGAGCTACTAATGTCATTCTTTAAGTTTATATGCTGATGCTTTCTTGATCTTACCAGAAGGTATCAGCAGAAAGTTTCAGAAAGTCAGGAAAACATTTAAAACTCAACAGGTATAGTACCAGCTATGCACAGAAGTCTCCTGAAGCACTGACAATGTGGAAGTCTATGACCAAGTGCATTCATGTGCAGGCCAGGTGAACTACTTTACAAGTGCTTACAAGACACCATCCATTGCAAAACACACTGCAGCTTTAGAAATATTAAAAATGTGAAAAACTAAAAAATGATGGGAATAATTAAGTCTATTGTCTAGAAATTAAGATAATGGAAATCAATAAAAATTTTTAGGTATCACAGTTAATGAAGAACTACTTTAATCTTTCTTTCTAAAAACACAAGATGCCATATAAGTAAAAAGGATTATAATCTAAGCAGAAATGCATGTTTTTTACCGATTTAAAAATGTACATTATATATATGTTTATGTGAATAGGCTAGATAATATACATGATCTATTCTCTCACTCTTTAATAGCTACATGTAAATGTTACATATATCGCATTATATTATAGTTTACTTTGTAGCCAATCTCTTATTTTTGAATACAATTATTTCTAGCTTATTATCATAAACAAAGCTACAATGAACACTCTTACACTACTTGCACATTTATCTTATTTCCTTAATGTAGAAATTGCTGTTTATTTCATAGGGTAGGTTTTATATATTTGTTAGGTTTACTCCAAGGTGCTTTATATTTTTGCCATTATGATGAATGGGATTTTTTTTCCATTATATATTCTAGGATTTAAAACTGGTATATATAGGCACATAGGAAGTAGATTTATTTTGATATCATAATCATATGTCTAAACTTCTTTCTGAGTGTATTTTGAATTTCCCAGATATAATACTCTATAATCTATAAACAAAAATTCTGAATTATCTTATCCAATATTCATGCAATTTCCATTATTCTATCTAATTGTATTAGTTTGCACTAACAGAACAACATCAGTTGTGGTGATGGGGACATTTTTGCTTTGTATATTAGGAAGTATTCACCTTTTCCTAACAGAAATATTGAATTCAGTTGAATGACTTCCAGCCATTTCGAGTGTCAACTGAAAAGACGATTGCATGGTATTTTCCTTAAATTTTTTCTAACATTTAAAGTACTCAGAAACAAAGAATATATAACATGAGGTTATAGCCAACAACCAGATATAAATAGTATACTATATGTATCTTTTTGTAACTTTGCTTTTTCCTCTGAATGTTCTATGTTCATTCCATTAAACTATCATGCAATACACCATTGTATGAATAAACCACAAACTATCCATCCATCTCTATTAAGAAAAGTTTAGTGGTTTTAACTTTGAGGTTTAATGAATGTCACATAATTTTGTAGTTTCAAGCCTTCAAAATCAAGTATACTGATGGTTAATATTTATTACATTAGACTTACCAGTCTTTCACTACTGTTGTACAAACATTTAGAGTCTATATCATTTGGGCTCATAAACTAGATGAAACAAATACTCTTAGAATAAAGCTTCACCTACAACAACAACAAAAAAAGACAAACATATTAATTACAATAGTAAACCACAAATAAATTTGAACAAATAAAGTTGTGACATAATCAGTGGCCAGTCTTCATACATAATGTATGAAACAACCAATGAAATTCTTAAATCTTAAGAGCACATTAAAAAAATGCCTACTTCAAGAATTCCTCTTGAGAGGGAATCTTAGAACATAGTGATCTGAAAAAGCAACTCAGTAATAGCTCTCTATTTTTCCTCTTCTAGTTCTTAACTTAAAACCTCCAGGTAAATCACAAGTTAACTGCAAAAAATAATTAGACTAGTATTCTTAACACTAGAATCTAGGAGGCAGTGGAGTATCTAAATATTATCAAGAAAAAACGGTCTTCAACTCAAAGTTCCTAGGTACTGTCCTGTTAGGATGAAAGTTATTTGAGGATAGATAGGAACTTAGACAATACTAAAATCAAACATCAGTTTGTTAACCATCACCAAACCTCATATAACTTCATATCTTTATTGAAATTTTTAAATGAATTAATCTTTTGTGTACAATATAATAAAGGTGATTTCTAGAAGACTAAAGGATATATTTCTATTTCTGGGATAGCAACAAGATGTTTCTCTTTAGTCACCTGCTCTCCTCTTCTCTATAGTTTTTACCAGGAATAAGCATGAAAATGTTTCTTTATAGTTATGAGGCAAACACGAAGATATTCTGAATTACAAGGTTTTAAATCAGACTGGGCATTTTTTATTTTTTTTTATTTCCAAAAAAAAAAAAAAAAAAGAGAGAGAGAGACAGAGTCTCACTGTGTTCCCTAGGCTAGCCTTGAATCATGAGCTCAAGTGATCTGCCTGCTTTGGCCACTCAAAGTGCTGGGATTACAGGCATGAGCCACTGTACCTGCCCCAGAGTGATTTTTTTAACTTAAAAATGTTCAAATCTGGAAAACTGTCTTAAGTTTCTTTCAGCTTGCCAACCAGTTCTTGTACCATACATTATTCTAGGCACTTGAAGATAAACCAGGAAGAAAACAGCTGTCTTAGACTATATAGGGCTTTGTGTGAATTAGGAAAAAACATCCCTTCCTGATGGGTGCAGCTCCACAGCAGGGCACACAGCTATCAAAGCACAGGGTGTATTTCAGTCTCACCCCCTCATTCCTCTGGCAGAGCACCAGAAAGCAGTATATTAACTGCTCAACCAAGTGGAACAGCCCTGGAATGGAGTCTTAATACACCTTCCATAACTGCTCCTGCTGCTTCCTGAGCTAATCAATACCGTGCATATATATGAGATGGTGTTTCGCTTTTTCGCCCAGGCTGGAGTGAAGTGACAAGATCTTGGCTCACTGCAACTTACGCATCCCCCCACCGACAGGTTCAAGCAATTCTCCTGCCTCAGCCTCCCAAGTAGCTGGGATTACAGGTGCCCACCACCATGCCTGGCTATTCTGTATTTTTAATAGAGACAGAGTTTCGCCACATTGGCCAGGCTGATCTCAAACCCCGACCTCAGGTGATCCACCCACCTCAGTCTCACAAAAGTTCTAGACCACAGATGTGAGCCACTGCACCTGGCCCATGCAGATATTTTAAACTCTAAAATTATGGAAAGGAAAAAATAAAATAAAATTATGGAAGGGAAATATAAGTCAGATTGTGAGCCTAAAGATGGAATTATATGAGTTGCTTTGACTACTACCACCCTCCAGCTTGTACTACCACAAGGTAGAGCAATCTATCTTACAATGCTAAAATGATTCCAACTAACTCAGCATGGCCATAAGAAGTGAAAGCTGCCAGCTATTCAGTTAAATCTGTCTGTTTCTCTTATTGAGGGACATTTTCTAGGCCAAGCTGAGGGATTTCTTTAATGCTCTTAAACTGGCATGGCTTCTTTATCTCTGTATTTTACAAAGCCTCACTTGGATATCCATTGAGTTTCATTTTATCCACGATTATCATTCTAACCACCAGCACAGCCATATGTGTCTTCCTTGAGTTTACCATCACTCTTTATACATACCTGTATTCTAATTTTTATCATCCTGTACCACTCTAGGGGTCCAGAATGTCTGGAAATAAAGATACATTTTTAATAACAATGTCCTTAGGTCATCATTATATATTTGCCTCTGTTTCCAAACTACATAGACGCACTCTGTAGTTACTTATCTGTAACTGTTTTACCCTCTAGGTCACAAGTTTCGTAAAGCCAGGGACCCTGTCTTAATACTTTTGCCTTTTATAGCTATAATGTCCAACTTAAAATCTAACTTTATTACTATAATTTCAATTTCTAATACAACAATTGTTATATCATAATAAAGAAAACTTGCCCCGGTGATATTCTTAGAATTTTTATATTCTTAACATTTACTGTAAATGAAAAACGTAGTAACAAATGCCTATAATCATATAAATGACCTTCTCAGAAAAATAATATGTTTCACTTTTTCTCATACAGCGTCTGGTAAAATGTAAAATATGAACACACAAAAACAAAAGACACATACACAAACACTGATTTAATGTATTAGCTACATCTCCTAGTTTTATGTCATCAGAAATTTCATCAATATGTCATTTAATTCAACAAATGTTATTGAACATTTACTATATGTGAGCTACTAATTTAGGCACTGAGTTTAGAGCAGAATCAAAATCCTTACCATCATGGATTATAGTGGGGTAGAGACAAATGAAAAACAAACATACACTATAATGTCAGGTCATGTTAATTTGATGAAAAAGTAAAACAAAGCAAGGGTATAGAGTGAAAGGAATGCTACTTCAGATAGGATGGATAAGGAAGATCTAAAGCAGTAACACTGGGGCAAAAACTTAAATGCAATAAGTAAATGGACCATGTGGGTACCAGGGAAATGTGTGTTCCAAGCCACTGAGACAGATGCGTGCTGGATGCACTGGATACTGAGTACAAGAGGAAAAGAGGTAAAAAAATAACTGCGAAGATTGGATAGGAGAATATTTAATTTAAAAAAAAATTGCAAAGAAAAAGTGAGAAAAGTCAATCCATTCTTTCTTCTCAGGAATTAAAGGTATGGAAAGAGGAAATACAAGTGTTCCCCTGAAACCAATTCTCCCCAAGAATGGAAGTCCCTTTCCATCCCAACCCAAAAAAGACTATAAGGTTTTTTTTAGCCTGTGTGAAGACTAGTACTGTTTACTGATAGGCAAGACTGACATAGAAGCAGGTTGGGAGGGAAAATAAGTTTCAGTTTTAGCTATGTTAGGTGTGACAGGTTTCTTAGAAGTAAAGTGTATCAGGTAGGCAGCTGAAGATCAAAACAGGTGGGGAAGCTGGACCTAGTGAATCAATGTGGGAATCATCAGTATGTCACTGATATATTTTTAAAGCCATGGGACTAGACAGATGAAATAACCCAGGGCAGTGCTGTTCAACAGAGCTTTCTGAGATGAGGAGCCTGTTCTATAATTTCTGCCACACAATATAGCAGACAAAAGCCACATGTGGCTAGGCTACTATAATGAACAGAGGGGACCTAGAGAATGAGTGCAAAGGGAGCAGAGAAGAGGTTTCACGACTGAGCCCTAGGCTTAGCATGGCTGAGTTAAGGGAAAGGATAAGCATCCAACACAGGAGACTGAGAAGGAACAGCAAGTGAGGTGGGAGAAAAATCAGGTGAGTGGTTATCTCCTAGAAACCAAGTGAAGAAAGCTTGAAACACAAAAGAATAACCAATGGTATCAAAAATTCTGAGAAAGCTGGCAGGTGCAGTGGCTCAAGCCTGTAATCTGAGCACTTTGGGACACTGAGACAGGCTGATCCCTTGAGGCCAGGAGTTCAAGACCAGCCTGGGCAACATGGCAAAATCCCATCTCTATTAAAAATGCAAAAATTAGCTAGGCATGGTGGTGCACACCTGTAATTGCTTGTACCTGAAAGGCGGAGATTGCAGTGGGCTGAGATTGCACCACTGCATTCCAGTAGAGGTGACAGAGTGAGACTCTGTCTCAAAAAAAAAAAGATAATTCTGAGAAGTAAGATGAAGACTGGGAATTGACCACTGGATTTAGCAACATGGAGGTTACTGACAACCTTTTCAAAGAATGGTCTCAGTGGAGTGGGAAAGAATGGTGAGGAAATAAATGCAAGCAATTTAGACAGTTTTTTTGAGAACTTCTGCTACAAAGCATTCAAGGAAATGGGTGGTGGCTTGAGGGGCATATGAGATAAGTGAGGTTAAAAAAAAAAAAAAACCTGAATATTATAGCTTGTTTCTAAGCTGAAATATAGCATGTTTCTCTAACAGAGAAAGGAAAATAGATGAAAAACTAGAATGAGAAAAGATAATTCTAGGAACAATGAGTAGGCAAAACGAAGAGGACCAATGCACAAGTGGAAGGAACAGTGGCAGTTCATCTAACTGAATAAGAAGAATGTCAGAGAATGAGGATAGCCGTAGGAGGATTACTATATTTGGCAACAGGAGGAGCAAGAAGTTTTTTTCAGGTGCTTCTACTTTCTTGGTGCAATAAACAGCAAGACTGCCAGCTGACAGTGAGAAGTAGGGAGGAGGTGTTAAACCGATGAATGTAACAGGGTCAAAAAACAGCAGCCCACAAGAGACTTCCTGGCAGGCTGCCAATGAGTAACTAAATTAAGATTCAGTTCCATCATTCAATAACTATACCCATACTATAATCCAATTCTCCTTTATGTTCCCAAGTATAGACTTGGAGGCTTTCAAGTATCCTATGGGAATCTAGATATATTATAGCTTCAGCATTCTCCTAATCTGTAAATGTAGAATCTGTAAGTAGAAACTGGGTTATCTGGAATGTATTGCTCATTTTTTCTTTCAGTAAGTATAATATTTGCAAATCTTTTAAAATGATCTCTAGAGTCTTTTGTGGAAGTAACATCAAGTTTACAAAAATCTATAGAATCTACATTCTTTAATTTTAAAACATTATTCCTCCACAGGCATCCACAAGTTTTCACATTTCACCGTAATTA